CCCCCCCCCCCCCCCCCCCCCCCCTTTCCCCCTTCCCCCCCACTTTCCCCCGGAACAACCAAATAGTCACAGTCCCTGTGGCAAAGTCAGCCCCAAGCCGTCCACCAACAGGGAGACGAGACGACCACCAGACTGGGCCCACTCGTCCCACCATAGGTAGCAGCAGTTCTCCTAACCCCGGTGCCACCCTACCCCTTCTCATCCTTCCCAACACCCCCCCCCCTCCACCCCCACCCCCCTGGAGAAGAGAACATGGCCGAGCTGACCCACAAGCAGCACAAGCAGGCTTGCAAGGCTGTGGCGTCAGGCGACCTCACAGTGTGCCGCAAGAAGCTCGACAAGGCAACGGTGAGCGTGGTGAGACACCCCAAGATGGGTGGGACGCTGCTGCATGTGGCCACCTCGCTTGGCTTGCCGGCTTACACCCAGGAACTGGCCGACGAGTTTGCTCTCCAGGGCCTGGTCAACACCACCGACGCCAACGGCAACACCCCGCTGCACATTGCTGGCATGTTGCAGAACGAGGACCTCATCCGCTTGCTCATCGGCTACGGCGGCGATGCCTCCATCCGCAACGATGCCGGTAAGACGCCGCTGGCCCTGGTGGCCGGCCATCCGGCGTGTAAGGACGCTATGGAAGAGGGCGTGCCGTCGGCCGGTGATTCTTCGTCGGGCGAGTATTCGGCGGCAGACGGCGCGACGTCGACGTCGAAGCGGACAACGACGACGACGACGACGACAAAAATGACGACGACGGTCACCGAAACCAGCACCAGCCAGGCTGCAAACTGCTACGCGGTGGTGGAAGAGGTGCTCTCCGGTCCGGACGCTGGAGCCAGCTTCCCGGTGGTGTGGAAGCTCCGCGAGGACGGGTTTGAGCGGCGCGACGGCGCCGTCCACCGCTACACCGACGTCCGTGGTTGGTCGCTCAAGGATGAGGCGCTCAGCTCCTGGAGTTCCGGATCAAGATCGACGGCGAGAAGCAGGTCATCGGCGTCCGCCCCGAGTCCATGCATGACGAGCATGTCGACAAGGTCTCGGCTATGTTGCAGACCATGGCCGAGTCGGTCGAGCGCCAGAAGGCCGAGGAAAAGGCCGCCGGCAAGAAAAAGGGCAAGAAGAAGGACAAGAAGAAGGACAAGAAGAAGTCCACCGAGGTGTCGGCGCTTGATGCTTCCGCAGCCGAAGATGCGTTCGCCGCCGAGCTGGCCGCTATCGAGGCCGCTGAAGCCGCTGCCGCTGCTGCCGCCGCGCTCGAAGACGAGGCAGCTGCTGAGCGTGAGGCCAAGGAGAAGGCACAGCGCGAGGCCGAGGAAAAGGCGCAGCGCGAAGCCGAGGAGAAGGCGAAGCGTGAGGCCGAGGAGAAGGCGCAGCGCGAAGCCGAGGAGAAGGCGAAGCGTGAGGCCGAGGAGAAGGCGCAGCGCGAGGCCGAGGAGAAGGCGCAGCGTGAGGCCGAGGAGAAGGCGCAGCGCGAGGCCGAGGAGAAGGCGCAGCGCGAGGCCAAGGAGCACGAGGCAGCCAAAAAGGCTGTTCGCGAGGCGGCCAGGCGTGCCGAGGAAGAGGCAGCCGCCGCCGAGGCTGCGGCGGAAGCTGAGCTGCAGGCTGCAGAGGCTGCTGAGCGTGCGGCAGCGGCAGCGACAGCGGCAGCGGCTTCATCGTCGTCTGCAACGTCGTCTGCGGCGTCGTCGCCGGCAGCGTCACCGCGCGGGACAAAGTCAACGGTGGTGCGACGGACAACGACGACGACGACAACAACGCAGTCGTCGATCTCTGTCACCCACTCACACTTTCAAGCCGCCTCGTCGTCTGCGCTCAACGCGACGGATCCATCTGCGCTGACGGCATCACTGGATCTAATGTTTCTGCTCATTTCGCAGTCTGAGGAATCCGAAGCCGCATTTGCCGAGTACAACTCGCACGTCTCTGTAGTCCCACGGATTGTGGAGCTCGCCAACTCGTTTGGTGCTCGCTCACCGGAGCTGACTGAGCGACTTGAGCGGCTGCAGGCGCTGGTGGGTGTCGAACTGCCGTCGGTGGAGGCGATTGCTGGCGAGGCCGGGCTCGAGCTGGAGGGCAGCATCCCGCTGGCGATGGCGGCGCACATGTGTGGCGAAGCCGGACGGCATGCACAGTTTATGGGCTCTGCAACACTCCTGGGCACGGCGACGTATCGACTGAGCTCGACCGACGCAGCGCTGGTGGCCAAGGTAGTCGACTTGCTGCCCAACGCACACTCAACGGCGCTGCTGGCGATGGGCGCGACGCGGGCGTCGTTCGACTCGGTCATGGTCGAGCTCTTTTCCGGGGCGGCTGCGCTCAGCGCGGCGTCGCGGACGCTTGTGGCGCCGCTGGCGGTCCACGTGGTGGACAAGGCGCCCGACAACGGGTCGCTCTCGGTTGTCCTCGTCTACCCCGAGGCGCACACGACGCTCGGGCGCGAGCTGCGGCGGCAGGCGCCGACGGCACCGGCACCGCTGGCGGCCGTCACCCACGTCCTTGCCGACGCCGCCGCTGGTCTGGCCGCCCTCCACGCGGCAGGCTTTGTCCACGGTGCCGTCCATGCGCACAACGTCATGGTCGCCGATGGTGAGTTCTCTGGCGGCGCCATGCGTGAGTGGCTCGGTGACGCCACGGTCGTCGAGCTCATTCCCACGCTCAAGCGCGTTGTCGTACCGACTCCGGCTGCTCGCAACCGTATGGGCCCCGTCGTCGACGTCGAGGCCTTCAAGGCCATGGTCGACACCGTCCTCGACGCCTGGTACCGGTCGGCTGAAGATAAGACAGTCGCCATCCGCAAGGTCGTCTCGGAAGCTTCGGACGCCGCCACCATCGCCAACGGCCTCTCGTCTCTTGCCACCACTTGGGTCTAGCGTCCACTTGCACGACTTCTTCTTCTTTTCCAAACTCTGCCCTTTGCCCACACACTCCCTGCTGTCGTCCCCGCGTTCGTCGGCCGCCGACATGCCAGGCCGCCACCCAGCTGAAGAGGCCAGCCCTTTACCCCCACCACAGGCACCCCACGCCACCTCACTCGACCAGCAGGTCATGTACACCTTCTCCTCCCCGGCAGCCGAGGTGCGTGAGCGGACGCGGCTGCGGAGGTGGCGGTCGAGCAAGCAGCCTGTCGACGCCATGCTCTTCCACACCTCGCCGGCAACGGTGGCGGTGGCCGACCCTGTGGAGGAGCTGCAACACGAGCTGCGGCTGTACGAGCGCGACCGATACGTCAACTGGAAGTTCTACTCGAACACATACCCGCCGCTCCCGCATGCGGACTTTGTCGACACTGCGCTTGGGCTGTGGTGGGATGACTTTGGCTTCCTCTCGGCCAACCGTGACGTCTTCTCGTGGCTCTTCCCCACCATCGGCTCGCGCGGCGTCAACGCCCACGCCTCACCACTCTCCAAGCCCGAGGCTTTGCTCATGACCAAGGACATCTTCATTGCCAACCGCCTTGTTCGTGCCTTCCGCCTCTTCCTCCGCTTTATCGGCCTTGAGCTCCGCGACGAGGTGACCGGCGAGATCGGCGCCGCAGACTCCGAGGGCCTCTGGCAGCGGCGCGGGCGCAAGTTTGCCTCGTCGTCCTCCTTTGACGCCATCGTCGTCCGGGTCATTCGTTCGCTCACTGCCCTCGGCTTTGCCCGCTACAGCAGCGGCCTGATCGACTTTCTGAAGGTTGCTATCTTTGGCGACGATGGGCCGACCGAGTACGATCACGGCTATGTCCGGGCTCACACCCGGCGTAAGGCCTTTCAGAAGCGCGGGCCGCTTGCCCCTCGAGCGCGCGCCTTTAAGACCATGTGGGAGCCGGCCAGCCGAGATAACCCGTTCGGCAAGGGAGCGGAGATCCCGACCTCGGTCTTCTTTGATCCGCCGCCGGCCTCGGCCGACCCCGGTCTGGCCGACACCCGGCCGGTGGCTGCGACAGAGCACGGCGATGAGATGTACTTGGACGAATACTCAGAGTACACTGTCGAGGATGGCGAGCTCGAGCCCGAGCCCGAGCCTATTGTGGAGGCCAAGCCCGAGCCCGAGCCCGAGCCCGAGCCCGAGCCTGCTGTGGAGGCCAAGCCCGAGCCAAAGCCCGAGCCCGAGCCCGAGCCTATTGTGGAGGCCAAGCCCGAGCCCGAGCCCGAGCCTATCGTGGAGGCCAAGCCCGAGCCAAAGCCCGAGCCCGAGCCTATCGTGGAGGCCAAACCCGAGCCAAAGCCCGAGCCCGAGCCTGTTGTGGAGGCCAAGCCCGAGCCCGAGCCCCAGCCCGTGATCGAGGCGACGCCGGAAAAGACGCCAGACAACGACGAGCTGGAACTGGAACTGGAACTCGAGCTGTCGCCTTCCAAGGACGACTCGCTGGGAAGCTTGCTCGACAACGATGACGATCTCGACCTGTCGCTGGGAGACAACGTTGCTGAGGTAGGGGCGGGAGGAAGCGACGAGCTCGACCTCGACCTCGGGCTAAGTGACGACGACGACGACGACCTGCTCGGTCTTGACGACGACGACGACGATTTCGGACTTGACGACCTCGGCCTCGATGGTGACGATGACCTGGACCTCGGCGACCTTAGCCTCGGCGACGACGACGAGTTTGAGCTGTAGCTGTCGTGTTACTTCTCACTCAGGCGGCGGCACTCGCAGCCGGGGCATCATCGGGGCTGAAAATGAATGGCATGACAAGGACGACGATAGCAAACGGCAGGGCCAGGCAGCCGACGATGTAGCCGTCACCACCGCGCCACGACGCACCGTTCTCCTTGCCGTTGAAGCTCTTGTAGTAACCGGCGTTGCAGTTCGCGGCCGGGTTCTTCTCGCAGTCCTTCTTGAGGCCGCCGGGGACGGCAGCACCGACAACCACCAGCGAGATGAAGAGGCAGAAGATGAGGACAGCAGCAGAGGCGAGAGTGATGATCTTAGTCAAGCTCGAGTCGAGCGGCGACTCGGCCGAGAGCACACCATACAGCAGCGCGCCCACAAGCGCACCGATCGAGGCGAGAAAGGCAAAGACCGCAAATGAGACACCGGCGTCAAGCACCTTCTTCACGTTCTCGTTGTCCTTGTCGAGCTTGGACGACGAAGAGGAACTCGGCGACTTGTTGACAACCTTACCCCAGTAAAGATCGCTATCAGTCGAAGCCTGGGTGATGTGGAAGACCGGCTGTTGAGGTAGCGGAACGACCAGACGCATGAAAGATGGTATGTGTGAGTGTGCGTATGATGCCCAGCCGTGACTTGCGCAACGTGGCTCGAAGTGACCAGTCACACGTGCTGCAATCCCCTCTCCCCTCCCGTCTTCCCCCGCACTTGCGGGTGGTGCGACCCAATGTACAAACTTACTCCAGCAAGGTATCCGATGAGGAAGAAGAACGTGATGGTTGCGCACTGTCCCCGTCCTCCCAATTATGTGAGTCTTCCTTGTGTGCCCTTGTGCCCTTGCATGGCTGACTGGCTCAGTGTTGTCGGGTCGCCGTTGCGCAACGGTGGAGGATCTCTGTCGGGAGCTTTTTTCCCCACTGTGACTTTGTTGACAAAGTGGGCGTAGAGGGGGATGGAGGCTGTGGGCTGGCTATGCTACAGGGTGATAAGTTGGGAAGAGGGAGGGGCAAGGGGCGTGTGCGTACAGCAGCGCCGGCAATGGCCACAGGGTTGAAGTTCGGCATCCTGATAAAGCAGAAGAATCGAGTGTGGTGTGTGGACGTAGGTGTGACCCGCTTTGTTTGGTCTGCCACGGCACTTTTGAATGCGTCGCGGCGGTCGCATCTGCAAACATTCACGTGTATACAACGTGAGTAATGTCGCATATGACGGTATCACGTGTGTGTGGTTTCTCTTTGAACGGACATGGTGCTTTTGAAACAGCCCACCACTGCCCCTCAGCGACTACATATATGTAGTCGACTACATATATGTAGTCGCTGAGGGGCAGTGGTGGGCTGTTTCAGCTTTTCCACTCTAGCTTCGCACTCCCCCCCAAGTATGCTCACTCCGTGCACCAAGCACCTCTTGATATCGAAAGGTGGGTGGGTGGGTGGGTGGGTGGGGGGGGGGGGTGCCACTGCCAGTGGCGATCCGGCTTAACCGTCCCAGTGTAGGAGAAGCAGGGCCACGCGTGATTGTCCGACGCGTTTGACTGCGCGCGTGACCATACACTGAACCTTTTGGGGCCATCTTGCCCCTGGAGCTTGTGGGGCGATCCTTGCACTGTGCCACGTGTCGCCCCTGTTCTTGACGGGTGAGATGGTGGATCAGATGTTGCTTAAGACCAACCGCTACGCGCGCTCGCACAACAAGATGCAGACAAAGCTGATCGCCGTCAGCAAAGGTAAACTGCCGGCGTGACTAAAGGTCGAACAAGTTAAGTCTGGGCAACGAGGCGGCCAAGTCGCATGTACCGGACACGCTCTTCCGCGCCATCATGGCCCACGTCCACCTCGTGAACAATGCGGCTTTCGACGCCGACGCGCGCGTGGTTGATCCTCTCTGGAATACTCGCCTCTGCTCGACATGATCAACGAGCAGTCGAGAGCGGTGTACATGCCAGCTCGTGGCCTGGCGCTCGACGAGAGGAAGATAGGTTGCAAAAGGGTGTGTGCGCTTTATCTTCACCAAGCAGCGCAAGCCGACAAGCATCGGCATCAGCGCTGAGCGCTACACCTTTTTGGCGGTCTCGGAGACGACCTTGGCGGCAAAGGGGTTCATCCGGCCAAGCAAGTTGTGACCACGGAGCAGATGGTGGTAGCCGACGGCACCGATGTGGAGCGGGACGAGGTACTCGAGCACCTGGCCCACGCGGTGGTGGTTGGTGTAGAAGAAGTCTTCGATGGCCTTGGCCCGCTCGTCGTACTGCTCCTTCGGCAGGCCGGGCACGTTCCATGCAAAGAACGGGACGCCCCAGCACGAGTAGTAGCCAAATGCGAGGCCGGAGACCGGCATGAAGATCATGGCGCCGTAGAGCGCGGCATGCGAGAGGTTGCCGGCGAGATGCTCCCACGCAGGGCCGGGCAGCTGCTTGGGCGCCTTGTGCATAAACCGGATGGCGATGCGCGGGACAATGGCGGCGAGCATGAGCAAGCCAAACGACTCATGGTAGTGCATCATTGTCGACCGCCACGCAAGCGTCTTCTCGTCGGTCTTCTCCGGATCGTTGGGGATTTGCCCGGCGAGCCAGCCCGAGCCGACCAGGCCGACAATGGTAAAGCCCATGGCCCAGTGCAGGATCTGCGCCGGTCGCGACCAGGCCTCGGCCTGCGGTGGCGGCGGCGGTGGCGGCGGCGTGTTCGACGCGGTCTCCCCACCAGAGGCGGCAGAGGTAGCGGGCCGAGTGGCAAAGGCACGGGCAGCAGCGAGCGACGGCGACGCAAGAGTGGCGAGAGGCGGTCGTGGGGCCGACGCCACAGCAGCTGCAGAGACCGCACGGGTCATTGCGTGCAGCAGGGTACGCGTGCGAAGCATCGTTATGAACAAGCCTTGTGTTGCAAGAGACGTTTTGCGTCCCGCAGCCCCCTCATTGCTGTTGTTGCTTCGGTTCCCCCGCCCGCGCATGCAACAAACTTGTTGACAGGTGCATTCCACCAACCGCCGCTTGCGCAAGCCCTGCGTCCCAACCCAATCCTGACCCCCCCCGCAGCCCCCTCCCGAGCCAGGATGGGCAAGAGTGCCACATGCCTTGTCGGATGTAATCGAGGTTATGCCGAGGTGGCTGGGTCAAGGCCGGGCTATAGATTGCTCGCCTCTGTTACGTATACCAAGACCTCTGAGGATTGCAGCCTCGATCAAGACTCGGGGGGGGGGGGGGAGGGGGGGGGGGGAGGAGAGAGAGAGAGAGAGAGAGAGAGAGAGAGAGAGAGAGAGAGAGAGCCACATACACCATGGCGATGTGAGCCACTCTTTGTCCTTCATTGGCGATGATTGGACTCGGAAAGAGCCTCAGCCGATGTCAAACCAGTCCTATCTCGCCAGCCATCTCGCCAGCGAGCAAGACCAGCAGAGTCCGCCAACCGGCCAACTTGGTACCCCCGCACCACCGTCCACCATCACCACCAGGACCACCACCAGGACGACCACCAGGAGCACGGCCACCACGGCCGTCCGCGGTACACCTCACCCCATCCCACCTCTCCACCCTCTCCATCCTCCACCACCACCGTCATGACCAACGTGGTTGCCCGCAAGCTGGTCATTGTGGGTGACGGGTCGGTGGGCAAGACATGCCTCCTGCTGCGCTACGCCAAGGGCGAGTTCCAGACCGCATACATCCCAACTGTCTTTGACTCGACCATTGTCGACATCACCATCGACGACGTCGACATCGAGCTCTCACTGTGGGATACTGCTGGCCAGGAGGGTATGTCCAAGCTGCCGCTGCCTGCCCTTGCTCACCCCCCGCGCCCACAAGCCCCTCACTCACATCACTTGCGGACACAGATTACGACCGCCTGCGCCCGCTCTCTTACACCGACACCTCGGTTGTGCTCATCGCATTTTCAGTCGTCCGCCCAGACACGCTCAAGAACGTCCATCTCAAGTGGAAGGATGAGGTGCAGCACTTTTGCCCCAGTGCACCCATCCTTCTCATCGGCACCAAGTCAGACCTCCGCGAGTCGTCCACAGAGCCCACGGTGTCGCCCGAAGAAGCAAAGGCTGCTGCCGCTGCTATCGGCGCTGCTTCTTATATCGAGTGCTCGGCGCTGAGCGACGTCAACGTGAACACTGTGTTCCAGACCGCAGCACGTGCTGCGCTCGAAGGCGTCGAACGCGCCCCGTCCAAGCGCAAGTGCTCTCTCCTTTGACATGGCCCGCGCATGCTCCATGTGCCGCCGCGCCCTGCTTGCACCGCGCGCTGCTGCCCATCCCCCATCCTCCTCCCTCCCTCTCCGGCCTCCATCGCATACCTGCTGGTCTCTACTCTACGCATCAAGCCTTCAGTCGTCGCAACTCGCATACCCGGGGCGCCGAGCACGCAAGCTGTCGCTGCAGCGGCAAAGAGACCAAACTCACCAGCCTGCGCCACACTTGTCCGCCTCCCACACACGTACACACACTTGTTACATGGAAGCTGTCGCTGCTGCAGAGGGCATGGGCTGGGGAGGACTGGCAGCTGTGGTGGCAGCTGTGGTGGTGGTGGGAATGGGAGTGGCCCGAGCCGTCTCGGCCGCCGTCCTCCCGCGAGGCTTCCAGGGCGTGCTCATCGTCACCATTCCCAAGGCCAAGGCGGTACCTGCGACGGGCTTTATGGCGCGGCTGACGAATGCCGCCAAACGAAGCGTGGGCTCGGCTGTCATCGACAAGATCCAGACCAAGCTCTGCGAGCGGCTGGACGCCGAAGGCGTTGTTTACGACGTCCTCCGTGCCGGCGACAACTCGAGCCTCACCTTTCACATCAACAATGCCTTTGACCTCGTGGCTGCCCGCAAGGGCGCGCCATGGCCTGCCTCCTCTGGCTTGCCACCGACGTCACCTACTTGGTGCTTGACAACCTGGTCACCTCAGTTCGCGGCGAGCTCGACGCGGCGCGGGTCGTGGCACAGGTCCGGGCACGGTGACAAGCTCATCATCACGTGCTCGACGATGCCGACGACAGCGAGTCGGATGCCGAGCTGGAGCTTGACGCCGAGCCGGACGCGCTGGAGCTAGACTCTGAACCAGAGCTCGAGCTCGAGCTGGACGAGTCCATCTCATCGCGGTGCGCCTCGTACCACGCCACCGTCGACGCCATCCACTGTGGAAACGGCGTCGGCTCGTAGTCGACGCCGTAGCTGGCAAGCGTGGCGACGAGCTTGGTCATGGAAATTGGCCCGATGTCGACCGACGGAAAGACAAGATGGGTGCCGGGGCCACCATGCTTGAACTTGAGCGACTTGCTCAGCCCGAGCTCCCCCGCGATGGTCTCGACGTACTCGCGGAGAGTTGGCCGCTCGTACGAGCCGACGTTGAACGACTCGCCGATGAGCGGAAGCCGGTCGCCGTCGCGACTCTTGGACTTTCGTTTGGCCTTGGCCTTGGCCTTGGCCTTACCACGACTTGCGAGCGCCCCGGCAAGCGCGACGCACACTCGCGCCACATCAGGCGCATACACAAACGAAAGTGGGAGGTGGGTGTCCATACCGAGGCCGATAGTCTCGCCGTCTGCGACAGCGCGCTGCATCGAAAAGTGGCGCGACGAGGGGACCTCGGCCTCGCCGACGACGTCCGGCAGGCGGAGGGCAATGAAGGGAAACCCATGGTTGGCAGCAGCTTGGCGGAGCTCGCGCTCGGCATCAAGCTTCTTGTCGCCATACGAATCGAGCCGACGACGGGCCGACTTTGACGCTGACGAGTGGCGGACGTCCTGATCCTCCTCGACCAGACGATGCGGTGGAGCGAGCGCTCTCCGAGCCTCCATCCCGCCTCCGGCTCGCAGCGTGCCGGCTCTGGCGGGCCCGGCACCCAGCGCGTTGCTCGCGTCGCCTTGGCCCATGCCTTGTCTGCACTCTGCTTGTTCGTCCACGGAAGGGTGACCTGGTAGACCGAGTCTGTCGAGATGATGATGTAAGCCTTGAGCGAGGCCTGCAGCGCTGGCGAGGCGGCGTAGGCGGCGACCACGCGGGAGACATGGCCCCTTTCAAACGCCACACAATCGACAATGAGCTCGATCTCGCCGCCCTCCAGCACCTTCTCCAGCGCGCCGGGCTTGTCGCGGTCGGCGACGACATGAGTGACGCCTGTGGGGAAGGCCCCACCGCGCGGCGGCGTCCGCCCGCGTGTCACAGCCGTCACTGACGCAAAGCCCGCATCAGCCAGTGCTTCAACAACATGTGCAGAGATGAATCCTGTCCCACCCACCACCAGTGCCCGCCACGTCTCGGTCGCCATGGCTATCTCGCGGGTGTGCGATGAGTGCGACGAGTGGTGGCTGGGCTGGGCGAGTGGCCAGCCGGCCGGCCGGGTTGAGAGGCTCGGCCGGCAGCGAGTTCAATCGAAGGAACACGAATGGTTTTGCCACTTGGCTTTTGCAGCACGCGTGACACGTCAGGCATGCTCACCACACGCATGTCGGTCAATGTGCCTTCACGCATCAGTGGGCCGGCTATTCTCAAGGGTCTAGTCATCTTCCAGATGACAGGCATGTTTTCTGCATACTGTACGCTGCTGCTGTCCTGTGGCTGCTCTACCCGTGGCCGCCGTGAAGCCATGGCCGCCGTGGCGAGAAGAAGAAGGCCGTGCGGCTGGCGGGTGGGCGGGATGGCGGAAAAAAGCCGTTGATGGAAGGGGGGGGGGGGGGGGGGGGGGGAGGACGATGGACTCACGGATCGCGAGTTGCCCCGGCGGATACAGTCATTGCACTTGCGGTGGGTCATGTGGCGCCGCCGCCGCACGTGCCGATGATTTCTGATCTGCTGGTGTCTGTGCCCGAGGCAGCGGTGGGCGTGGGCGTGTTTGTCATGGTGGGGACGATGATGATGTGCGCGGCGGTGTGCTTCCACGATTACATCCAGCTCCAGCTGGATCTTGCAGGCATCCGACGGACTCTGTGATGCATGTCAAGAACAAGGCCGCGACGGCGTTGTCGGTGGTGGCGTGTGTGTTTCTCGTCACGTTGACGGTGTGCAACGAGAAGGCGTGCTCGCACGTTCACGACACGTCGGCTGTCATCTTCTTTGTCCTGTATCTGGTGTACATGGCGTTTGTGTGCGCATTCCTGTCGGCGGCGGTTGACCAGCACGCCCGGAGCGTCAATCTCATCACCCGGGCCTCACTTCGGCTCAAGCAGGGCATCGCCGCTGCCAACTTTACCTCGCTCGCCCTACTCGGCATCTTCTCCTCGCTCGGCTGGTCCGCGCACGCTAACAAGATTGCTCTCTGCGAGTGGGCGGCCGTCCTCCTCATCCTCGCCTTCAACTTTTCGTTCTTCCATGAGTTCTCGGGCACCTCTGTGGCGGTCATCCAGGATCTCCCCTCGGTCCCTGATCCGTCAGCCGACCACCCGCGCGGCGCGTATGCCCCGCTCGCAGCCTACGCCGAGTCGGACGAGTTCTAACTGTGCCCTGTGCTCCCATGCTCTTCCACCTCAACACACATCTTTTAACACACATCCATCCTTTCCTTCGTCGTCCGCACCAAGCCCCCCCCCCCCCACTTTGCCGGTTGAACTCTTTGCTCATTCCGTGTTGGTTCACTCGGCGTGACCAGTTTGCAGGCGAGGCCCCACAGCTGGCCAAGGCGCCACACCCCACGCAGCCAGGCCGCACGCCAGCATGTCTGTGGACGCTGATCTTTACGGACACTACAGCTACAGCTCGCCGCCAAATGTCTCGGCCTCGGTCTCCACGTCGGCCTCTCCCTCGCCGCCGCATCCGCCACGCCCTTCGCATGTCCCTCGTCTCGACCTCGCTGCCAACGGCTCGGCCGGCGGCGGGCCTCCGCGGCGGGCCGGCCCACCGCATGGTGGTGGAAGCTACCAGGGGCCACCGCATGGCGGTGGAGGCTACCAGGGGCCACCGCATGGCGGTGGAGGCTATTCGCAACCACAGCAGGCTGGTGGCCGCCCGGCTGTTGCCTACCCGTCGCGCCTCTCGCGCGCCACCATCGACGACGCCGAGCGCAACATTGGCGGCGCAGACGACTCGCTCTCGAACAAGTACGGCGGCATGCGTGGCCCGCCACGGCGCCAGGCCCAGCAGCCACCGCTCCGCCAACCAGCGCCTGGGCCCAGAGCCGGGCCCGACCCCGGCCGTGCGCCGCCGCAACGCCAACACGCGACCGGAGCCGGGGCTGGGCGCTCGCCTGCCGCCTATCCCCCACGGATGCGTGAGCAGCCACCGCCGCAGCGTGCTGATCCGTACGGCGGTCACTCGCGCATGCAGCCCCAGGTTGACGATGACCCGTACGCGCAGTACCGCCAGCCGCCGCCTCGCCAGCAGCACCAGCAGCACCAGCAGCACCAGCAGCACCAGCAGCACCAGCAGCACCAGCAGCACCAGCAGCACCAGCAGCACCAGCAGCACCAGAACCCGTCACAGCAGCAGCGCGGAGGATATGGTCAGCCCAATCCGGGCGCTATACCCGCAGGACGCGCACCGCCGGGCCGTTTCGGCGGCGGCGCCAGCGCGCATGGCGCACGCAGTGGACGCGGTGGGCGCGGCCACGCCGAGGACGTGGCGTACCCGCCGCGGCTTTCGCCAGAGCCGTCGCGCAATGCCAACACCAACTACCCACCGCGGCTCTCGCCGAACTCGAACGCGCGGATCGAAGCTCAGTTCAAGGCCGAAGAAGAATCGATCTTCCGCCAGCAGAAGCAGTACGAGGCCGATCGCCGCGCAGTGGCACACGCGCAAGGCCGCAATGGCGGTGGCAGCGCCGGTGGACAGCCGCGGTACCAGCGCTCGCTCTCCCGCTCGTCGACTCGCTCGCCGGCGCCGCAGGTGACGAGGACCGACCCGTACGCCATCGACGCGCCGTTTGGCCGCATGGGCGACTCGCCAACGCCGTTCCGGCCCAACCGTCGCCGGCACGGCCACCCCTCACAGTCGTCGTTCAATCCACTCCAGCACGAGGAGCACAACCCGGGCGCGTCGCCGAACCGTGCGTACTCGCGCTCCAACCCGCTCGCGGGTGAAGGCGAGCGTGGTGATCGCCGCGGGCCGACTGGCCGCCGCCGCCTGGAGCCGCACGGCGGCCGCGCCTCTGGCGCGTACCCAGGCTCAGGTCTTGAGCCACATGCCGCCTCGTACGGCGCAGGCGGTGCTTACGGCGACGAGATCGGCACAGGCGGCGCACGAGGCCGCCGCGAAGGCTTCCAGCGCGGCCGGAAGGAGCTCTCGACCAAGATTGGCGCGCGCTCCGACCGCTTCCTCCGCCGGTGATCCACGCAGCGCACCATGTGTTTACAGGTTCAGGACGCGCAGCCGCCTTGCCTCTCCAACTCAGTTCGGGCCGACGGGCTCGAGCCCATGCTCACGGGCGTAGACGCCCGCAAAGGCATCGTGGATGTCGAGGCGCCGCCGGTGCGCGTGGTATGCCATGGCGAACTGACACAGGATGAGCACAAAGACGCCAATAAACTGGAAGGCGATCGACGAGACAATCGTGTCAAAGTTTTCCCAGCACGCCGCGTCGTTGCTTGCATGCTGCTCGTCCGTTGCTCGCTGGCAGTGGATAAAGACCGTCAGCAGCCGCCAGATCGAGAACAGCGAGACAAGGACCGCAGAGCAAAGGCTCGCATGCTTGGCCACCTTGAGTCCCGAGTACCGCTTCTCCCACGATCCAAAGTTCGAGTAGTAGTACGTCAGCATCGAGGTGCCCAGCGCCACCACGTACACCACAACGTCCACCACCAGAATCGACACAGACAGTCCGCCCACAATGCGCAACCGCCCAAGGTCCGGCAACATGAGCAGGCCCACAAACGCCAACACGAGCGCAATCTGTCGTCCCTCACCAAACAGACCCCATATCCATACCCCACACCCGCCTCACCCTTGTAAGTGACCTCCACCCGCATCCCCCTCCCTACCCCCCTCCCTACCCCCCTCCCTACCCCCCACCCCCTGTGCGCGTGACCTGGATCACCAATGATCCATGACACGAATTCATGGCTTCATCCATGGTTCGTTCCTCGCATCGCAACATTGGCCGTTTGCCATTCCGTGGCCAGCCAAGCCAAACCCGCCACACACCCTACCCTCCCCCTTCCCCCTCCTCCCTCCCCCCCCCTCCCTCCCGCAAACAATGTGGTGCACATACCACGCTTATGGCAAGGGCAGCTACTGTCTTGTATTCCTTGTCGTCCGGCTCAAAGTCGGAGCGTTTGAACTCGTCCCGTGGGCTCTCGCCAGAAGACGACATGGCCAATGACTAGCAAGCGAGAAAAGTGGCAATGCCACCCAGTGTGCAACAGTTTTCACTTTGCTGCTCTACACTGGCGACGCAGGTGGAGCGGGAGACGCGTCGCGAGGTGCGGGAGGAGCAGCCGCAGGCGCGACAGGCGCGAGCTCGATCCCATCACTGCCGGCATCTGGACTCGGCGCAGCACTGCTTGCAAACATCGCCGTCGGATCAAACTGCTTCTGCTGCACGCGCTCAACAGCACTGGCTCCGTCGTCCGCAAACACCGCCAGCTCAACACACTCACCGTCCTGCTCCACAACCGTCCCGAGGTGCGCCGACCACACCGCCTCGCGCGCCAGCCGCCGCGACGTCTCGTCGCGGAACTGCTCCAGCTCGCTCAGCTGCGAGATCCCAGCTCCGGGCGGCAGCACCTTGAACTTGGTCAGCAGCGCGTACCGCGTCTCGGCCTGCACGTCCAGTCCGCGCCAGTTCTGCAGACTCTCTTCAGAACGAAGCTCGGCCCATACACTCACAAAGCCCTCACGGACCACAAGTGTCTGCACCCGGTACTCGGTGCTCGAAATGAACATCGGAATCGCCGTCGCGGCATCAAACTCCTCCGCAAGCTCCTCGTAGCTTCGCTCGCGCCCGAGCTCACTGCCGAACCCGTCAGCGTGCTCAAATAGGTACAAGCCTGACGCCTTGGGCACGCTCACCGCAAACTGCGTCGCCCGCCCGGCGTCGAGCACATACTGCACCGGCGACGCCATCATCGCGCCAAGCATCGCGTACTCGGCCGTCGGCGTGTGCAGCTGCTGGAACTCGCGGACGCCAAACTCGGACGCCAGCGAAAAGTCCACCACAATGCCGACGTCGGCGCTCCCAGCTTTGCCCCCGGCCCGCTCTGTGTCGTGCAGCTCGACCTCGCCCAGCGTGTCACGCTGCCGCGATGCCCGGAACTTGGCCAGTTCGGCGTTCTCCGACGACAGCGCCTGCTCCAGCGCCGCCTGCTCGTCCTCGGTGTACGTCCCCCGAGCCACCAGCTCGCTCACCCGCTCGCCGTCGACCAGCAGTCGCGCCGAGTACACTCCCCGGCACGGGATGAGGTACCACGCATACGTCGTCATCAGATCCTCGCTCTGCTCCACGCGGGCGTATCGCTCAGGCTCGCCCTCAACGTTGTGCAAGACCTCCTCCACCGTCGCACCCAGTGCAATCGAGTCGCGCAGCAGCGTCGTTGCCAGCGGCAGTGGCCGCTTTGTCGTCAGCTCCAGCGTCCACAGGATGGAGTGCGGCGTGACCCTCCGCTGCCGCTCCACAATCCGCATGTCAAACTTAAAGAAAATCGGCATGACCCGCAGCTCGTCCGACGCGTACCCACCCGACACCCCGTGTCGCATCAGCTTGTACTGCACACGCAGCGCCATGCCCACCGCCACCCCAATCACCACAATGTTGATGACAATGACGCAGATTATGATGATCCCGAGCGTGGTCCGTCCAGACTCCGACATCGAGGACGCTGTCGCGTCAAACACCACTCCCAGCATGAGAATGAACGCAGCAGATACAAGGTGCAGCTGCTCCAGCCAGTTGATGTGCCGGTCGCGGAACGGTGCAAGCACGTACTGCACTCCCGAGCCCAGTAGAACCGTGCACATGGCCCAGATGATCTGTGCTTGCGGCGAGCCCGGGAACAGCGCTTTGCCAAACACAAACAGGAACTTGCGCACAATGAGCACGAGCTCGTACAGGTAAAACTTGCGGAGATACCGCTGGTACAGCAGCCCGTACCGGATCACATTCTTCTCCTTCCACAGCGAGTACCGCCGGGTCCGCAAAACCCAGAACACCGTGGCCGGGAAGCCGACTCCGTACAGGAGCAACGCCACAACAGAGACTGCCACCATGTTGTTCCACGTCTTGCTCTTGCATGTCATCGCAGGCTCGGCGTTCATCGTCAGCGTCCCGTCTGCCTGCCGGGTGCATCCGAAAATCGAGAGTGCCGCAGACGTAAGCACAATGTAGCAGAGGACCAAGCAGGTGAGGAAGGCATTGAGGCACGACCAGAGCACCACCTTGAGTCCCAGCTTCGACAGCTCCGGGAACCAGCCCGCCAGCCGCGGCGAGCACTGCTCCAGTTTCCGGGTCGGCACGCACTTGCGGATCAGGTAGTACACGCTCGCCAGCCCGCCGCCAAACAGGAAGATGGCGCTGAAAATGAGCGGAAGCGACATCTTGATCGCCCACACCAGCAGGAACGGCGACGAGCCCTGGTCCACCATGCACTGTGGCTCAAAAAACTGCGAGAGGTTGAGGGCCAGAATCTGGAAGACGTTGAAGAACGACTTGACAAAGTTCGGCCACTTGATGCCAAACGACGGCAGGATTGAGATCATTTGCAGGAACGAAGCACCTACCGCCAGCGACGCAAAGTAGTGCGTCGACTTGCGCGCGAGCTTGACCAGAAGCACACAGAGACAGATCGCGAGCACAATCAGGATCGGGTACACCACCTGCTTGGCCGGCGGACAAACCACGCAGTTGGTGCCGTCCTTCTTGTACCACCCGTTCTCGCAAAGCTCGCACTTGAACCCGCGATGTCCGCCCCGACACGCGCCCTGCAGACAGTTGGTCATCGGGACACAAGTGAGGAAGCCGCCCGTGTCCGGATTCTGCCACCAACCAGGCGAGGCGATCGGGATCGACCCACCGCCGGCGCAGTACCCGCCGAGTGGGCACGGGATGCATTGCCACTCGGCTGCGTCGCGGGCGCTGAACGACTTGTACGTACCCTCGGGGCACGGCTCACACCGTTCTGCCGCTGACGGCAGCTCCGGCGACCAGAGCCCGACCTGCTGGGCGCCAACGGTACACTCGATGGTTGCCGGACCGACTCGCTGGAACCCGGCGTTGCACACAAACTTGCCGCATCCATCACCAAGTGCTTCGGTACATGCCGACGCTGTGATCCACTCGTCGTTGCCCCACTCGAGGCTAGGCGACGGGACCGAGAGCGAGATCTGCCCGTTGTCGGCCGGGCCGACCGACGGGCAGTAGTTGGGCATCTTGACGCACCGCGGCTGCGGCTCCGACCATCGCGAGAGAGCCCGGGTGTCTGGGAGGCAGGTGACAGTCATCTGGTACACCATCTGGTCGCCGCGCTCGGCAATGTAGTAGCCCGGATCACAGGTATACGTCGCTGTGTCACGGGTCACGCCGCCGGCTGCCGAGACCTGCCCGTTCGCTGGTGCGGACAGCGGCGGGCAGGCGAGCGGGATGCAGGTCAGCAGCTGAGGGAACCAGTCGACGGCCAGTGGATAAGCCGGGTTGTTGGGCGCAGGCAAACACTGCATCGCCAGCTCATGAACGCCCGGCGAAAAGACAAAGCCAGCCTTGCACATGACGTGGTGCAGATCGGTGGTCATGCCGTCGAGCACCGTCTTGCTCTCGTCAGAGTCAAAATACAGCATGTCCTGGTTCAGCGGCTGAATGACGGTGGGACAGGGAAGAGGATCGCAGACCGGCGGTGTGACCGTCCAGTTACCCCATGATGCACACATCCGAGTCACGTTGCCGTTAAGCTCATAGCCGGCGTTGCACTCGTAGCGGGCGATGTCCTGGAACTCGCCAAAATGAGTCGAGACTTTCCCGTTGATAGGGTCCTCGAGTTTGGGATAACACGGCTGGCCGATGCACTTGAGGTAGTCCGAGTGCGACCACGCATTGGGCACCGTCGCGTTGCCCTGCTCGCACGTCCGCACAGTCTGTCCCACAAAAAAGTACCCGTTGTTGCAGGCAAACGTGACCGAGTCGCGCGTCACCGCCCCGCCGCTCCCGGGCACCATCGTCCCGTTGCCGGGCGCCGTAAAGTTGGTCGGACAGAGCACAGGCTCACATGAAGGGAGCGTTCCCGAGAGCTCGCCGCTCGGCAAGCACCGCCGCGCGGTGTTGCCCCACAGCTCAAAGCCCGGATCACACCCGTACGAGACCCATGCGTCCGTCGAGATCACCAGCGACGGCACCACATACCCGTCGACTGGAACCTCGGACGCAGTACAGTTGTTCGGCTCGCAGTACGGGACCGGCGCCGACCACGCCGACCAGATGGTGTCAAGCGGATCGGCTTCGCACGCCAGCACAGCCTCGCCGACGAGCGTGTAGCCTTCGTTGCACGTCGCATCCACCGTGTCGAGAGTCACGGCACCATACTGTGGCACAAGCGTCCCGTTACCCAGCAGCGGGAGGTTCCGGCACGGCAGCGGCACGCAGAGCGGGACTGGGAACGCGGCCGGCAGCCATCCCCCGTTGCCGGGACCCTGGCCCCCAACATCGGCACAAGTCCGCGATGCGTTGACCAGGACCTGTGACCTGTAGCCAGGGTCACAGGTGACGTGACACTCGTCCCCGATTTCAGAGCCGCATGAAATCCCAACCGGTCCGTCTAGCGCACCAGCGCCGTGGATGTCAGATGGAAGCGTGCAAAAGACGGGGATCTTGGCACACCCAAAATCGACATTGCCCGACCACTTGCCCTGCACCTCGCCGTTGGTCTCGCACGTGCGGCTTGTCACGCCTACGGGCTGATAGCCGTTGGCACACACCAGGCTTGCCACGCCGCCGAGACTACGGGACGTGTTGACCATCGATGCTGCGTTGGCAGGAACGGGTAGCTGTGGGCAGTAGTTGCTGATGGTGGTGCACTCTGGCAGCGCCGACCACATGCCAACGCTTGGGCCGCTCGCTTCGCAGGTGTAGCCCGAGCCCGCTGGGTCCGATGTATCAAAGTAGCCGTCATCGCAGTTGAAGAAGCACAGCTCGTCAACCTTGTGTGAGCACGGGCTGTCCTCGGAACCGTCCGCACCAGTAAGCGCAAGGCAGTACTCGACGATCTTGACGCATTCAAAGTTGCCCGAGCCCGACCACGTGCCGCTCGCCGCGGTATCAGCCTGGCACGTTTTGGTGGTGCCCGGCGTGGCGACTGCGACGTACCCGGTGTTGCACGAGAGTGACGCGGTGGCACCGAGGCGACGGTTGTTCGTGTACGCAATAGGCGCGGCGTTTGGAACCGACGGCAAAGTGCTGCAGTAGCCGTCGATGAGCTCACACGACGGCGCTCCTGACCACACGCCGGAAGTCTCATTGCTGGCAAGACAGGTGTACGGCGACGAGGCGGCGTTGGTGTTGGCGTAGCCGAGCGAGCACGTGACGGCGCATGTGTCGCCGAGCTCGTTGTCACACCCCTGGTCGTACGTAAAGTCGGCGACTGCAAAGAGGGTGCAGTAGTCCTCGATGAGATCGCAAGCAAAGTTCTGCGTGCCGGACCAGCGCCCGGAGCTCGACGACAACGCGTCGCATGTCCGGGACACAGTCCCAACCGTTGCGTACCCATGGTCGCAATCAAGCGAGGCAATAGTACCTAACTGACGCGAAGTCGGCACGTACGAAACAACGCCGTTGGGAGTGGTGCCAAGGCTGGCGCAGTAGTTGCTCTTGTAGTCGCACAATGGAGTGCCATCCCACACACCTGTGGCGTCGTTGAGCAGACAGGTGTACGGCGGTGTGCTGACGTCGACGAACCCATCATCGCAGATAAAGGTGCAGCTCTCGCCGAGCTTGCCCTCACAGCCTGCGGTCGGAGCCCCGCGACCGGGTGGAGATGGCGACAACGCCTGTGCCAGCGGCGAGCAGTACCCGGGTTTCAGGACGCAGCCCACGCCGCTGTGGACGACCAGGTACCGGAGTTGATGTCCTGACCACCCGCTCCGCACTGGCGGGTGTTGCCATTGGCATCAGCCTCGTACCCGAAGTTGCAGGTGAGGGTGAGGATCGAGTTGATCTGCTGCTCGTCAGATTTGACAACAGCTGCTCCGTTGGTCGGCACCGAGTTGAACCGCGAGTCACAGTACGGGTTGAGAAGACCGCATATAGCGGAGGAGCCGCCGCCCCACGTTCCTAACGCGGCGTTGCCAGCGGAGCAAAGGTAGCTGTTGGGGTCGCCATAGCCGGCCAAGCACTTTGGCCGGCAAGAGGCGCCGAGTGTGCGAGCGCAGCCCGTCTCCATCGAGACCACGCCGGAGCCCGGCATGTCATCGGCGCAGTAGTCGGGCTTGATCTCGCATGCGTACAGTGATGGATCGTTCCAGGTTCCGACAGAGCTCGTTGACGCAACACATGTGACCGAGAGCGGGGGAGGTGGTGACGCGGCAGTGGTCCTGTAGCCAAAGTTACAGCTGAGCGTGCAAGTGTCGTCCAGCCGCCGCCCGGTGCAGGCATAAGAGCCGTACTGAGTTGGCGATGACGCTTCGATGTCAGGGCAGTAGCTGGCAATCTTGGTCGTGCATTGCGGAGTCCATGGATTGGTGTCCCACACACCTGACGACGGTGTTGAAGGCTGACATGTGCGGGTGATCACATGGGTGTTGGCCACGCTCCAGCCCAATGCACACGACGGCTGGCAAGACTCGTCAACACGGCCAGTGCAGGGTGTGTCGAACTTGATACTCGACGACGACGGAATGGCACAGTAGTTGTCGATCTTGTTGAAGGTGACTACACGGGACATGGCGCCGGAAGCTGTACAGGTTGCAAACTCGGATCCGGAGAGCACGTACCCATTCGAGGTAACAGCTTGGCACAGCTGATCGATCTGGACGGGACCGTCACATGGCGAGTTCCATGTCCCACCTGACATGCTCGGCGGGGTGCATCTTGCTGTGTCGACCGAGTAGTAGATTTTGAGCCGGATGCGGTCGAGCATCACGTCGCGGGAACACGATGACGGACACGATTGGGCGCCGGTGTAGCGGATGCAAGCTTGGAGAAATGGAAAGTCGACCTCTGTGAGCTTAAGGCTGGTGCCCAACATGTCTGTTGCGCCACCAGCCGTGTGATGAGACTCGTAAGTCGTGAGTGTCGCAAAGTCGCTCTTGGACCCTAGCACGGCCAGACTCCTGCGGAGCTGGGCTGACACTTTGATCGTGTAGCCGGTGCTGCTCTTTTTGCCAGTGGCAACGATCTCGACGCCATCGATCTTAGAGCCGGGGGGCGGTGCGCTGTTGGTCACCCAATTGTACGCGCAGATCCAGTCGGTGTGCTTTCCGGTCGTCGAGCCTATAACCACCACCGACTTGGCATCTCCAAGGTAGCCTTCAAGTACGTTCTCTGGATTGACCCAGTTGCCGCCGGAGGATGCAATGACCTGGACTTCACTACCGTACATGGTGCTAGTCATAGCTGCCGCGCTCATGCTGACGAGCGAGGCTATGAAGAGCGCGACGAAAGCCAGTCGTCGTGGGAGTTTGATCATTGGCGTCTTGCGATGCGGTACGTGCGGTGTGTTGGCAGGGAAGGAAGGGAAATAATAGAGTGGTGGGTGAGGTGAGGGGGGCGAGTGTATGGTATATAGGGTATGGCTAGGGGAGGGGGGTTAGGAGAGCGGTATGCCGGTATGTCCAGGACAGGCTCCGCGTGCACGAGTCACTGCCAGCTGTCGTCACGAGCGTCCACGGTCTTTCCAAGGGGAAAAATAGGTCGTGGTCCTCGCTATTGTCACCTTCCTTTCCCCACCCTAAAAAATGACACAATGACCGGCGACAGACGCCGGGCGCCGGGCGATGGACGCCGGGCGACGGGCGCCGGGGCGGGGGCGTCCACTTGACCAGGTGCCTGCGACATGCGCACCGCTGGACGGCAACTGGTGATGGTGGCGGTGCTTGTTGTGGCCGCGGCTGCAGTAGCAGTTGATGACAAGGCTTTGGCTGCACACCAGCAGCTTTGTGCTGGTGAACCGGGGACGTACTACGCCAACGGGGCGTGTGTAGGTACGGCTTGGTGGGCGCCGAGTGGCGCGGTGCTGCCTGTGCGCGCCAAAACACGACCGCTCCTGCCAGACCCAGACCCCCCCCTCCCCTCCTCCCCCCCCCCCCCCCCTCTCTGACTCACGACAGCCACGGCATCCATCCACAGCATGCGCAACGCACTCGGTTGCGCGGACTGTGCTGTTTCTCGCGCCGACGGTGCTGTCTGTAATGGTGGTAGTGGTTCTGGCGGCGGTGTGGCAGCCGCGGGCGCACACGGCTTCGCGCATGGCGGCGGCGCTGGCTACGTGGACCGGCGCAGTCCGTGGCGCGCAGTACATCGGTGTGGCCCAGCGGTTGGCACCAGATGCGGTGGGACGGATAGGTGGCTCTGTGCCTGGATTCCAGGCTCTGATTGCGGGTGTCATGCTTCAGCCGCATGTCCTGTGGGAGCATCGCAGCGAGTGCCCCGACGCCGCGGGCTGGCCGCCGCCGCCGGTATGGGTCGAGCACCTTGGGATGACGCTTATGCCGATGGTAGGAGCATACTTGGTGGGGCGAATCGGCACGGCGATTGTTGCGGCGTGTGCCGGAAGCAGGCCGCGGACGTTTGGCGCGCCCCGAGGGGCCGCCGCGCTATTCCGCGGCCTGCTCGCCCTCGGTGACATCTTCCTCCTCCCGCTCACCCTCAACGCTGCTGATGCCGTGCACTGCAGCAACGGGCTCGCTGGTGGTGCCTCGCTCCGGTTTCCGAGCCTGTGGTGCTCGCTGCGGCTCGCCGGGCGCCAACTCTCCGGTCCTGGCGACATGAGCAGTGGGCAAGGCCAGTACCTAACGATTGTGGTGAGCTCGGGTGTAGCTCTAGTCGTGCTCCTCATTTCGCTTCCGCTCTACCACACATTTCACATTGCGGTCTGGTCGCGGCTGAACTCGCAGCTCGACGGCCGGCTCATCGGTCGGTACCGAGCTGTGATGGGCGTCATGTATTGGCACCATCGGGCGCGGTGGTGGGGTCCGCTCACGCGATGGGGGTGTACATGCTCGGCGCTGTGCTTCCAATTGCAGGCCGTGGGGCGTCTCGTGCCTGGGGACATGCGGCGCTTGCAGCTGTTGGTCTCCTCTCGCTCGCAGCCGTGGCCGCAGTCCGGCCGTACAAGCGGCGGCGTGAGACGGCAGTATCGATCATCAACTCGCTGCTAATGGCGGCGCTGATGGTTGCCGCCATCGGAGCACATGATGGGTCGAGCGTGGCGCGGCTGACGCGCACGTCGCAGGCCTCGTACGGCGCGGTGGTTCAGTGCGCAGTGGCGCTGCAGATCGGCGTCTCGATCATCGGCACGGTGGCAGCGGTCATCGAGACCACTACGCTCAAGTGTCAGCGGGCACCTAGCACCCAGCGCGCTGCTTTGGGTGTTGACATTTTCGGCGGCGACGAGCCGTCGTCGGTGTGGGCGTCGGAGGGATCAGGCCCCGAGTCGGACTGGCTCTCAGACGCCCCCGGTGTGCTGCAGCCCGCCACGCCAGTGGCGCTGCTGCGGCAGCGAGCCAAGCTCAAGACGGCGAGCCCGGCGAGCCCGGCCCGGCATCGGCCGCAGTTTGCCACGCCGCTTATGTCGGAGCTCGAACAGGCACTGGCGGCGCGGCGCACGCTGTCGAGAGCGGACCGGGAAGCTTCGGCGCGGTACTTTTCACCGCTCTCGCCGCCTCTCTCAGCGGTGGCGCGAATGGTTGCGCGCGCGCTGCGGACCGGCGACAGCCGGTCGGCATCTGGCTCGATGCACACGCCCGCGCCGATCCTATCCCGCCCGGCTCCACCGCACTTTAGCGACGAGTCGGGCGAGCTCGAGGCGTGGGACGGATCTGACGAGTCAGGCGGGTACACGTCGTCTACGGTACTGCTCTCTGTGTAGTAAACCAAGAATGGCTTTAAGGCGGGCTCAATTAGGCCGACGAGGGCTTCTCGGTGCGGGCGAGCGGCTGGCGCTTGGGGCGGATGTCGCGCGGCCACTTGTACTCAAAGTTGGTGGCGTACGACTTTGCGACGGCCTTGGGCACGTGGGTCTTCTTGACAACATACGTCCAGCCCTGCTCGACAGCAAACTTGATGGCCGCCTCGCGTGTGGGGAACTCGACCTGGGCCTGGCCGACGGGATCAGCCGACGAGTTCCAGCCCATGAGCGGGTTCTTCCAGCGCGTCTCCTGCTCCCAGTCGATCTTCCACGTCTCACGGCCCTTCCACCCCTGCTGGGTGGCAACCCGCGCGGGCTTGAAGATGTAAACCTTGCGCTGGCGGACATTGCTGGGAAGGGAGAGGGGGTTGATCACGATCTGGGCAGGGCGGGGAGGGGGCGGGGGGGAAGGGGACGGGGTAGGGAGAGGGGGAGGGGGGAGGGGGGTGAGGAAGTCATGCCAATGGAGGATATTGCGGCAAGGAGGGGGGGGGGGGCATACCTCGACAGGGACGTCAGTGGCCGGCTTGACGCTGGCAGCAGGAGTCGCCGGCGCCTTGTCGGCAGCCACGGCCTGGGCCTTGTGGGCGGCAGCCCGCGGGAGGGCAGCGGCGGCAAAGGTGCGCAGCGAGGTCAGCGAGGCCGAAGCACGGAGGGATGCACTGGCAACACGAAGCATCGTTCTACAGTTGGCGCTTCAGTGCTCCGAAAGAGAGGTGTGTCCGAGTGGTGAGGGGTGGTGGCGGTGGTGGTGGGCCGGGTTGCTGGGGTGCGGTTGGGCGCCACTGCCCCTCCCCTCCCCATTGGGCTGTGACCTCCTTTCAATTACATGGTCCCGCACGACTGACCACACGCCTCGGCCGATGCACCCTGTTCGGCGCTTCACACCAGCTCCGCCTCTTCCATCGACGAAACGACAAAGGCCTCGGCGACGCGCGGTGATTTGGGGGCGGTGGGAGCGTTGAGCGCCTCGGCGGCGGCAGCGACAGTCGGTGCTGGCTTCCACTTGCGGGTCGGAACCGGCGGCGTCTCCGGCGACATCAGCATGAGGACCGGCGAGCCATCGAGAGCCGGCGCAACGCGGGCAGGCGTCACGGCCGGGGCAGCCGTGGTTGTCGAGCGAGCCGGCGTGCGGCGCGGTGTTGCACGGACCGACGGAGTGCGCACCGCGGCCGTGCTGGGCGTTTGCGGCGCAGCTGCCATGCCGGACTTGACCGGGGTCTTCTCGACATCATCCATCGCTGGCAGCGTGCTTGCAGTGACCGACGCAGCGGCAAGCCGGTCGCGCTCGGCCTGCTGCGCCTCGTACACCCGCAAATCGTACTCGATCTCCGCCGCCAGCCGCTTGTCGGCCACAAACATCTCGGCAATCTCGTCCGGGTAGCCAGCGACCAGGGCGCGGATCCAGGCCATGACCTCGGCCGCCAGCGGCGAGCGCGCCTCCTCGACTGCACGCTTGAGCGCGACCGCCACAGGCACCACGTTCTCCAGTACGTTCTTGTGCAGGACCTTGGAGAGGACACTCGCCTTGGCGGCGGCAAGTGCCTCGCTCGCTGAGTCGACGCCAGCGCCGTTTGCGGATGAGATGGCAATCTCATCCGATGCCAGAATGATTAGCGTGTCACGGAGGACGCCGGCACGAGCTTCACCAGCGCCGGCGCTCACCTGTGCGCCCGGAACCGCGAGCTCGCCGTCGACAAACGCGGCCAGCACGTCGGAAGTGAGCGAGCAGGTCAGCGCAAACTTTTGCTCGTCGGTCAGCGACCGCAGCAGCGGTGCGTACACCCGCCACCGTGCCTCCGCTGCCGCGCCGCTGACGCCGGTGATGACAAATGCTGCAGCCTCCTCGGGCCGCCCCTCAAAGTTGTTGAACGTCCCGTGCTCGGTGCACCCATTGAGGACAAACAGCGCCTCGACAAAGTTGTTGGCCACTACAAGCGGGTACCGTAGCAGCAGCACCTTGGTGAGACAGTACTCGGCAAACTGCGCCACCGCAGGCGTCGCGTCGGCCAACGCAGCCATGAACCGGAAGACCAGCGGGCCACGCCACTTGATGTAGTCCTCCTGCAGAAGCCGAGTCAGCAGCGTCAGCGCGTGCTTCCGCACAAGCGCCACTGGATCGCGGATGAGCTGCGCGAGCTGCGGCACGTACGCCTCCACTACCCCTGTGTACCGCACACACAGATCACCCATCACCACAGCCACATTCGACCGCACTGCAGCCTCGGTAGCCGTCGACAGCTCGCGCCCAAAGGCTGGCACGCACTCGCGGGCAAGCGCCTCGTCGGCCAGACAGAGCTTGCCGAGCGTGATAAACGCGAGGGCACGGAGCTTGCCCGTCGTCTCCCGCGCTACCAGAGCCTGCACAGACGTCACAGCCCGCGCCGGAAGCTCGACTCCACACGTCGCCAGCTCGCCAAGCATAAACAGCGGCGTCGCCAGAGTCTCGCCGTCGCCACTTTGCACGCTCGACGCCACCGCTGCATCAACTTGCGACATCAGCGAGTCCGCCCAGCCCGAACCGCGCAGCGAGGTCTGCGCCGGATTGGCTTCGAGCGCGTACAGCGCAGAGAGCGCGAGTGACGCCACCTCGGGCGCATCGAGCGTGCCTACCACCGCAAGAAGCGAGTTGGCCAGTGACCGCAGCTCGGCCTCGTCGGTCAACGCGCCCGCATATCCAACCAGGACTCGCAGCAGCAACATCTGGTGCGCGGCCTCGCCGCCGGGCCCAAACGCCGACAGCCACGCGCCCGAAAGGAGGCTGGCATCAAAGCCGGCCGCCTGCGCGTGCTGTGCGTACTCGGCAAGGAGCATCCATGCTTCCGCGCACGCCAGTTGGCCAGCAGGCACCTTGGCGCTCGCGTGTGCGCGGATAAACCGCTGCAGTCCAAGCCCGATGGCAGGATCCAGCGACCCACCGCCGCTCGCCGCCATGACCCTGAACCCGGCCTCAATGTACTTGGTGTACGATGCCGGCACAGCTGCAAGCAGCATCCACACATCGCTCAGCTGAGCCTCGTTGGCCCCGTCTCCGCCCTCGTACGCCAACAGCGGCTGGATGACAAGCGTATCAAAGAGGGCGAGTGCCTTGCTCGACACTGCGGCCTCTGGATCCAGCACGCCCGGCAGGACGGCGGTGGCCCAGACCTTGCGCAGTGCCGCCGGTGCGTGCGCTGACGTCAGCGCCTCGGTCAGCGAGTTCATCGCCTGCTTGCGCACCATCGGCGACGGGTCGAGCGTACCACGCGAGACAGCTTCGTAAACGCTTGCCATTGCAGTAGCCGGCACGCCGGCATTGCCCACTGCCCGTGCCAACTCGCAGAGCACCACCAGCGCGGCCTTGCGGACGCCCGCCCCGGTATCGCGCTGCCGCCGCTCGAGCTTGCCCAGTGCCCTAGCAAGGACACGGGCATTGGCGTCGCCGCGGGTGAGGCCAAACAGTGCGTGAGCTGCGCCCGTCGCTTCAGTCCCGTCATTGTGGGCCTTGAGGATGGCGGCAAGGCCGGCGAGGGCCCGCCCGCGGACCCGGGCCGACTTGTCTCCAACGCGCGCATAAAGGGCAGCAGTCAGCTCATGGGCAGCATCCGCCACACTCTTGGCGGCAGGCAGTCGGTGGGTGAGAAGCTCGGCGGCCAGCGACGCCGCAAAGAATCGCAGTGCCACCTTGCTGTTGCGCATAAGCGTCGTGACAAAGCCAAACGTCCGGCCTAGGCCGTCCGGCGACGCCGCCCGCGCCAGCTCGCCACACACTTTCGTCGCCGAGTCAATGTACGCCGCGCGGTCGGGAACGCCTAGGGCGGCGTGCTGAACGAGAGCATAGAGCCGGGCGTCGAGCGCGGACTGCTGCTCGACAAGCGCCGTCGACTCAAGTACAAAGGCCAGTGCGGCCGTCCGGATATGCTGCAGCGCCTTTGGGGGCGTCGTCGATCGCAGCGTGAGCGACGCCACCGAAGACATGACCAGGTTCGGCACCAGCGCCTTCCACATCCGCGACACAAGGTCGATGCCGGTCAGCGGCGGTGTCTTGTCCAGACTCGCCAGTGCCGACGGCTCTGGCTCGGCGTCCGGGTCGGGAACATCCTCGGGTGCGCGGCCTGGAGATGCCGGCGCAACTTCGGCCTCGGATGCGGCTTTGGCCGCCGCCAGCGCCGCATCGGCCTGGGCTCGCTTGGCATCGGCAGCAAAGGCGGCACTCGCCACGGCAGACAGCAGTCTGAGGCCAAAGTCGACAACCGCGAGCGAGGCGTGGCACTGCGAAAAGAGGACCGCCACGTCGACAAGGTGCAGCAGTGCGTCTTGGTACTCGTTGACAAGCGGAAAGTTGGCGAGAACATCAACCAGCAGTGCTGCAGTCGTCGACAGCAGCTCCGGGATCGACGCCAGATGTGCGCTCTCGGCGTAGCTCGGTGACGACGGCGCGCCGACGCCAGCAGCCGGATCCGCCGCGAGTGCGGCGGCACGGGCGCGACTCGAGGTCTTAGCCCGCCGCGACCGCGACGCCGGCCGCGTATCGTCACCGGAAGCCTTTCGCTTGGTGCCCGGAAGGACGACGTCGGTTAGGACGGCGGCAGCCGGGTCGGCAGGCGTGAGGGCCGAGCGGAAGGCGTTGACGACAGCACGGAAGAAGAACGGGTGGAAGACGGAATAAACCGGTGCATCGGCAAGCGAGAGCAGCGCCAGGTACAGAGCTCCAGCGGTGAGCGCAGCCTGGGCGTTGTCCTCGGCCTGGGCGTGCGCAAAGGCGCGCATGGCGAGGAGCGCCACAACCTTGGGGTGGATGCCGCCGACGTCAAGGAGGGCAAAGCACGGACGATCGCCCGGGGCTAGGGCGTGGAGCCGCGAGGCGAGAAAAGCGACGTCAGTTGCGCTCACGTCGGCCACCGCAAGATCAAAGGTGAGGAACAGTGAGAGCGCTCCAGCGTCCGCGCCAGACTCGGCCGGCGGCACCAGCGCCACGTTGTCGTCGTGGTGGAGCGCTGTGTGCCACACAGCCGGTACCTCGGCCAGAGGAATGGTGGTGAGCGGTAGCGTCGGCGACGACGCCAGGAACCGCGCCAGTGTCTCCATGTCGGGCCTCTCGTGAAGAAGTAGAGAGGTCTGAGTCAGCAGGCCGTGGCGGGCAGGGTGGGGAGGTGGGGGCAGGAGGGAGGGAGGAGGAGACGTGGATTTGGCGCCAAACAACAATGCAAAAATGGCGCGAACCGACGCCCCACAGCCGCCGTCAATGCGACACATGGTCGGTGGTCTGGTCTGTCTTTACATCTACAACGCTATGCATCACAACTCGAGAAAGCAAGCTTGGCGTTGATGTCACCAGTCCGAGTCGTCGTCGTTGTCCCACTCGTCCGAGTCGATGCCCTCCTTGTCCTCGCCGGGCAGCGGCTCGTTGTCGCCAAAGCCGCCGGGTTTGATCTTGGACGCCCACCCATCGAGCACCTGGCCGCCCGAGTAGTTCTGGAAGGAAGAGTCGGTTGTGCGGGCAATAGACTCGATGAACATCGAGTTGCCCTTTGTCCGAATCCGCAGCTCGTCTTCGGGCCGCAGATCGAGCGGGCGCATCATGTCTGACTCACCCCACAGCTCAAACACGCCTTCGACGGTCGGATGAACATGCTCAAGCGCCGGCGGGTAGACCTCGGGCGGCATCGACGTGCCGGCCTCCTCAGAGCCCAGCAGCTTGGACAGCTCGTCGGGCAGGACGGCGTCCGGATCCTTCGGATCGACCTTCTTGTACGAGAGGTATCCGGTCCGCAGCCGCTTCATGCCGACCATGCGCGGCTCGTGCTCGATGCCGTGCTCGTCGATGTTGCGCTTCCGAGCCATGGTCACCTTGATCCGCACCGCCATGTACCGATGCACGTCCCGCGCGTCCGAGACCGAATGGTACCGCACCTGCGTCACGTTGCCCTCGATGACCACGCCAGGCCCGCTCACAAACGCCTGCTCCTCCCACTCTCCGGACCACTCGGTCGACGTCGACTTGACCTTGGCCCCGCCTGTGGACGTTCGTACAACAGACATGCTCCTCTGGAGGTGTGCGAGTTGAGTATGTCTGACCGGCTTGGCCTGGCCTGGCCTGGTGGCAGGGGGGGCAGGTCCCTTTGGCGGTTTGGCCTTTACCTTTCGTTTTGTGGGCGACAACACGCAGAAGCAAAGCGCCATGACCCCTGAGGCCGATCAGTGCGAGTGTACTCGACGGCGTTCAGTGCCCCGCCTACAGCTGGCAATCAGAGTGCTACTCACTGTCAGCACGGTCGTCTGTGTCGTCACAATTCCAATCAGAGCCGCTGTCGCCACTGTGTGAGGACCGGGCGTGGCGTTCGGGATGGCTCGTGCCGCCGTCGTCGCTGGCTGCGCTGTCAGCTCTCGGCGTGCTCGATTCGTTGTCAATCTCGGAGATGTTGTGGAAGAGCGTCGAGCCGATGATTGACGAGTCCCATCTGTGAGACAGCTTTCGGGGGCCACGGTTGCGCGACCGGCTTCGGGCCGCACGAAGCGGCAACGCAGTTGACGCCGGCGAAGGCGACGCTGACGGCGATCGCGACGTCGATGTCGACCCGTGCTGGTCGGTATCCGTCAGTCGCAGCCGTCCGGTGCCATGGCCGTCCTCCTCGTCGTCGCTATTTGAGAACGATGATGAGTCGCCGAGCATGGATGACTGGTGGTGCAGGAGACGTGCCGGTGACTTGGTCGCCGACTGTGACGCCCGTGCCAATGTGCTGGCAAGGAGTGAGTCGCCTTGAGTCCGCGACCGCCGGCCCTTGGCAGCCTTGCGTCGATCGGCAATAGACTGCCCTTTCTGCTCGCTTTCGCTTTCAAACACTCGCGACCACGAGCGCGGCTGCGGCTGGGTAAACGACGACGAGAGCCGCTGCACGCACGACGACGACGCCGCCAGCGTCGCGTCAGAATTCAACATCGACGACTGATACCGTAGCATCTGGCCGGGGCCATCGATACACGGCCCTGGTGAGAGCGACGCGTCGTCGTTATCGTCGCTGCGCTCGCCGAGCACAACGGCACCAAGCACGCTTGCATGCGAGTCCGCCGCCCACGAATCAGCTTGCTGCAGGCCACGCGGCGCCTTATACATCGAGCTGGCACCGTAGTTTCGGCCGTATACATCCTCGCCATCACTTGACGATGCAGATCGCGACATCGACTGCGAAACCACGTTGCAGCTTACCGACTCGACGTGCGCATCCTCATCGCATGTAGAGTCACTCAGGATTGGCTCCAGCTCCGGAGGCTGACGGGTGGTTGGTGACTGATTCGGTGACGATGCGAGCGTCCGCGGCAGCGTCTGCGGTGACGACATACTGCTGCTTTCCCGGCCACTGACAGCGTCTCCGGTCGCGTTGTTCTTCTCGATGCTGGCAGCATCCTCACCACTCTCCGCAGACTCTGAACGGCTGGTCAGGCTGGCTGATGACGCCGAAACGGGTACGCCAGCCTTGGCAGCCTCGCTGCGCCGTCGCCACATCCACAATACACAAACAACACAGCAGGCGAGGAGGAGGAGCGCGACAGAAGTGCCGGCAATGACACCGGCCGCGCTGCTGTTGCTACCCTTGTCATGGTGTGGTACCGGGCCGGAGTCGGTGGGAGAAAGCGGTGGAGGCGGCGACGGCGGCCCGGAGCTCGACGGTGAGCCAGCGGCGTCGGGTGTCCAATCGGCAAGGCCGGTGGCCGAGTCGATGAGTACCACCACTGCGTCCATGACAGCCGAGTCGGACACGAGATGGGCCCATACATCGGCCGCCATGAATGCCTCCATCTTGTTGCCCGACGTCACCGCGGCATAGCGGAGCGATGGATGCGCAAGCTGCTGTCAGGTTCTCTCGGTCGAGACGTCTGGTCCCGAGTAGACGTAGCCGATGCCATCGTCAATGGTGGCGACTGCGACAATGCCAGGCGCAAGCTCGTACCCGGCCGACGGCGTGTCGGTGACGATGTACACAACATGCCGGGCTGACGGGGTTGGCGGTGTGCCGGTGGGCGCGTGTGTCGTGGCAAAGACTGCCACTGCGTCGTCATCGGTTGCTACAATGACCTCGCGGTAGTCGTTGGCCGGCTCAAGCTCGGAACGGACACTGATCGAGCTAGCCACGCCATCGTTGGCCACATCGGCCTCGGCAGCGACCCTAACCGGGAGGCCAGGCGGGTTTTCTATCAGTCTCGCCCATTCGCTGCCGATACCATCAATCGCAAGCGCCAAGTGCGGTGTCGATGACTGTGGGGCCGGTGACGGCACTGGCGGGAGGGCCGCGCGCTGCGGAACAAAGTCAATCACATCGTCGTCAAAGTTAGCTAGGGTGCCCGAGTCCGAGCGAAGCTCGACAACGACTGCAACAGCGGCGTCTGGCTCCATGAGGTGAGCCCATGCGGCGTGATGGACTTCGACCTCGGTATGCCGGCCCATCCTTGCAACCTTGAACAGCCCATCATCCAATCGGCTCCACTCCCAGCTTGCTGAAAGCTGCCGCCGTCGTAGACCCAGCCAAGACCGTCGCGGATCATGGCCACGGCATACAGTCCCGGCGCAGCGACGTATCCGGCACGTGCGTCTGCCAACGACGCCGGCGTTAAGAATATCGTGAGGTGCGGGGCCGATGACCCGCCCGTCGGCTGAACCTCGCGGGTAGTCACAATGGTTGCTGTCGCCGCTGCTGATGACACGCTTCGGACTCGTGTCACGTCGTGCGCACCGTCGTCGATGAATACGGCCATTGCCGGATCGCCACTGGGAGCGACCGGGCGGCCATCGTTGGACGGGTCGACAACATTTGACACAACAAAAGGCGAACTCATTCCGGTCCAATCGCGATCGTCGCCGTCGACAATAATCGGGATGGCAGTCGGGAGAGGGGGAGGCGGCGAGGGCGGTGGCGGAGGTGGCGGCGATGGCGGTGGTGGCGGTGATGGCGGCGGCGGTGATGGCGGCGGCGGTGATGGCGGTGGTGGTGATGGCGGCGGCGGTGATGGCGGCGGCGGTGATGGCGGCGGCGGTGGTGATGGCGGCGGCGGTGATGGCGGCGGCGGTGATGGCGGTGGCGGTGATGGCGGCGGCGGTGATGGCGGTGGTGGCGGCGATGGCGGTGGCGGTGGTGGCGGTGGTGGCGGCGATGGCGGCGGCGATGATGGCGGCGGCGATGATGGCGGCGGCGGTGATGGCGGCGGCGGTGATGGCGGTGGTGGCGGCGATGGCGGTGGCGGTGATGGCGGTGGTGGCGGCGATGGCGGCGGCGGCGATGGTGGTGGTGGCGGCGATGGCGGCGGCGGCGATGGTGGTGGTGGCGGCGATGGCGGCGGCGGTGACGGCGGCGGCGGTGATGGCGGTGGTGGCGGTGATGGCGGTGGTGGCGGCGATGGCGGCGGAGGTGATGGCGGTGGTGGCGGCGATGGCGGCGGCGGCGATGGAGGCGGCGGCGATGGTGGCGGCGGCGGTGGTGCGGATGGCGGCGGCGGTGGTGGCGGCCAAACAATCAAGCCATCATCAGGAACATAATCAACAATGTCGTCGCTATAGTCTTCCGGTGTGCCGTGCTTCTCCGTCGCCACACCCACTCCAGCCAAGCCAGCACTTTCATCCGACAAAAGATCAGACCATAGCCTGCGCGCAAGGCGGAGCTCGAGCGCCGAGCCTCGTCTCACAACACCAGCATCTGCACCCATCGCCACCGGGCTCCACGCCCACTCGCTCGATAGCCCAGTCCCGGCATAGACGTACGCCTCACCGTTGAGCACCATCGCTACTGCAAACACGCCATCTACTACGGCGTATCCGCGTGTTGCGCCAGACTCTGGTACCACGTAGAGTGCAACATCCACGTCTGTCGAGGCGTCACCACTTGCCTGCATCTCGGCGAGCATGTACACAAACCGCGAGTCGCTGGTAACATGAAGCGCTCGAAAGTCGTGCGCCTTATCGATGACATGTCCAGTGCTGCCACTCGGCGCGACTGCATCGTCGGAACCGTCGGCCATCGTCAGCACACCTGCGACGCTGGCCCACTCGTCGCCGATCCCATCGACAGCCACATCTGCCAAGGGCGGCGGTGGCGCAAGACCAAGCGCCATGTACGTGCCATCGCCTGGTAGGCTCTTGGTCACCCCACCAGATGTTACCTGCGCCACAACGCGTAGTTCCCGGGCATGCGAGCCTGTCATCGTATGCCACAGAGTCACAGCCTTGCGCGAGACAATGAAATCGACGCCGCTGTCTCCAGGCACCGCGACGACTCGCGTAATTGTCTCTGACCCTTCGTCGAGCGGCAGCCAGGCCCAGGCTGTTCCATTGGCACTGTTTGCATCGTCGTACACGTAGCCGACCGAGTCCATCAACATGATGTGGGCCGAGAGGCCTGGCACTCCGTGGACGCGGTAGCCTACGTCGACCATGTCACTGCCGAAAAAGACCACAACGCTCGTGCCATACGAGCCTGGCGACGAGAGCACGTCCAGCGACGTGCCGGACGGGATAAGCCTGGCCACAAAGGCATCAGCGCTCGCACCGAGAATTGCTTTCAACACATCTGCATCAGCCGATTGGCCGGCTTGTCGCTCAAAGTCGTAGCTCGCCATTGCATGCGTGCTGTACGCCAATGGCCACTCGGTCTTCCCGATTACCTGAGGAATGCACGCCCACTTGCATGGCCCGCCGCAGTCGATCGCCTCCTCGTCGGCGTCGAGCAAGCCATTACGGCACAGCTGCTGGCCACATGCCTGGCTGCAACTGCTTCCGCAATCGATGCCATCCTCCAGCGCCCGGCGCGCCCGTCGTCGCAGTTGGGCACCACAGCCCAGCTTGACATGCCCAACTCGACGCGCGGCTCCGGCAGCCAGTGGGGACTGGCGCTAGCCTGGTGGCCCACACTCGCCGCCAGCACCCCGCGCACCAGAATTGGTGCTTCAGAGTTAAAGCGTTCAGAGAAGCCAAACGCATCCAGCACCATTGGGCCCAGTACAGCCTCGGCTGCGCCACCGAGCGCCGACGCCCGCAGCTGCAGATCTGAGCTTGAAACTGGGGCCCATGCCCGTGTCTCGTCGTCTGCATCCACGCCCACAGCCGGTCGCACAACAGGCGGTGATGGCTGTGTTGCGCCGGGGCCGTTGCGACCAACAAAGCGCCACGCCTGGCCAGAGAATACACCACCTGACAGCTCGCCGCCGGGCTTGGCAAACAACAGCACCAGGTCGCTACTTGTGTTGATGGCGGCACCAGCTGCGGTCACGGAGTCCAGTCGGAGAGCCAGCGACGACGATGTCTCATCAAAGGCGACATACATACCCCGGCTGCGATCAAGCGACTCGGCGGCAAGCTGCGACGCGGCCCAAGCCGTTTGCAGCGGTTGGTCTACGTCGGTAAGTCTGATCCTCAGCCCACGTCCTCCGGCTGAGACACTCGACGGAATGGCGTCGCTTACGCCGTCGCCGGCTGCTGGCTTGGGAACCAGGGTGGTGTAGACATACAGCTGTGTCGGGCGTGGCGGTGAGCCAAAAATAGAGAGGTCGGGATGCGGAGATCGACGCTGCGCGCTGCGTGGTCGTGATACGCAATGCTGACCGTATCGACGTCGGTTGCGCCGCTGACCGCAATCCAGCCCCAACCCGAGCCAGCGGCTGGATCATGGCGATACATGAGGCCCTCGAGCACCATGCGGTCAAAGCCAGCGGCGAGGTATCCGGTACTCGCGTCGTCATCCGAGTTGAGAAAAACAATGAGATCTGCGACGGAGAGCGGGAGGGCGCTTCTCGTGGCAATCGCCAGCTCGAGCACCTCGCCCGATGCCGCGATCGAGGCCGAAAGTGCAATCATGTCGGGCGCGTTCGAGTCGAGGACAGCGTGGTCGAACGAGGCGCGCGAAGCCGCAGACGCGGTCGACTCGCGCGATGGCTCGCTTGTCTTCAGCGGGGCAAATGACAGCGAGATCGGAAAGGAGAGAAGAAACGCCTCGTTGTTGGTCTCGTCGGCCTCTGGAACCGCAAGTACCGCGTCGAGCGTGACCGCCAGTGAGAACTTGCCTGCACGCGGGATTGGTGGATGCGGCGTCCTCACTGTCGTCGTAACTCCAGGGAGCAGATGCGGAGTCTCAAAGTTGCCAACCTGTGCCTGCGCGAACGACGACCAGATGAATGCCCGTGACGCCTGCCCGATGCCGCTCCCGACGTTGGAGATGGTGACCAAAAGATCAAACGGCTCGTTGGCGGCAGGCTGTGGTGGATCTAGCGCGAGCGAGTCGACAACAAAGTCTGGTGGTGGATCGTGCTTGTAGATGTGCGCAGGGACTACGTAGAAGAACGACTCGAGAAGCACGTCATCGTGGTTGTTCGTGGTGTCGTACTCGGGCGCGTCGAGCACCACGCTCGCGTAAATGTGATTGCCCATGACAACGCCCGAAGTCTTGAGCGGAACCGAGACGCGGATGGCATCGAGTGAGCCCGGCGCGTAGTGGCCGGCAGAGAACGAGAATCCGGTCTGTGTGAGCTCGACGTCGTTGTGGACAATGGTGAGTGTGCCTGTGTATGGATCGGACGGTGAGGCCGGCGGCGCGCCGCGGTTTGCGAGGGTGACGGTGACGAGGGTAGCGTCTGGGATGGGTCTCCACGCCGCCTCGGCCTTTGTCCTCTGGAACTCCGGAATGATAGAGACAATGACGACGTCCGGTGCGCCACCATAAATGTCAGGATGGTGGATGTTGTACACAACGTCATCGATTTCGGCAAGCGAGCGCGATGGCGAAATGTGGGTAGGGTAGGCGTTGGCCTCTGCGGCGGCGAGGTACTCAAGTGGCGTCTCGTACCACGGTGCGCCCTGGGCCTCGCCCGATTCGCGGGCGGCAAACATGACGGCCCAGTAGTCAAGAACGAGGGTTGTAAAACCACGGCCATCGGCGTTGTCCTGGGCAGCAACGAGTTGGTCATTGAAGACGCGGCCCGAGGCCTCGGACCACCAAAAGTTCATGTCGGCGGCCCACGACTCCCAGTAGACGCCATTGAGGTACGAACGAAAGTCATCGTAGCGCGAGCCGGCAAACTCGGGAAAGGCAAAGTGGAGCGGGCGGTTACCGATGAGCACCGCATCCGGGTACTCGTAGGCGAGGCGGGCGATGAGATCTAGCCCGCCGTGGCGAAGCCAGTAGTAGTCGGAGATGGTCGACGGTGGCTGCCAGAACGACCACGGCGCCGAGACGCCGAGCGTGTCGAGGAAGAGGCCGTCCATACCGAGCTCGACAAGGATGTAGTCAAGTCCGGCGGTGCCGACCGAGGCGTATGAGGCCTCCTTGAGAAATGTGAACCAAAGCGGATCGCCTGGGTTGACGTACAGCCCGCCCCACTCGGTGTTCTGGTCGGGCTTGCCATCGGGGATAAAGTCGATGAACGAGCCACCGGCATCCGAGTACGAGCCGACCATGTCGACGTAGAACGAGGGATAGCCATTGTTGGTGTACACCGCTTCGCCGGTGGTGTAGTCGTAGGTGAGCGGGCCGGTGCCGGTGTTAAGGCCGGCGCGGAGCGAGGTGTTGCGCGGGTTGTTGATCCCGGATCCATCGCCGCGCTCGCCGTAGTCTTCCCCGACCGAGATGTAGCCGATGACAATGGTGTCGTCGGCGTTGCCGAGGATGTTGTCGGGCCCATCACGGATGTCGCGGACCTGGGCGGCGGTGATGAGCGCCGAGCCACCACCTGGGTGGCAGATGACGAGGTCGTACTTTTCCGCGGTCCGAATGTTGTCTTCGGTCCAGGCTGAGAAGAAGACGAGGTAGTCTGAGTCTGGCGACATGCCCGGGATGGGGCCGCGAACGATCGAGCCGATGGACCGGTCACGAGCGACGTAGTTGGAGGCGACGTAATCGCCGGACGCGGTCACAATGTACGCGGTGTAGTAGTACGGCGTGATGGGGGCAAGCAATGGGTCATCATCGAGGTGCTCGATCGTTCGCTCGCCATTAACCTCACCTATCGCCGACGAGAGGATGACGGCGACGCTACCCGGGCTGCGGTCGGCCGGCGAGAGAACGTAGTTGGCGTCTGAGCGGAGGACGACGAGTGAGGCTCCTGCGGGGATGACCGGCGGGAGGCTCAGAAAGACGCGGAACAAAGTCGGCCCCAACGGCGTGACTTCGGTCCGGACATGAGCTCGGGGCAGGGTGACCACCAACGGCTCGGCGAGCGGGTCGTAAAGGGCGAGGTTGCCATCGGCGTCCTCCCACAGCAGAACGAGGGCGTAGCTGGCATCGTTGAAAAGCTGCAGCTCGGGGACGCCGAGTTGCAGCGGGGACGGCGGCGGCGGCGAGGCAGGCAGGCGGGCAGTTGTGCCCGGCCCGAACGAGATGTACATCGGCGACGAGACGTCGTAGCCCGGGGTGGGGAGGGTGTCAAAGGTCAGAGTGGCGACAAGGTCAAAGGCCGGAGCTGCCGCGTAGAGAGCGAGCGGGAGGGCAGCGCGCGGCGAGGCGGGCGGGATGTAGCCATGGAGGAGGGCGAGCGGGATGCGGAGGACGAGGGTGGCCGAGCCCGAGGGGAGGTCGTCCGAGTCGACGGGGAGCTCATCGCCGGTGGACGGAAAGGCAGCAGACGAGGTGGGTGCGCCGGTGGATCGGAGGTAGGTAGCGTCAAAGGTGGAGACGAGTGCGGTGGTGGAGAAGACCTCGACGCGGAGGTCGGCGCCGATGGGCATGCCGTGGTAGGCATAGCCGGTCGACTTGTTCGAGTCGAGATCAAAGAAGAGAACAGTCTTGGGTTGGAGGGAGAGGACCCAGATGACGAGCTCGGAAGAGGATGCGTCGACCCAGAGCGAGATCTCTTGGAGATAGGTCGGATCTTCGGGTGCGTATGGCCACGAGTCTAGGTTGCCGGTGAGAGAGAGGCGAAATCGCTGCTCTGCAGCAGGAGGTGGGCCGCTGGAGGCGAGCGGACGGTCGACGAGTCCCGAGGCGAGGTGCCAGGCGACGGCCTGCGGCGGCGGTGGCGGCAGGGAGACATCGATACGAGGGATGAATGGTCCCGGAGCGGCAGAGAACCCGTGCGCTGCTACCAATAGTGTACATAGTAACGCTGCGACTGTGGCTAGTGTGTGCATCGGGGGTGATTCGGGGGGGGGGGGGCGGGAGGGGAAGGGTGCGGGACAGGTGGCGCGGGAAAGAAGTTTGGCGGCGAATCCCGGCAGAGCAATCGGAGCCTGTCAGGCGGAAGGACAGCGGGCAGCGAGCGGTGACAACAGTGGTTGGTCAGAGGATCTCGAGCGGTGGCTTGGTGGGCGGGTTGTTGTATGTTGCGGCGTTCTCGGTGTAGAGCTCCTCGAGGCCGGTGATGTAGGCTTCGAGGTACTCGTCGACGACGGCTGAGTCCGGGTTGGGATGCGCGGGACAGGGATGGGCTTGCCAAAGACGACGGTGATGTTGGACTTGCGCGGCCAGATGTTTGTGATGAGCGGGAGCGAGAGGCCGGTCATCCGCTGGAACTTTGCAGCGATGGAGCGGATGAGCGGGGCATCGGCCTTGAGAACTGAGTACGTGTTGCACTCGTTGAAAGAGAAGACCGGGACGAGCGAGGCGCCGTGCTCGAGTGCGAGCTTGATGAAGCCGCGGCGCTTGCGGAGGACGACGACGTCGCGGTCGGGATCTGTGTGGAGGGCTTCTGTGGCGCCACCGGGGACGAGGGCGACGGACTTGCCAGAGCGGAGGACGCGGAGAGCGGAGTATCGCGCGGCGTCGACGATGCCGCCCCAGAGGCAGATGTCGCGGTAGATGGGGACGTAGAAGACAAAAGTTGCGGCAAGGACGCGGTAGGAGACTGCCGGAAAGAGAGACTCGAGGTTGATGCCGAGGCCGATGATGGCGCCAAAGGGGAGGATCGAGTGCGGATGGATGCCAAAGACGTACTGACAGTGCGGATCGAGGTCGACGGTCTTGACCAGGCGCAGCGAGAAGTAGTCGAGGACATACTGCCACAGCCCCCAGCGGCGGACAACCAGGTTCTCCTTTCCACCGTTCTGCTCGGACAGATCGCAATAGCTGAAGCCGTACGCGATGACCAGCGGCGAGAGGAGCGGCAGCGGGAGGACGGCCGTGTCCATATGGACCACTGTGGGCCCTGTGAGGAGCAGCAGGAAGAGTGCCCGTAGCATACGTTCGATCCATGCTATGGTGTGGATTGGTGGGTGGGTGGGGGCGGGTGAGTAGCGTGAAGAGGGAGGCGGAGAGGGAGACGGAGAGGGGGAGGGTGTGCGTACCGGGCATGCGCTGCCTGTTGGCGCCGCGCATGGCCTTGCGCTGCTCAAACAGGTGGAAGATGAGGCCGATGAGGACGAGGCCCAGACCGTGGAAGGCAAGGACCCACAGCCATGAGTCCAGCATGGAGGGGGGGGGGGGGGGGGGGGGAGGGAGGGAGGAGTCAGGAGCTGGGGCGTGACAGGGGCTGGAAGCAGGGCAATGGATGGGCAGAGGGCTGGGCGATGGATGGGGTGCTGGATGGGTGTGCTGGATGGGCTGGGCGATGGGTGATGGATGGGCAGAGGGATGGATGGGCTGGGCGATGGATGGGTGTGCTGGATGGGCAGTGGGCTGGATGGGCAGTGGGCTGGGCTGGGCCATCCCGTTACCTCCCGCCATGGCTACGCCTCGCTGCGAGCCGGTAACTGCCTCAATGGCAGCCAACGGTGACGCCGACGGCTGCAGCACTTGACGCACATCCCAGCCAGCGTAGGGATGTCTTCGGAGGGGATGAAGGAGTTTGTGATGTTCAACGTGTCCGGGGCCATCGGAACAGCCCTGTTCTATGCCCTCTACACAGCGCTGGTGTGGGCGTACCCGGTCGAGTGGCCGTACCCGGCGACAGCGGCATGGGTCGGCTCGTACACGCCGTCCATCGCCTGGCAGCACGTCCTGCATCAACTCTTTGTCTTTGGCACACCCGAGGGCGGATCGGTTCTCTCTGGTCTGGGCAAGACCTACGTGGTGTACTCGGCCTCGCTGGTGGGATCTACCGCCATCAACTGGCTCGCCGTGGAGAAGCTCAGCGTCGCCGCCAACGCCGCCTTTGTCCTCGGCCTGGTCATCACGGGCGCCATCAACTTTGTGGCTTCCAAGTACTGGGCCTTTGCCGACGATGGCTCCGGTGGTGATGATAAGGACGACTAAACGTCTTGCCACAGCCACCTATCGCGTGTCGTACTGCTGTCATCGCGTGCGATGTCGGGCGGATGCAAGAACAGGCTGCAGAGGTGGCGACCCTGATTGCGATACGCCTACATACAAGCGTATCTGTGGCTTGTCAACGTAATCATCAGACAAACATGCTTAACACGATGATCGCATCATCCCCCCCCCCCTTCTCCCTCGGCTGATCCCCAATGCCAATGCCAATGCCAATGCTAATGCTAATGCCAATGCCAATGCCAATGCTAATGCTAATGCCAATGCCAATGTGTCCAGGCAACCACACAAGAACCACGACCACACTCGACACACACACACACACAACCACAGCCACAACCACAACCACAACCACAACCACAACCACAACCACAACCACAACCACAACCACAACCACAACCACAACCATGTCCTCTACAGTCACCTCCTCAGGAACAGACTCGGGCTCGGACCACTCGCTCTCCTCATCAGCCTCGTCGTCGTCGTCGTCGTCGTCGTCGTCATCGTCATCGTCGCCATTGGCGCCATCGGCCTCATTGTCGTCGTCGTCGGGTGCGGCCAAGGCGGCGACGCTGCTGCATGCCTCGCGCTCACTCGCCGAGCATGAGTTTATCTCGTCGTCGTCGGCGTCGGCCGAAGACCTTGCCGACGCCCGCAAGCGCAAGCCGCGGACGCGGTCGGGCTCGTTGGTGCTGGCCTCGCCGCGGCGGGCACGTCGGACGCCGCGGTCGACGGGTCGCCGTGGCTCGGCGGCCGAGTTGTTGCGGACAAAGGCGCGGAAGCGGCGGAGCACCAGCGGCGTGGCCGGCTCGCGCTCGCGCACGCGCTCGCGCTCACACTCAAAGTCGACGGCCAGTAGGGCCGGAAAGACCGTGGCTGAGTACTCGGCCGACGACGGCAACGTTGTCCGCTACGCTGTTGTCCAGCTCTCATCGGGTTCTGACTCGTGCGATCTCGACGAGTACGACGCCGTCGCCGCCACCCGCTTTGGTAGCTTGTCCAACTTCAAGGGCGTAACCCGATCAGCGCCGCGCCTCAACCGATAAGCGCCACACTCTGTCCCACTCTACACCGACCACATCGACGAGTCGTTGTACGCGGATTGTGTCGAGTCGGAGCGCTTGCCACCGCGCAATGCGCGCCGTCGCGAGCGGACCCGCCCAACCCGAACACGCTCGCCGGTGGCGTTGCGGTGGACTCGCGGGTGGCGGACGCCGTCGATGCCTTTTGCGTACGTCGGGACAAGCCAGGTCCACGGATCAGCGCCCATCACCGATGCTAGGTTGCTTCGCCAGTCGAGCCGGTACCGCGAGCCCGAGCGCGACGACTCGAATGACTCGAGCGTTGTCTGGTTGCGCACGAGCAGCGTGAGATGCATGCCGGCAAAGGCAAGGAGGGCAAGGCCAAAGACAGCAGCCACAAACAGGAGGGCCACCGCCGACGCGCCAAGCTCAAACACGTTGGCGCCCAGCACCCGCGCCCTTCTCACCGCGCCGCGCGCCGCCTGCGTCTTGACATCGGTGAGCAAGCCACCGGGCGCAGCAGAGGCTGCGCGCGCGCTTTCCGCAGCTAGCGGCGCGACCTCGTCGACAGGAGCGCGTGTTGCAACGCCAAAGACAGCCACGGCGCATAGGCCCGCGGCGAGGACGCAGGCCAGCGCGATGTAGATGAGAAAAAGAAGAAGGTTTTGTGGTTGCCGGCGCCGACGCAGTTGTTCACCCAAGGGCAGTGGTGGTCCATCCGCAGCACACAGCGGCCGCATGTGGAGCAGTGATGGGCGCGATCAGGCTTAAAGGCGCCGCACGGGCGACAATAGCGGAACTTGCGCCCACCGCCCGTCCGCTCCTTGACCGTCATCGCCACCACAGCCAGATTGCGGTCGGCAAGGCTCTCCAGCTCGCCCGGGGCGGCGCCACCGGCCAGAGCCCTCTCCACCCGCCGGATCCGTGCCGGCGAGTCCGAGGCAAAGACCAGCGGGACAGCATTGCCGCGGGTGCAGGCCACCGTGTGGCCGTATGCCACCGTTCCCGCCACAAGCGTGGCCGCAAACGCCGCCGATGCCGCGTACGTTGCTCCTGCGAACAGCGCCGACGTCTGCGCCGCCGGCGAGGCGAGGAGGTACGGCGTGACCACAAACAGCGCAGTGTGGCCACCCCAGGCCAGCATAGCCGCAACGAGTACCACCGGAAGTGACGAGACACAGCGGAAGACCTGGTGGCGGAGGGTGGGCGGAGTGCGGGCGGGCATGGTGGGGGTGGCGGTGGGTGGCGGTGAGTGGCGGTGGTAGGGAAGTGGGAGGGGAGTGGTGTGGACGGGCGACGGGCAGGCAGGCGATGGTCGACAGCGGAGAGGCTCTCGATTGGAAAATTTTAAGATTGGGGGCGACAGCTTAGAAGTAGCCGACGAGACCCTTACCATCCTTGATCTTCATGAAGAGCGGAGCGAAGACGAGCGACTCGACAGCCGAGAGCTTGAGGATGATGTTGGTCGACGGGCCCGAGGTATCCTTGAGCGGGTCACCGACGGTGTCACCGATGACGGCAGCGTGGTGGGCATCCGAGTTCTTGCCACCGTACTTGCCCTCCTCGATGTACTTCTTGCAGTTGTCCCAAGCACCGCCCGAGTTGGACGAGGCAATGGCGATCTGGACGCCAGAGACGAGAATGCCGGCGAGGACACCAGCCAGGGCGTCGACGCCAAAGATGCAGCCGACAAAGAGCGGGGTGATCATGACGAGAGCGCCAGGGCGATCATCTCCTTGAGCGACGCGGTGGTCGAAATGGTGATGCAGCGCTCGTAGTCGGGCAGGGTGGTGCCCTCCATGAGACCGGGCATCTCGCGGAACTGGCGCTGGACCTCGTGGACCATCTCGTCGGCGGCACGGCCGACGGCGCCCATCGTCATGGCGGAGAACCAGTACGGGAGCATGGCGCCGATGAGGAGGCCGGCGAAGGGGAAGGGAGCCATGAGGTCGACGACCTCGATGTCAGCGCGAGTGACAAAGGCACCGAAGAGGGCCAGCGAGACAAAGGCAGCCGAGCCGATGGCGAAGCCCTTGCCAATGGCGGCCGTCGTGTTGCCGGCAGCATCGAGGGCGTCGGTCCGCTCGCGAGTCGAGTCACCGAGCTCGCACATCTCGGCAACACCACCGGCGTTGTCGGAGATCGGGCCGTACGAGTCGATCGTGAGGCCGGTGGCGAGAGTCGAGAGGATGCCGAGGGCGGCAATACCGATGCCGAACATACCGGCGAGGCGCTGCGAGACGTAGATGGTGACCGCAATGCAGATCGAGGGGATGATGACCGAGTTGTAGCCGAGGGCGAGGCCAAGAATGATGTTCGTCGCCGCACCGGTCTCGCCGCACGTGCGCGAGAGGTTGCGCACGGGCTGGTAGGTGTGCGAGGTCCAGTACTCGGTGATGAGACCGATGGCAAGGCCCGACCAGAGGCCGGCCGCGCCGCAGAAAAACATGTAGTACGACTGCACCTTCTGGCACGTCTTGATGGCGCCGCAGAGCTCGTCGACGGTGATCGGGAGGCCACGGGTGTCCCAGCAGTCGCCGCAGCGGCCGACCCAGAACTCCTTGGGGAGGTACCCGACGGAGAGCCCGTACAGCACGGGGGTCATGATGATGGTCGAGACAAAGAGCTGGTACTTGAGCGACTTCTCGATCTCAGACTTGCGGGTGACCGGCGCGATGTGCGTGGCCACAAACGAGGTGAGGAAGCACGAGAGGAGGCCGCCGGCCGAGATCATGAGCGGGTAGTTCATGGCGGTCCAGTCGAGGGCGAGCTCCTTCGACGGCGAGGTCGACGCAACCACAAGGGCGGCGCAGGTGGCCTCGGCAAACGAGCCGAACAGGTCGGCACCCATGCCGGCAACGTCACCGACGTTGTCACCGACGTTGTCGGCAATGACGGCCGGGTTGCGCGGGTCGTCCTCGGGAATGCCCTGCTCGACCTTGCCGACAAGGTCGGCACCGACGTCGGCAGCCTTGGTGTAGATGCCGCCACCGACGCGCCCGAAGAGCGCAATCGACGAGCCGCCGAGGCCAAAGCCAGCGAGCGCCTCGTAGAGGGCAACAGTGCGGTCAAAGCGGACCTTGAGGTTATCGCCCTCAAGGTACGGCCAGCGGAGGTAGAAGAGGCACACAAGCACAAAGAGCACAATGAGCGCGAGCGCGCAGAGGGCAAAGCCCATCACGGCGCCAGACTTGAACGCAACAGTGAAGCCACGGCGGTACGCGTTGTCCGGACGGCCGGGCGCAACCTGCGGGCCCATGGCCGAGACGGCAACACGCCCGTTGGCGTACACCGCAATCGACATGCCGATGTAGCCAGAAACAATCGACGCGATCGCACCGGCAACAAACGAGATGGCAGTGAACACACCATCGGGCCAGCCGAGCGGCGAAGCAAGGCCAAGCGAGATGAGCACAATGAGGCCGAAGACCACAATGAACACAGCCATGTAGCGGTACTCGGCAAAGAGGAACGAACGCGCTCCGCGCGTGATAAAGCTGGTGATCTCACGGATACGCTTCATCTGCGCGGGCGTCGCCGCGCCGGAAGACCCGACAAGGCCGGCCTCCTCCTCCTGGATCGAGCCTGCTTTGCCGCCGTAGAACCCCCCCCCGTGAGTCTGGCTGCACACCCTCGCCAAGAAAACCCTAAACCAAGCAAGCAAACCGGGTGCTGAAAAAAATTCACGCTCACCCGTCAGCCGCCATACAGGAGGAGGCTCTACGCCAACTCCTGCCCACCGCCGCCCCTCCAACATCACGGCTGTCCTACAGGAGGTGCTGCTCAACCTCGCCCGCGGTGTTGCGGCCGCTGGCCGCGACGCCCTCTGCATCATCGGCCAGAAAAAGGGGCTCACTCTGCTGGCGCTTCACCCCATCACAGTGGATGACAGGCTAGACGGCAGCAGGGGGCCATCAAAGGCGGCAACAACGGCGCAGCAACATACCCGACATACCTCTGCGGTCATCCAGAGAAACCTGGGAAACCTGGTAGACATAGAGCGCAGCAAACGCAAAGCCCAGAGCGGGCGCGAGAATGAGCGGCAGCGTGGCCGCAATCTCAGGCAGGACCATTGCGAAACAGTCGAGCGTGAAGTGGTGCCCGTGCTGGTCCTCGTCGTGATCCTTTTTCCCCCTCCGCCTATCATTCGCCAAACAAAGCCATTCATTGATTCGCCCCGCTCTCTATACGAGTGGCATTGGCGGGGGAAAATCAAGAACCCAGCAAAAGGTCCAACACTGACAAGGAACCTACACCGACACGCGGGGGAAGGCAGGTCCGACCCCGGACAATGGTCCCCATCACAACCTTGCTCTATGCTGAGAATCGTTCGCTACACAACCGTAGGAGTGATCCTACGCCCTCTTACTACTCCCGCAACCCCTTCCCTCTCCCCCCCCGCGCCCCGCTTTCCCCGCCACCCCATCCCTCTTCCCACCCTCTCTCCTCGCTCCACCAGGTCACATGCCGCCGTACGGGAAGAGGGCGCAAAAAAGGTCCGCACGCCTCGGCCTTCCCTCCCCTCTCGTCCCTGCCCCCCGCCGCTCCCGCCTAGCACAGCAGCCGTCTCAAGGACCTCCGTTCGACCTCGGACCGAAACGGCGTCGCTTCCCCCCCCCCCCAAGCCAAAGCATTAGCCACAGGCACGCAACATGACGACGCTGACCGTGGTCATGCTCACGCTGGCCGTGGCGATGGTTACACTGGCGGTGTCGGCGTCGGCACAGCGGCCACCGCGGACCGACATCGGCGCGCTGATCACAGGCGCAGGCTACCCGCTGGAGGAGCACTACGTGACGACGGCGGATGGCTACAAGCTGCTGATGCAGCGGATTCCACGCAAGGGCGCAAAGGCGGTGTACCTGCAGCACGGGCTGGTCGACTCGGCGGCGACGTGGCTGGTCAACGAACCCAACGAGTCGCTCGGCTTCATCCTCTATGACGCTGGCTACGATGTGTGGTTTGGCAACGCGCGCGGGAACGGGCAGAGCTGGGAGGGCCCGCCGGGCTGCGACCCGTCGGAGGCCTGCTTCTGGGCCTTCTCCTGGGATCAGATGGCGAGCCTGGACATGCCGGCCATGGTCGCCTACGTCCGCGCCACTACCGGCTCGGGCAAGATCGGCTACATTGGGCACTCGCAGGGCACCATGATGGCGTTTGCCGGGCTCGAGCCCGGCGACGCCGCCTCCATTGCTGTTGTCGCCGCCCTCGCCCCTGTTGCCCGCGTCTACCACGTCGACCTCGGCCCGTTCAAGCTCGTGGCTGACCTGCCGACAAAGTGGGTGTACGAGATTCTCGGCCACGGCGAGTTTAACCTCGATCCGGCGACCGTCTCCAAGCTGCTGCCGGCGGTGTGCGAGGTGGAAAAGTCGCTCTGCAACGAGATCGTGTGCCTTGTCGCCGGCTGCGACTCGGCCAACCTCAACAAGACCCGCTTCGATGTCCTCTTTGAGTACTTCCCGTCGCCGACCTCGGTCCAGGACATCATCCACTTTAAGCAGGGCGTGAATACCGAGACCTTCCAGGCCTATGACTACGGCTCGGTCTCCGCCAACGTTGCCCACTACAACCGCACCACCCCTCCGCTCTACAACCTCGCCGCCTTTGCCGGCAAGGTCGGCCTCTTCTCTGGCGGCCGTGACAAGCTGGCGGACCCCACAGACGTTGCCTGGCTCAAGTCGCAGCTCCCACTCGACGCCGTTGTCATGGACAAGATCTACCCCAATCTTGGCCACGCCGACTTTGTGTGGGGCCTCAACGCCCACACGCTTGTCTACCCGGACGTCCTCGCCCTCCTCAAAGCTGCCGACTGGGAGTAGAGCTCCCGCTCCCGCTACAACCGCTACTGCTAGCGACCCAAGCCAACCGCGCTTCCAAGGCCTCGATTCCAATGCCGTGCTTGGTGTAAACCTCACACATTCGCACATACCGCGCCGCCAGGGCGTCATCGTCCGCACCCAGCCCAGCGGCGAGCTTGCGGAGGCACGGCGGGCAGAGATGGTACGGCTTGGCCTCCAGCTCGTCGAGCGAGTTTGTGGCGTTCATCAGACACGTGTACCTCTTGCAGTGCTTAAGGCCAAAGAGGTGGCAGATCTCGTGTGCTGACACCTTGAACAGAAGCCGTACATCGTCCGGTGCCTCACTGCCCATCGTCCGCGCGCTCGACGCCACCGCCGCGCCGTCGACCGCACGCGCGAGGCCAAACACATAGTTCCACCCCTCGCCTGGGCACACATCGACGTCGGTGAGAACAAGCGTCACAAGCTCGGCCCGGCTGCGGCTTCGAGACCGCTTCCGCCGCTTTGCTGCCACCAACGCTAGCGCATCGCTTGTCGCCATCTGCCCGTCAGCACTGGTTGCGATCTCCATCTCGCTTGCCAGCACATGCTCCTCGAGCCGAACCTTGCAGCTCGGCGAGAAAAGGCGGAAGTAAGGCTAGCCAAAGCCTGCAGCGCCTCGTGCCGAATCGCTCTGGCCTCTGACAGAAGCGGGGCGAGGTAGATGGCCGAGTAACTGGCATGAACCGTCGCCCGAAAGTGGGAACGCGCAAACGACGCGAACGACTGCGCGCGCCGCCCCGCCCGCCTCCTCCCGCCACTCAGCACCTCCTCTGTCGGGCCGGCCTGGTAGAATCGACTGAGGCCAGCATCTCTGTTGGCGTTAGACATGCGCGTCAATGAACGAGCAGCAGCAACAGGAGCAGCATGGGGTATCGAGGGAGCGATGGCCTCGATTTTGTGCATTCCTTCGCAACGCTGCTTGCGAAGGAATTGGTCCGGCCTGATGCGGCGATGGCCCATCTGAAAGCCATTGGCTTCCGGAGCAGCTCGATGGTCGTAGTGGGCAACAAGAACAGTCTGTACGGCTTCTTTAGTCTGCTCTATGTGTTCGATGAGGACGACGTACACTGCCGGCTGACCATGGCTTGGAAGCGTGACACGCTTCGGTCTCACTCGCTGGTGCGCGATGAAGGCAGCTTGCTTCCGTTTACTCTTGCTTAATGGAATAGCGCGGTCGTCACGGTCTCGACATGCATTGTGCGGCCGCGCGCACGGTTGTTGTGGCCCCCAAGCCTAGTCGGCAAGTGAGCGTCGCGGAGGACACCATCATCGGCGGCAGCATGTCGAAAGCGTCGTGGAAAACGAGTGATCACTCGTCGGCGAGGACAACTCTGGAATGGCCTCGCTCGCTGGCTCGCCAGGAGGCATGGCGTTGGTGGTCACCGAGCCGGCCATTCTCGTCGCCCAGGCGATGATCTTTACCACCGTCGCCGTCCACGTCTTGCATGGCGACAACGGCGGCCTTCCCACAGCCGCTGCTGCCAAGGTCTCTCTCACCAGGGTCACCCATCACGTCCAGCCACGCAAGCGCTCACGCTCGCCTTGACGACAACGTGGTGCTGGACTGCTCAAGCGCGTCTTGAGTCCGAGTCGAGCGTTTGCAATCGCCCACAGATTGATGATGTGTAGTGCGATGCAAAACACTCGGTACAACGCCACCATCACAGGTCTACAGGATGGTGGCCTCACGGGAGGTGGTCAAACTCCAACCAATCAAGAAAGGTCGCACTTTCATTTCAAACTTTCGGACTTTGCCACCACCGCCACCTCCAGCCCCTCCTCGCCACCCTCCCAAGCCCACGTTTGCTCACCACTTGTCACCCCCTGCACAACACACACATACACACACTAGTACGTACATCCTCTCCCACCCCACCCCATCTTCTCCCCTCCCTCCCCCCCCCTCCCCCCCTCCCCACCCCCTTCCCCACCCGCGTGCCTCTTGGCGCGCAGATTGATCACGAGTGCGACTCACACGACCGAGGCTCGGCCAACGCAACGTTGTCTCAGTGGTGCGGCTGAATGCGGATGAGGAGACCCTGGGACATGTGGCCGGCGTGCTGCAGGCCTCGTTCTCGGGCAACGATCAGGAGCGCAAGGCGGCTGAGGCCGCGTTTGCTGATCTCAAGACTGCGGCCGGCTTTGCGCCCGTCCTCCTCAAGCTCGTCGAGGGCGCCGAGGGCGCCATCGGCATGTCGGCGGCACTGCAGCTCAAGAACTACGTGATGCGGCACTGGAAGAACGGTGTGGGGAGCGGCGGGCTTGATGACGACGACATTGTGATTGACGAGGCCGACAAGGCTGTTGTCCGCGAGGCGCTGCTCGGCGTGCTTGTGGCGCAGCCGACGGCGGTGCAGGACGCGTTGCAGGACGTGGTCTACGCCATTGCGCTCGTCGACTACCACGAGCGGTGGGACTCGCTCATGCCCGAGCTTGTGGCGCGGCTGCAGCATGAGATGGGCGCCGGCGACTTTGACAACATCAACTCGTTGCTCGGCGTGGTGGCGCGGGTCTTCAAGAAGTACGAGGGCCAGTTTGCGTCGGACGCGCTCATGCTCGAGCTGCTGTACTCGCTTAAGCAGTTCCAGGAGCCGCTGCTGTCGATGTTCTCGGCAGCGAGCGAGGCTGCGGTCGGGTCGAGCGACAACCCTGGGTTCCAGGCGCAGCTCTTTCACGCCATGTCGACCATGGCCGGCATCTTTTACTCGCTCTCGGTCCACGACCTGCCCGAGTACATGGAGGACCACCTTGAGCCGTGGATGCAGCTCTATTCGCAGTGGCTTTCGTACGAAGTGGAGAACCCGCCGAGCGCGCTCACCGAGCTCCACGCCCAGATCATCTCCATCTGCGCGCTCTACACCGAGATTGCATCCGAAGAGTTCAACGACGACTACCTGCCGACCTTTGTCGAGCTCATTTGGAAGCGGCTGATGCGGACGAGCCAGGACCCGTCCGAGGACGAGCTCTTTGCGCGCGGCGTGCAGTTCCTGACCTCGCTGGCGTCGCGGGCCACCCACGGCGCGCTGTTCCAGGACCCGGAGGCACTGCAGGCCATTTGCGAGCAGGTCATCCTCCCCAACGTCCGCTTCACGGCTGCCGACATGCAGACCTTTGAGCTCGACCCAGTCCAGTACATTGCGCAGATTCTCAAGGGCGGCGACGTCGACACCCGCCGGCATGCGGCTTCGCAGCTCATTGCCGGCCTCTGCGACCAGTACCGCGAGCCGGTGACCCAGATCTTCTCCACGTACGTCGGTCAGCTGCTTGAGAGCTACACCGCCGACCCGAGCCCATCGGGCGAGGGCTGGATTGCCAAGGACGCCGCCATGTTCCTGGTCTCCAAGATGACTGTCGTCCGGTCGTCGACCAAGCTCGGTACGACCGAGGTCTCTGAGTTTGTCAACATCGGCGAGTTTTTCTCGGACCACGTTGTGCCCGAGCTTGTCGACGGCGACGTCAACAGCAAGCCAGTGCTCAAGACGGACGCGCTGCTCTTCTGCGCCACTTTCCGCAACCAGCTCCCACCCGATGCGCTGCATGCGATTGTCGCGCCCGCCACTGCCCTCCTCACCTCGGAGTCGTTTGTGGTCCGGACGGTGGCCGCGCACGCGCTCTCGACCATTCTCGTGGCTTCCGTGACGAACGAGAGCGGCGAGCGGCTCCGCGTCTTTGGCCCGGACGTGGTGACCGGCGACGTGCTTGAGAAGCTCCTTGTCAACCTGTTTGGCGCCATGGACGCAGGCAGCGACCGGAGCGAGCGCGAGAACGCGTTTGTCATGAAGGCCATCATGCGTGTGGCGTCGTGCGCTGGCGCTGGCATTGTGCCGTACGTCGGAACGTGCGTCGACCGGCTGACGGGCCGCATCGGCGAGGCGTGCGCCAACCCGGGCGATCCGTCGTACAACCACTACATGTTTGAAGCGCTTGCCGCCATCATCAAGGCGGTGTGCTCGTCCGAGTCGACGGCGGTCGCTGCGTTTGAGGACATGCTCTTCGAGCCATTCACGGCCGTCCTCCAGGCCGGCATCGAGGAGTTTTCGCCGTATGTCTTCCAGATCCTTGCGTCGATGCTCGAGATCCGGACGGCGGCCGGCGGCGCTGCTGCCGACGTGCCCGAGGGCTACACCTCGCTCATCCAGCCGCTGATGACACCTGCGCTGTGGGCGGTGACGTCGAACATGCCCGCCATGGTGCGGCTACTGCAGGCGCTCGTTCGCGCCGCACCGGACGCCGTCATTGCCGCCAACGTCGTCGAGCCCGTCCTCGGCATCTTCCGCAAGCTGCTCGGGCGGCGGGCCAACTTCCCGCACGCCTTTTCGCTCCTCCACACGGTCACGACCGGCTTGCCGGCCGAGGCCCTCGCGTCATCCTTCCACAACATCTACATCCTCATCTTTACCAAGCTTACGGCAACCGAAAAGTCGCCGTGGTACGTCCGCCACATGGGCCTGTGGATGACCAAGTACGCGGCAGTGATGGACACGTGGGACGGAGTCATGGCCGGCGTCGAGGCGCTGCAGAGCGGCCTGTTTGGTCAGCTCGTGCCCATCCTCGCCGACGCGGCGGCGCGGTACGCCGATCCTGTCGAGCGCAAGGCCGTTGTCGTCTCGCTCACCAAGCTCCTCACCGGCACGCCTGCCTTTGCGCAGAACTTTGGTGAGGCGTGGAGCGCGCTGTTTGCCGGCATTGTCGACGCGCTAGCGCTCGAGCTCAAGTCGGACGACGAGTCGCTCGAGGTCAAGGTGGCAGCGGCCAAGGCGTCGTCGAAGCAGGTCATGCACTCGGGCTCGTCGGCGGCGGAAGCATCCGCGCTCGAGTACGATACCAAGTTTGCGCAGCTTGCCAACGCACAGCAGGCGGTTGAGGACATTGCGCCCGAGGTCGAGAACCCGCGCGCATGGTTTGTCGAGCAGGTCGTCGGGTTTTCGCGGGCCGTCGGCGGCGGCATCCTCGCCAACGTCGAGCTCAGCCAGGAGCAGGGCGAGGCTGCCATGGAGTGGTTTGCCGCTGCCGGCGTCGACACCTCTGCGCTCTAGTGTACCTTAACCCTTAACGGTACGGTCGTTCGGTGCGTTGTCGCACGCGCCTCAAAGTGAACAACACAGTACATGATCAAGCCCTCAAGCCGCCCTGCTGCTGCCATGCGCCGGCCGATCGGCGTCGCATGGGTTGTTGCGGCTTGGGGTGGGAGGGCCATACAGCCGCGCCGCCAAGGCGCCCATTGCAGCCGGGCGTTTGATCGAGACAGAATCGACCACAGAGGGCGGACAAGGATCGCCGCCCTCGCACAAGGCTTCCGCTGAGACGGGCTCGAAGGTGACGTGCAACGTGCGAGACATCAAGGTGACTCGAGTGCACGAGCTCGAGCGCAAGCGGGGCATCATAGCGATGGGCGCGTAGCACGTGATGATGTTACTGGGATGAGACGGCGAGCGAGGCGAGATGATCCATAAAGACGCGGAGCGAGACATCGTCGGTCAGAATGACCTGGCCGCCGCCCTCCTGGCCGTACTCGCCCATGTTGTTGTGGGTGACGGAGGGATCGACCTTGGAGTAGAGGATGCGAGCCGGGGACGAGTACTGGTCGCACTCGATGTACCGCGGGACGGGCCAGCGGTCCTTAAGGATGAGTAGGGCGTCGTCGCGGGGAGTTTGCAGCAGGGTCTTGAACGACTCGTACTCGGGCAGCTCCTGGTAACCCTCCTTCTTCCAGGCGGCGATGGTCTCACCGGCAAAGATGAGGACAAAGAAAAAGGTGTCGAGGAGCAGGATACGATCGGGCAGGATGGAGGCAGCGTCGAGGAGGACCGGGGTGGGCTCGGCGTCAAAGCCGTAGGCGACGAGCGACGGCTGGATCATGATGAGCGAGTTGAGAACGTTCTCGCGGTAGAGGGTGTGCCGGTAGAAGGCGGTCTCGTCGGGCGACGAGTTGAAGACCTGCAGGAACTGCGAGCGGCGGAGATGGAACATAAACTGCGGGTACATGGCAAAGCCCGGCGGGAGGGTGAGCGACGACGGTGAGTCGGCCTGATAGTCGCCAAACTTGGCGACGAGCCGGATGAGCATGCGGTCGAGCCAGCGGATGACGTCAAACGAGCCCTCGGCCTCGGCCTTGAACACGGCCTTGCGGGCCATGATGACGGTGGCGGCCTCCTGGTCAAAGCCGTCGATGATGAGGCCGGGCTCGGCCTTGGGATCGGCCCACGAGCGGGCGACGGTGGTGACGCGGAGCCGGTACACGCCCGACGCATGCCGGTAGATGGTGGTGAGCTGGAGGAGGCCCTGCTGGCCGGCCGGAATGGGCGCGCCCGAGTTGACCACCTCAAAGTAGAGGGCGACCGAGGTCTGCGGGATGAGCCCGTTGAGCCGCCACGCGGACGTCTCGCCGACGCCGATCGAGGTCTCGGCGACGCACGACGACTTTTTGCCGAGTGACGAGAGCGGGCCGATGGCGCCGGCGACCTTGAACTCACGCGTCGTCTGGACTTCGAGCGTGGCAGAAAAGGCCATTTTGAGGTCACCAGCCTCGTCGCGGGCAAAGCACCGCTTGAACGACTCGCGGAACATCGAAGTGGTGAACGAGTCGGCGAGGACAAGGAGGCCGCCGGTCTTGTTGACGGCCGAGATGACCTCGAGCACTCCGGTCTGGTTGCCCGAGCAGGCAAACATGTCGAGGACGTGGCCGTTGGCGACGAGCCGGCTCGCAAGCGCTTCGTAAAAGGCGACAGCAGGCTTAAAGTGCGGGACTGAGCCCTTCTCGAGGTCGTGGTGGGCGCGGATGGTCTCCTCGAGGTCGTCGGAGAGGACCTTGCCCGGGCCGATAGTCGGCGGGCCGCCGATAAACGACATGATGCGTGCGCCGGTTGCCGGGTAGCACACCTCGAGCAGCGACGCCGCAACCGAGAGGGCGACGCCACCAGCACGGATGGCGCGCTTGCCCGACGGCACCGGCCACGGGTCCTTCTCCAGCTCCTCCAGAATCGAAGTGAGGGTCAGGTCGCATTCCGAGAGCGGAAGCAGGAACTTGCCCGGACCGCCGGGGAGGATCTGCCGCTGGCGGTGTGAGGCGCCCGCGCTGCCGGCCTTGCCTGGCGCGGCTGGCGCGAGAATGCTGAGCGCCACCCCGACGTCATTGGGAGAGACGTCGCGGTCGCCACGGAAGATGTGCGACTTGGCGCACTCGCCAAAGCCGAGCTCGTGGACGGCAACGTGCTTGCCAAAGGTGATGAGCCCGACGAGCGAGTTCTCCGGGAGGAGCGAGAGCGAGAGAATGAGCGACTCCTTGAGCGACTGAATCTCCTCGGGGTGGATGGCCGTGTCGACGACAAGGAGGAAGATGGGCGGGACCGGGGCGGTCTTGCGGAGGGTGTACTCGATGGTTGTGTACGAGGGGAAGAGCTCGGCCGGGAGCGAGGTCTCGGAAATGGACTCGTAGTGCTGGGGAAAGGCGTTGCGGCCAAAGCAGAAGGGGCAGACCCAGCGCTTGTTGCGGGTATCGATCTGGCAGAACGGGTTGAGGATGCCGCGGCACTCGCCCGAGCGGCAGACCACTGGCTCGTACTCGAGCACAGGGCAGCCAGTCTCCTTCAGCGGCGTGTACATGCACGAGTGGTCCACCACCATCCGCGTAGCCTCCACCTTGGACGACGGCCACACTGTCCATCCCCCTCGGTTGTCCTCTGTAAGTCGTCACCCCCTTCCTCCACACCTCCTACCCTTCCCATGCCCATACTCCGCGTCGAGCAGTGCCTCCATTTTTTGCAGCCACGTCGTCCGGCCTGCCGCCACCGCCATCGCCCCCCCCCCCCCCTATCCCTACCCCCCCTGGGTAGCCACTACTGGGTGGTGGAAGATGGTAGGGAAGACACAGAGGGGGTACTGGCATGTGTAGGCAGGTCTACGTACCGTTCCATGCAAACCGGATGCCGTCAACCGCTTCCACGTCGGTCACAGACCATGCCGCCTCGTCCGCAGCCATGCTGTCGAAAGGGACACAAGTGGTGGTGTTTGCGGTTGCTGTCCGTCCTGCCGCCCGACCGGCGACCGGCGACCGGTGGGTGGCGGGTGGCGGGGGCGGGTGGCTGGCGGGTGGCGGGTGGCCTGTTGACTGCAGGGGTCATTGGCGGGAGGGAGATGGGGGACGGTTGACCTGAGCTGGTGTTTTTATGGCGGATGCGTATTGGGGGCTCAGATGAGGCGGTCGCAGATGCGCCAGTGGGTGTCGTCGGGCGCGCGGAGACGGCGCTCAAAGACCCAGTACTCGACAATGGGCGTCTCGTCGACGGCCTTGATGAGCTCGCCGGTGACGGCCGAGGTGACCCGGAGCGACTGGAGCGACTCAAACTTGACGGTGATCTGGGCCCAGAGGTCCTGGTCGTCGCGGAGCGGGAAGGCGCGCGACTGCATGATCTTGGGCGCGACAGTGTACTCACCCAGCGACCACTCGTAGTTGCGCTCGGCCTCGCGAGCAAGCTTGACCTCACGCTTGAGGGCGGTGAAGAGCTTCTCGGTGGTGAGCTGGCGGAGCGGGGCGAGCTTGCCGGCGTAAAAGGCCTCGTTGACGATGACGTAAGACTCGCCGGCAAGATCCTCAAACTTGGCCGGGGTGAACCCGTCCATCTCCTTCTTGATGGCCATGACGGCCATGGTGTTGCGCGAGGCCTCCTGCGCCGACTCGCGGTAGTTGGCCCACCATCCGGCAGCCTCGGTCTCGGCCGCAGCCTCGACCGACGGCACCTTGAACTTGTCCACCGTGATGTTCGGCGAGGCAATGTACAGGTTCGGGTTCGGCAGCTTGAGCCCCGGCCGCCGCGGCATCGACGCCGCAGCCTTCTTCGTCTGCTCCGCCACCTGCGCCTCGCGCTTCTCAGCCTCGGGATCGGTCACGTAGTTGCCGATGAAGGGGACTCGGGCGAGCCGCGACCGCCACGAGGGCTTCTGCGACGCCGCCCCGCCGTCCGGCCCCAGCAGTGCGTCCGTGTACGGTGTCTTTGTCTTCGGGTTGTTCACCATTGGCGTCTCACCCGCTCCAGTCGACACCCATGCCTTCCCACCAGCTCCCGCCGTACCCACCACCGCCGCCGCCGTCGCCGTCGCTGCCGTCACCGCCGTCTGTCCAGCCGGGCTCAGCCCTGCGCGAACCACCACAAGCATAGAGTGTCGTGTATGTATGGGGGAGTTGAGTTGTGGGTTGTGGAAAGGGGGATTATGAGGGGGGAGGGAGTGCGGTGTGGCGTGTGCTGTGCTTCTCCCCCCCTCCCCCTCCCCCTCCCCCCGTCCCCCCCTCTGGTTCTCCCCGAGGATGGCCGAGATGTCGCGCCCCCTCATCCACTCACCGCACGTGGGAATGCTACGCTACAGACATTGTCCATCACAATCATCACCACCCGAGGAGTAGCCCACCTCATTGCTGCGTTGCACCATCTCTGCTGTAATCGAACACCTCATCACCCATTACCGTTGCACTTGGTCAAGATCAAAAACCCCATGTGGTCGCAATCCGAGTACCGCCCTTGTTGTTGCAGCTGGTTGGGTGCGCTAGCCCCCCCCCCCTTCCCTCTCCCCCTCTCCCGAACGCGCCAACCGCCACCACCCGCCCGCCCGACTGTCACCACCACACGCCCGCCCGGTCACCACCACCGCTCTCCGCGACCACCACCCCCCCCCACCGTACCATCCCCACTCCTCCTCCACTCCTTCCCCTCCCTCCCTCCCCCCCCCCCCCATCCCCTCTCGTCTCCTTACCATATATGACGTCAAAGGCAGAGCTGGTGGCCGCGTTGGACGAGTCGGCCCAGGCGCTGTTCGGAGCGCCCGCTGCGGACGTTGCTGGCCATGCTGGCCTGCCACACGCGGCGTCTGCGTTGGGCGGTGCAAGCACGGACGGCAGCAATACTGGAGCACCAGAGGCCATGGTCTCGCATCGGATGGATGCGTGCAAGGAGTATGTCGCACGGCACAAGCTGCACGAGATCATCCAAGAGCTCTCGGCTCAACTCCTCTTCCACCAGCCGGACGACGTCCGCGCCTTTCTCATCGACCGCCTGCAGGCTCTGGCCGCTGTCCGCGATGCTGCTGTCAGCAAGCTTCCGGCGGCCGCTGCCCGTGTTGCGCTCTTCTCTGAACAGGACCTTGATACCGTCTTTGACATCTACGATGTCCACAACTCGGGCTTTATCTCGCTCGACCAGTACGCCACCGCCATGGCCGACATCGGCGCCGTCAAGTTTGATCCCGAGCCCGCTGCCGCCAACAACGGCCGCATCGACAAGAAGACCTTTGTCTACATTGCCAACTGCGCCCTCAAGGACACCATCCGCCACTACGCCGCAGCCTCGGCCGACGCCGCCGAGTAGGCGACGCGGCGGCGAAGCCACGCGACAAAGCCACGCGGCGAAGCGACGCCGCTGCTGCCCCCCCCCTCCCCCCCATCCACCCATCCCACCCTCCTACCCACCCGCTACCGCAGTAAACCTGCTTACTCTCTCTCCCATGATCACATCCACCGCCTGCGAGTGCCTCCGCCGCCATATGCCCAACAAGCGGAATTCTCCCTCCCCGCCTCGCCAGCCCTCTTTGTCGCCACCAACCCCTCTCTCCCTGGACTGGCAGCACTCCTCGCCGTGGATGGTGTACGAGGACGGGAGGACGACTATGGACGCGCCGCTACAATCCAGCGACGCACCGGCGGCCATGACTGCCCTACTCTCATGCGTGGCGCCAGTGGTCTCCCCCGACGAGGACGCTGCCCTCAGCGACCTTTGCCACGCGGTCCTCGCCAACGCCACCGTCCGCCCGGCTCCGCCGTCTCTGGCCACCCTCGCCGAGCTCTTTGTCTGCGAGCCGTCCGTCGTCTCATACCTCGACCGGCGCACAAAGCCGGAGCTTGCCCTCGACCTCATTGCAGCTACCTATGCTGGCGCCAATGCTGCTGCACCCAAGCCGCTCCCGCCGCAGCGAGACCAGGACCATGACCACAGCACCGCCGAACTGGCCGGACGCCCTGCTCCGCCCAAGCCGACCTCCCCGCCGCCGTACGCCCCTACAGACGCTGCAGATGCTGCAGACGCAGCGGCAGCAGTCGCTGCAGACTCGCGCGCACGCTTTCGTGTCACTCGCGATGCGCTCCTTGCAGACGTCTCGGCGACCCTCGCTGTCGAGTCCGGCAAGGCCGATGTGACCTCTGCCTACGCTGAAGACGTCCAGGCACACGTTACAGATCTGCTGGCTCAGCTGGAAGAGCTGACGATGTCAAACGTCGAGCTTGCCACTGAGCGTGACGAGCTTGCTGCCGAGCGCGACCAGCTGGCCACCGAGCGTAACGAGCTCGCATGTCGCAGCGCTCACACGACGAGCCTCAGCCTTGAGCTCGAAGACGAGCGCGAGTCGCGGTTCCAGCTGCAGGCTCGGTACGAGGAGCTCCGTGACGAACGCGACAGGCTTGCAGCTGCGCTTGCCGACGGCGGCGAGAGCGTCGTCTCGGGCACTTCCAGTGTCTCGGCGAGTGGAAGTGGAAGCGGCTCTTCGCGTGATGCCACCGTTGCCTCGCTCCAGGCCCAGCTGCACCTACTCTCGTGCTCGAACGAGCAACTCCGCGAGTCAAACGCCCAGCTCCGTCGGCAGCACTACCTCTCGGAGAACTTGGTCCACAACTCTGCCGAGGCCCAGGCCCGCGCCGCTGCGCTCTCGGGCGACATCGACCAGCTGCGGTCCGAGCTTCTGGCGCTGCAAGCGGCTTCGATGTCGACAGCCGATGCGCTACGCGACGAGCAGGCCGAGTCTGAGGCGCTGCGAGGTGAGCTCGCTCGCGTCCATGACCAGCTCGTGGCGGTAACCGATGATGCCAACGCGTTCCGAGCCGCTGCCAACAAAGCTGCGGCACAACATGCGGTTGACTCGGCCGAGCTTGACGTGCTCAAGTCACAGATGGCCTCCATGCGCCGCGCTGCCGCCGACAGCCGTGCGGAGCTCGCAGCTCTCGGCGCTGAACTCGACTCGCTCCGCTCGCAGCACTCGGAGTCGCAAGTCGATGCCGCAGCAGTGGCGGCGGCGGCTGCGACCGCCGAGGCTCGCGCTACTGCTGCCACCGAAGCGCTGACTTTGGTTCAAGACGAGCTGACTTCCGTGCGGGCTGACGCCGATGGCCGTGCCTCTGCTGCTGCCGCCGCCCAAGCGGCCGCCGAGCGCGAAGCAGCGTCGTGGCGCGACCAGGCCACGAGCCTCCAGGCCGAGCTCGCCATGGCGCAGCGCGCCCAGCTTGCTGGGGATGCTGCTACTGCCGAGGCTCGGGCTGCACTCGCCGCTGCCGAGGGCCGGCACGCCGCGGTCACCGCCGAGGCCGCCTCGCTCACTGCAGTCCTTGATGAGCTTCGGGCCAAGCACCGCGCAACAGTCAACGAGCTCGGTGCAGCTCGCGAGGAACTTGCCAACGCCAACGCATCCCTCGCTACGCCATGCCGTGCTTGCAGGGAGATGACTGCCCGCGCCGAGGACGCCGAGGCACAGGTGGAAGCTGCCAAGCATGCAGCAGCGCAGTCCAAGACCGCGTCCGAGTCTGCGCTCGCCGCTGCACAGCAGCGCATTTTAGACTTGGTTGCCCGCGCTGAGCTTGCCGAGCAGGCTGCCGCTGCGACCGGAGCTCGCGCCAATGGACTGCAAGTTCAGGTCGACTCCATGCGGGACGAGGTTAGTGGGCTACAGAAGGCACTTGCGGCCGCACGTACCGCTCGCCTCGAGGCCGACAACGCCGCTGCTGAGCTCTCGGCGTCGTCTGCGGCGGCTTCGCGGCACGCTGCTGCCGAGCTTGAGCGTGTCTTGGAGCAGCTGGCGACTGCCGATAGCCGTGCTGCCAGTGCCGAGGCTCGCGCCGAGTCGACGGCTGCCGAGCTTGCATCGCTCGCCGGCGTGCTCGAGAGTCGCACCGCCCACATTTCTCAACTCGAGGCCGATCTTTCCAGCGCCCGCGCAGATGCCGAGTCTACGCAGGCTGATGCTGCCGCTGTCGAAGCCAAGCTCGAGGTGGCGACCGCCGAGACGAAGCGGCTCGAGGCCCAGCTAGAAACACTCGGCCGTGCCCGTGCTTCCCGCAGCGGCTCCGAGGATGCCGAGGCGTCGCCCGCCTCGGGTGTCTCACCGCCACTGGCACCTCGCGGGCCAGCGAGCGGATCCATTGGCGAGCTGCATCTGGCCGAGCTCTCAACCGAGGTGGAGAAGGTCCGCAGTGAGCTCGAGTCGATGGGCTCGTCGACGGCAGACCTGTCTCAGCTTGCGCGCCGGATGGATTCGGCGCTTGAGAGCCTCGCCGCGTCGTCGCAGGCCATGCTTGCGCGCGAGTCCAAGGCTCGGATGGGCGACGAGCCGGTTTCAGTGCTTCGCGAGTCGCTCGCGGCGTCGCGTGCTGCCGAGCAAGTGCTCGCCATGAAGGCCGACGTGCTCTCTGCCCGAGTCTCCGAGCTTGTCGAGACCAATGCGCGCCTCAAGGACTCGGTGGCCTCGTCCGATGGACGGCTGGCGAGCTTGACCAGCCAGCTGCACGAGGCTCGTCTCGCCGCCGCCGAGTCGACGGCCCAGGCCCAGAATGCTGCCTCGACCATGCGCGCTGTCGATGAGCGGGTGGCCCGCGCCGAGGCGGAGGCGCGTGCTGCGCGTGACGCCGCTGGTAACGCAAAGGTTCGCGAGGCCGAACTGAATGTGCGGCTGGAGAACTTACGCGAGAAGCACGATGAGCTGACGCGTCGGCTAGCGAGTGCGACCGATGCCCTCGTTGAGGCGCAGACAGCTGCAGGTGTGAGCGAGCGCCATGCCGCGACATCCACTGCCGAGCTGGCTGCGGCGCGTGCCCAGCTCGACGAGCTCCGTCGGGCTTCTGACGCGAACCAGACCGAGCTGCGGCACGAGGTCGCGACGCTTCGAGGACAGGTCGATGCCGGACGAGAGACGCGGGTGACGCTCGAGGCCGAGCTCGAGCGGGCTCGTGCCGAGCTCGCCGCCCACTACGACGCAAGCACCGAGGCTGCTGCTGCGGCGGACCGCATCCGCGCGGAGCTCGACTCGGTTCGCGCCACACTGAGGACTGCCGAGGCCGAGCGTGCGAGCGCGGATTCCCGGGCAGCCGCAGGCGAGCGCGAGACGCAGCGGCTTGCCGCCGAGGTGGAGCGTAGTGACGCCCGGGCGACCAGGGCGGAGGAAGTTGTCGCCCAGACTCGCGCCGAGCGCGACGCAGCTCTGGCCAAGGCGGCTGAAGCAAGCCCACTCCACGCCGAGCGCGAGGCTCGTGCCACGGTTGAAGCACGTGCGACTCGGGCCGAGACCGAAGTACGGCTGCTGACGTCCCGGATCGAGCAGCTGGAGACCACGATCGAGACTCAGAAGAGCGCGCTTGCCGAGTGCGAGGCCCGGATCCGTGAAGAGCTCACAGGCCGGAAGGATGCCCTCGCTGCACGCGACGCAGCTGCTGTCGAGGTGACCATGGTCCGGCGCGAGCTCGCAGATCGTACCGCGACCGTCGACAAGCTCAAGGCCAAGCTGCAGGAGGTTGACGAGGCCGGCCGACGCGCAAACTCTCGCGCACAGGAGCTGGCACTCCGTCTGGAGCTGGCGGAGCAAGGCAACGACGAGGCGTCGGCCTCCCGCGAGCAGACGATTGCAGCGTTGACGTTGCGTGCTGACGACGCTGTTGCGGCGTCTGCCAAGGCACAGGAACGTGCCGCCAGTCTCGAGGCCGAGCTGAGGGAGGTGAAGGCGGCGACGGCGTCGTTCGAGTCCTGCCGCTCGCAACTCGAGGAGGACAATCGTGTCCTCCGCACCAGGATCAGCGATCTCTCGGCACGTCTCGAGACCGAGCTGGGCAACCTGGAGCGACTGCAAGGTGCTCGCGAAGAGGCCGAGGCCGACGCGCAAGTTAATGCCGAGGAGGCGGCTGAGCTGAGGAGTCTTCTCTCGGCCCGCGATGCCGAGCTTGCTGTGGCGCGGAGTGAGAGCGAAAACGCTCGAAGCGAAGCGGTCGCGGCGACAGAGCAACTAGCCCAGGCGAGTCACGAGGCCCGCGAGGCAAGAGCACGACTGATTGAGCACGAGCAGGAGCTTGTCCGCAGCCTCGACGAGGCTGCATCAGCTGCCGCTGCCGAGCTGGACGAAGCAGTCCGCGCAAAGGAGGAGGAGCTGGCAGCTGCCAAGGCAAGTGTGGCGTCGCTGACGGGCCGTCTGGAGTCGATGTCATCCCAGGCTGAGGAGCTGTCCACGCTTCGTGCCGAGCTGAAGAGCTGCGAAGGAGAGCTTGCACATGAACGGGCTGCTGCTGCGTCGCGGTCGACCAAACTTGCTGAGGCCCAGGCACGTGCCACTGATCTGAATACGAGACTAGAGGCCGCGGAGGCCAAGCACATTGCGGACGCAGCCCAGCTTGCGTCGGTTGCTGCCAAGGCGGAGTCTCTAGAGGGACAGAGCCACGAGCTGGCGTGCGTCCGCGGTGAGCTTCGCGAGTGCGAGAAGAAGATCGCGGAGCAGAGTGCGACGATGTTGTCGCTGACTGCCAAGGTTGACGAGGCCGAGAAGCGGTTTGCAAGCATGCATGCCGACGCACAGCGTGCGCTGGAGATCCGCGACCAAGAGGTCGCGCGGGCAAATGCCGAAGCCGAGCGGATGCAGAGTGCAGCGCGCGAGGCTCAGGCCAAGGCCGACGAGCTGCGAACGCGGCTGCTCGAGCGCGACCTCGGCAGTCCTCAGTGTGGCGAGGCGTCTGACGCGGCTATGGCAAGAATTGAGAAGGCTATCAATGCCAAGGATGCAGAGCTGGCTAAGCTGTCACGGGAGGCACAAGCCAATCAAAGCGCCGCCATGCAAGAACGAAAGGAAGCGGATGCGGCACTGCGCCAATTGGAGCAGGAGCTGGCACATGAACGTGCCCGGGTGACCTCGCTTAGCGCACAGCTCGAGGATGCTACCAGTCGACTTGAGGCGTCGCGGAGTGAGGGCCGTGCTGCAATTGCTCTCCGGGATGAAGAGCTTAGCCGTGCTCGGAGCACACTGCAGGACCGCGAGCAGGCACTGGCGCATGCATCGGCAGGTGTGGCGTCACTGACGGCCAAGGCCGAGGCCACCGAGGCGCGGGTCGCGGAGTTGAAGACTCAGCTTGAGGCGGCGCAAGGCGAGGTCAGCCAGCTGCGGACCGAGCTGTTCGAGCGCGACCAAGCAATGGCGCGCGCTCGCGGCGAGGCGTCAGAGCAGGCCATGGTGCGAATCCAGGCGGCCATGGTCGCCAAGGACACCGATCTTGATGCAATGAGGGAGGAAGCTGCGCGACAGGTTGCCAAGATTGCATCACTGGAGAGTCGGGTGAAGGAGTCGGAAGCTCGATTCGAGCGGATGCGAGCCGAGGCAGAGGCGACGATGGAGCGTTTGTCCGGCGAGGCGCGTGTGGCGAGGGAGCGGCTGGCTAAGAAGTCTGCCGAGTGCGACCAGGTGGAGCAGGCATTTGCGGTGAAGCGAGCAGAGGTCACTGAGACGACCCGGGCCCTGAAAGGACGCGATCGCGAGATTGAGCGGCTGCTCGCCGCGTTGAAGGATGAGAAGGAGCAGATTACATTGCTCCGACAGCAACTGCTTGCCCGCGATCAGGAGATGGCACGGACGCGCGGCGAAGCATCCGAAGCTGCCATGGCACGCATCGAGGCAACCATTGCCGGAAAGGACGAGGAGCTGGCGCGGTTGGCAAGTCAGGCGGATGCGATGCGCTCTGATGCGCGGACAGAGCGAGAGCATTTGAGCCACGAGCTGAAAACAGCACAGGCGCTTGTGCGCGAGCAGGAGCAGAAACTGGCGCGGCAAGAAGTGGCTGTGGCGTCGTTGACGGAAAAGCTGACCGAAACACAGAACAAGCTCGTGAGCATGCGGCGCGAGACCGAGCGTGACCTTGGTGATCGCGACTCCGAGATCACGCGACTGAGGGCCGACGCCGACGCTGCCGACGCCAAGGCGACCAAGCTTCGCGCCGAGCTTGACGCGTGCAGACAAGCCGCGAACCACGCGCGCGTTGAAGCCACGAATGCAGCCGATGCTCGGCTGCGGACCGTTGTTGCGGGCAAGGATGATGACATTGCCCGACTCACGGCAGCGCTTGAAGCTGCAAAAACCGATGCGGCGGCGCATACGGGCGAAGGCGACCTCAGGCAAGCACTGGCCAAGTGCAAGGCCGAACTTACACAGGTGCGGCTTGAGAAGGAGGGCGTCGACAAGAAGAATGCGAGAATGGAGGTGGTTGTCGCGCGGCTGGAAGCGCGGCTGGAGAGCAGCAAAGAGGCAGCGAGCTCCGGTGCTGGGATGAGCGCGGCAGTACAGGCGACACTAGAGACGCTGAAGACAACGAACGCGAGGCTGATGGAACGTGCACAGGCCGAGTCGTCGCGCGCCGCAGCGCTCTCGGGTCAAATCGAAGTGCTGAAAGAGAATCTGAGCATTGCACAGCGGGCGGCACGTGAGGCGTCGACTCGAGCGGCTGATCTTACCGCCGAGCTTGCTGTGGCCAAGGCGAGTGCTGGCCAGTCACAAGACGACCATAGTGCAACCAACGAGGATCTGCGGCGCCAGTTGGAGAGCGTGGTGGCCAAGGTTGAGGAAGTGATGGAGCGGCAAGTCCGCGGCGCCGCCGAAGGCGCTAATGAGGTACGTGAGTCTGCCGAGTTCCCCCGTGTGATGAGAGACGTGCGCGCAGGGAGTAGAGACGATGGCCGGGCACAAGCCGAGACGGACAAGTTGGAGATCGCCAGGCTCGAGAGTGAGTTGGAGTCGTCGGTGGAGGAACGCGAGGCCGCGCGCGAGGATATGCGGCGGGAAGTGGCGAGGCTCGAGAGCGAGCTGAGGTCGTCGGTGGCGGAACGCGAGGCCGTGCGCGAGGATATGCGGCGGGAAGTGGCGAGGCTCGAGAGCGAGCTGAGGTCGTCGGTGGCGGAACGCGAGGCCGTGCGCGAGGATATGCGGCGGGAAGTGGCGAGGCTCGAGAGCGAGCTGAGGTCGTCTGTGGTCGAGCGGGAGGCTGCTTGCGCCGAAACTGAAAGCGTGCGACGCAAGCTCGAAGCCGAGCTCCGTGAGGTTGCTCGCTCGCTCAATGCTGACCGAGAGGCTGCATTGGCAGATGCTGCGACGCTGCGACGCAAGCTCGCTGAGAGGGCAAAGGCGCCAAACCGGCGCATGGCCCAGCTGCAGGTCCGCCTAGAAGAAGCCGAAGCCGACCTCGCGACTGCCGAGCAAAGGGCAAAGGATGCGGCGGTCGAGGCGGCGACGCTGCGCGATGAGCTGCAGGAAGCCCGCGCAGGAGGGCGGTCGCACGCCAAGGAGCTGAAGGCTGCCATGGTGGAGCTGCAGACACTGCTCGACCGCGAGCGCACCCAGCGGCGCGAAAGTGCTCGTCGCCACGCCGCAGAGCTGGATGCCGAGCGCGCGGCTGCCACCAAGGCTCGACGTAGTGCTAAGGCCGCCAGTGCCAAGGTTGAAGACCTAGCGTCGCGTCTAGATGCTGCAACTAGCGCCCACGCGAAGAACGAGAAGCTGGTCGCGGACGAGGTGACGACCTTGCGCGAGATGCTTGAGCGGCAGCAGCGCCAAAGCAAGCGGACTGAGGCGGAGCTGCGCCATGAGCTCTCTGGCTTCGAAGAGCGACTTGATGCCACCAAACGCGAGCTCACTGCCGCGGCGACGCGTCATACCTCGGAGCTGGAGGCCAAGACAAGCGAGGTGGCGGAGCTGCGGTACAAGCTGCGCGATGCCCAGCGCGATCATGCGCGTCTGGGGCAATTCGCCGACGAGGTGGAGCGCCTGAAGCAGCTCGTTGTCATCGAGCAAGCGCAGAGAGCCCGACTGGCAGAGGAGCTGGAGAAGGCACGGCACGACGCATTGCAGGCACGCGAAGAAGACGCATTGGCATTGTACGCCATGCGGTCCGATCTTAGTGAGGCCAAGGCACGTGTCGCACAGCTGGAGGCATTGGGCGACCTAGAGGCTGCACTGAACCGGGCCAATGAGGCCGAATCTCAGCTTATAGCCACGCGAAAGGCGATTCGGCAGGCCAAGGCCCGAACGCACGAGCTGGAAGCGGATGCCGAGTCGAGCCGGGAATTGGCGCAACTGGCTGAGGCTGCGCGCGAGAAGGCAGCCAAGCGGGCACAAGAGATGACGGCGTCGACAACGGCGGCAGCGTGCGGACGTAGCGGAGGATGCCGCCGAAGCCGCCGAGGCCTTGGTCGCGACATCCATTACGGTCCGTGACGAGTCCTTGGCTGAGGCGAAACTGGCTGCTGACCGCGAACGTGCGATCGACATAGAGCTGGCCAAAGCCAAGACCCGACGGGACGCAGCGGTCCGACGTGCGTGCGCGGCAGAGGCTGAGCGCGACGCTGCTGTCGAGCGGGCCGAGTCAGCCGAAGCAGAGCTGCGTGACGCCGAGCGGCGGTCGGCGGAGATGAGTCAAGCGTCTGAGGAGCAGCGGGAGCTGGCTTCACGTGCTGCGGCCGATGCTGCGCGTCTGGAGACCAAGGTGGCCGAGATGCACAAGGCGCTTGCTCGCGAAGAAGACCGAGCAAGCCAGCTCGCACGGCGGCTGAGTGAGGCGGTTCGCCGAGGTGATCGGGCTGAGGCCGAAGTTGCGCAAAGTCAAGTCGACATTGCGGATACAAATGCACGCGCCCAGCGGGCAGATGCCGAACTGAGTAATCTACTTGAGGTCAGCCGAAGAGCAGCTCGCCAGGCCGAGACCGACGCCAAGGCAGCTCGTGCAGAGGCGGCGTCGGCGAGTGACATGATTGCACGGCTGCAGCTGGAGTTGGCGAGTGCCTCGGATGGCGCTGACCGTGAGAAACAGGCCCGGATTCATGCTGAGGAGGCGTTGATGGAGGCGCGGCGAGCCCTGGGGGAGCGGACTAGCGAGTGTGGCATGGCGCATGACGAATTGATTGCACGCGCAGAGCGCATCGCCAGTCTGGAAGGCGAACTCGAGTACGAGCAGGCGCACATGCGGCGGCAGCTGGCGGAATGCAACGAACGTGTGAGTGAGATGCAGGCGCTTCTTGCCGCAGCCGAGAAGCGAGCGTCGGCGTCGGCGCGATTGCGCGACGAGCGACTCGGCGAACTGGCTGCTGTGTTGTCCGAGGCGGAGAACGCAAGCAGTGATCGGGTGGCAGGCGCAAGCTCTGCCTTGGCACGTGCCATTGCGCGGGCCCGCGCGCTGGTGGCCGAGGTGTCGAGCACCCGCGACGCGCGTGACGAGGCGAGGCGGCAGCTTGTGGAGCAGGAAGCGCGGACGGCAGAAGCTGAGTCGCGGCTGGAGGCGATGAGCACTCGGCTGCGTACAGTCGAGTCGGAACTGGCAACTGTGCTTGAATCTCAAGGTGAGCTGGTCGCGATGCAAGTCGAGCTTGAGGAGACTCGTGACCAAGCCGTGGCCGAGCTCAACGAGACCCGCGAGCGCGAAAAGGTCGTCGCTGTCGCCGCGGACGAACACGTGGCAGCGCTCCAGGCCCAGCTCAACTCGTCGACGGGCTTTGCACTTGCGCTTGAGGCGGAGATCGAGTCGCTGCATCATGAGCTGGCCAAGACCGAGTCGACGCAGCGAGCAGCCGATGAGCTGCGACAGCTGAATGAGGCAAGATCGGCCGAGGTTGCGGCGCGACTGGAAGAGGCCCACCGTGAGCGCGCATCGAGTGAGAGCGCATGGCGTGCTGAGCGCGAGAGGCTGGCCCGCCAAGTTGAAGCGGCCGAGGCTGCAGCCGCTACTACAGCGGCTGAGCTGGCCAAAGAGCACGGCGAGCATGCACGCACCAAGACTGCTCTGGCGAGTACGCAGTCGCAGCTGGCTGCACTTGAAACCAAGTCGAGATCCAGCGTGGCAAGGACGAGCGTGGACGGGCGAGTGCGGAGCAAGTGGCCATCCTGCACAGCGAGATTGCAATGCTCCGTGGGCGGAACCGTGCGCTGGAGGCCGAGATTGCATCAAGCCAGGCGCGTGCGGCAGCACTGGAGAGCGATCTGACGTCATTGCGGAGTCAGGCGGCGGGTCTTGCGGTGGACCTTGACTCGTCGGCGTTGGCAGCCAGTGAGCACAACGAGACACTGGCGCTGGGACTTGATGCGAGCGAGCACCGCATCGCTGTACTGGAGGCCGAACTTACTGCGGCGCGTGGGCGGATCGCGGTACTTGAAGGTGGGCTCCCGATGTTTCCAGGAGCCCCTGAGCTGGGTGGTGACCCGCTGGAGCTACACGAGCTAAGCATTGAGACTCTGACACTCGAGGACAGGGTTACGGAGCTTGAGCATGCGTTGGCCGAGAGCCGCGAGGTCGCAGCGCGCGCACAGGCGAGAGTCGACTCGCTGGAGAGCGCGAGGATGGGCATGGCTGCGGATCTTGCTGCGGCCGCGCATGCCGATGTGAAGCGGATGGATGCATTGGCCCGTGTCGAGCGGATGAAGGGTGAGCTTGAGGAAGTCCAGGCCCGTGTCGAGCAGGCCGAGAGCCAGCTCGATCAGGCCCGAACCCGCGCCGAACAGGCCGAGAGTCAGCTCGATCAGGCCCGCGCCCGCGCCGAGCAGGCCGAGAGTCAGCTCGTTCAGACCCGAACCCGCGCCGAACAGGCCGAGAGTCAGCTCGATCAGGCCCGCGCCCGCGCCGAACAGGCCGAGAGTCAGCTCGATCAGGCCCGAGTCCGTGTCGAGCGGATGGATGGCGAGCTCGATCAGGTCCGAACCCGCGCCGAACAGGCCGAGAGTCAGCTCGATCAGACCCGAACCCGCGCCGAGCAGGCCGAGAGTCAGCTCGATCAGGCCCGAGTCCGTGTCGAACAGGCCGAGAGTCAGCTCGATCAGACCAAGGCCCGCGCCGAACAGGCCGAGAGTCAGCTCGATCAGACCCGAATCCGCGCCGAGCAGGCCGAGAGTCAGCTCGATCAGACCAAGGCCCGCGCCGAACAGGCCGAGAGTCAGCTCGATCAGACCCGAACCCGCGCCGAGCAGGCCGAGAGTCAGCTCGATCAGGTCCGAGTCCGTGTCGAGCGGATGGATGGCGAGCTCGATCAGACCCGAACCCGCGCCGAGCAGGCCGAGAGTCAGCTCGATCAGACCCGAACCCGCGCCGAGCAGGCCGAGAGTCAGCTCGATCAGGTCCGAGTCCGTGTCGAGCGGATGGATGGCGAGCTCGATCAGGTCCGAACCCGCGCCGAACAGGCCGAGAATCAGCTCGATCAGGCCCGAGTCCGTGTCGAGCGGATGGATGGCGAGCTCGATCAGGCCCGAACCCGCGCCGAACAGGCCGAGAGTCAGCTCGATCAGGCCAAGGCCCGCGCCGCGCAGGCCGAGGGTCAGCTCGATCAGACCAAGGCCCGCGCCAGAGAGGCCGAGAACAAGCTGCAGCAGGCCAACATCAGGCTGCAGCAGGCCAACCACAAGCTGAAGCAGACCGCTACTGGCACCGAGTCCAAGAACCACGCGGAGCAAGCGGAGGCTTTACTTTGCTCTGCAAAGGCACAAGCCCACCAGGCCGAGACTGAGCTGGCAGCCACCGCAGAACGGGCTCGCGAGACTAGGGCCGCTCTGGAGACTGAGCAGGCGCGGGTGCGCGTTCTGACTGAGGACCTGGAAGCCTCCCGCGCAGCTTGCAGCTCGCTCCGCAATCGGCTTGAGCGCACAGAGGACGAACTCGAGGCTGCGATCAAAGCCCGAGAGGATGCAATAGCTCGATTCCACACCGGCATGGCCGACGCCCGCCGTGAGGCCGACCTTGCTCGGGCTGATGCTGACGCTGCAACCAGCAAGGCGGCCCACACCGTGCGCCAACTCGAGTCGGAAACAGACGCCCGCGTCTACGCGCTTGAACAAGAGCTACGCACTGCACGCGCGACGGCTGACCGCGAGGCTGCCGCCGCGCGTGAGGCTCGTGCTGACCTCCGCGCTGCCCAGTCGCGTCTCGACGCCAAGCTGGTCGAGGCCGAGCGCCACGTCGACGCTCGTATCACCGCAGCCGTGCACGCCGAGACGCTCCGCCTAGAGCGCGAACTTGGAACGCTTCAGAGCGAGCTGGAGCTTGCACGTCGTGCAGCCGCCGACGCCGTCGCCAGCCACGACGCCGAGCTCGCTAGTCTGCGCGACTCGGCCGCGCGTGAAGCTGCAGCCGCAAAGTCGGCCTCGGCTGCCGCCACCCAAGCAGCGCGCGAACGCGACGTCGCAAAGTCACGCGTCACTGGCCTTGTCCAAGCCACTGAGCAGCTGCAGTCAACCAATGCCGAGCTTCGGGCTTCGATGAAGCGGATCATTGAGTGGTGTCACTCGCGCATCTCGATGGCTCACTTTCCGTTCCCACCACACCTTGCGGTCTCCTCGACCTCGTCGTCGCTCTCGTTTTCCATGGCTCACGGGTCACCACCACCGCCAATGGTGATGACACCATCGACACCAGTCTCCTCGTCGGTGCACCGGTCGTCGCCTGCCATGACGCCAACAACTCCAACAGCCGCACCAGCGCGGCCTCCGCCGTCGACGCCGCCACGTGGCGACACCTCGCTGGAGCGATTGTTCAACTCGCTCTCGCCCATGCTCTCTCCTCCAACCACCCACCGCACCCAATCGCGGCCGCGGCCGCAGTCGCCGTTGTCATCGGCGTCTGCGTCTGCGTAGCGCTCACTCACCCTGCCACTCCGTTTTCCCACGCCTCTGCAACACCTCCACTCACCCCTTTTCCTTACTGTCCACTGAAAACAACAGAGCTCTGCCGCCGGTCTAGAGGCCGGCTGGTCCGATGTGCTTGCGGATGTCCTCTATCCACTGCACGCCGCTGTCGACGGCGCCGACTTTCTCATTGCTGAGCTCGAGCGCGCGTACTTGGAGCGGATGCGGGTCTCGGCCGCCTTCGTTCGTTCTCAGGAGCGGGTTCGGCTGCTTTCAGAGCAGCTAATCCAAGTCCTGGATGCGCTCGAAGTCGAGCGCACGCGTGCTGCCGCTGCTGCCCACTCGCGCTCAGAGCACACCGTTGCTCTGGTCAACAACGCGCTCGCCGCCACCGTCGAGTACGGCGGCCTGTCCGGCGCCCTCCACGTTCTCGACGTTATCGAGGACCAGGCGCTCACCGCCGATGCACCCATCGACATTGACGACCTCGAGTCGTCGCTGGCGGTTCTCACTGCCGAGGTTGAGGAGCTGGCTCATCGTGTCGGCGACACCGCCGTCACACCCGAGCTTCCGGCGTTGCTCTCGGACTCGTACGCCCGGGTGCTCGAGCTGTTGGCGAGCGCTTCTCGAGCCGACGACGATGTCGCGTCCTCGACAGGCGACCCTTCGCCGCTCGAGCTCGCCATGGCTGCCATTTCCTCCTGGGTCCGTGCCGCTGCCCGCGGCGAGCCCGCACCATCGCCACTGGAAGACCCTGAGGTCCGTCTGGCCCTCCAAGTTGCTGTCTGTCGTGCCCAAGGCAACCATGCTGATGCCGAGCGTATGCTAGACGAGTATGCCGCTGCGCATGCTCCGGCACCACCGTCATCACCATCGCCCTCGCCACTACCGTCACCATCACTGTTGTTGTCGCAAGCTCCATTGCCATCGCCATCTCCGTCACCGCCACGGTCTCCGGCTGTCTCGTCGTCGCCTCCACCGCGACCAGTTCATGCGACCGAACCCAACCAAAGTCCCGCTCACGCCGGTCAACTATCCCCGGTCCCGGCACGCGTGGCCTCGCCAGGTCGACGCGCCTCGGTCGACATCCTCGTCGACACCGACGGCTTCGACTCGCTTCGGGTAGATGAACTGTAAAACCAAGCCCCCCCCCCCCCCCCCCCCCCTCCCCCCCCCTCCTCCTCCTCCTGCCTCCCCCCATCCCCACCGGCCCTCCCTTCTGTGGCCACGCCAAGCAGGGCGTACCCACGCGCGGACAGACTTTTTTTCGCCATTCACCCGCCAATCGCATCGAATTCGGCAACCGTTCACCGAGTTCCTCGGCAGAAAGGCTTCTCAGCCGCACCCGTGACCCCACCGCACCCATACCCACCGCACCGCCACGGACACACTTGTCACCGACACGTACTTGCGGAGAGGTCGAGCCATGCCCCCCAACCGTGTGCGCAACAAAGTTGTGCCGTCGGAGGAGCGAGACGAGGCGGCACCGACCATGACCGCCATGCCGTCCCACGTTGCGCCCAGCGACTGCCCGCCGCCACGCCAGCCCCCGTCCAACAAGAAGCAGCGACGGAAGATGCGCAACTCGTCAAACTCCAATGTCTCGCGCGACTTTGACTCATCCATGTCCGAGTTCTCTTCGGGCTTCCCGCTGACTGCTGCCGGCGATTCGGTCGGCTCCATAGCTGGCGGCAGCTCCATGCCGGCCGTCACTGGCGAGCCTGTGCAGGACAAGGTTCAGGAGACCGGGGGCGGAGCCTTCACCCGAGTGGCCATGTGCCACAGCTGCGGAGCCTCGCTCGCTGTCGCCATGTCCACTCCGCTTATTCAGTGCGCCTCGTGCTCTGCGCTGCTCGACGTCGGCCCACCGGCAACCATCGACGATCCGGACTGGGTTCCGTTGGCTCCTGAGGACATCGCCCACTTTGCCGCTCTCGCAGAGGACAATCCCGTTGCAAACACCGTGGACGAGACCATCAACACCTCACTGATGGACCTCTCTGGTGTCGTCGCCTTGTCCAAGGCGACGACACCGCCCGCTCGCGGCGGTCGTCGCGTCGGACGTCGCGGCGGACGTCGCGGGCTCAGGCTGACGGCGCATCGGTTGCTGGTGACGACTCGGTGGACGAGGCTCAGCGGAGAGTCCGCTTCGGCGACGTCACATCACACGACATTGGCGTCCATGTGGGCCTCTCCGAGTCACAAGCTCGCTCGGCCCTCCGCCGCTACATCAAAAGCACCAAGATGCGCCGCCGCAACTTTGCCGACTCGGTCTTTATCGAGTCGATTGAGCGCCTTGGTGCTTTTGCCGTCTTTCTCGAGTCGTTTCTCGAGTTCCGCAAGCTTGTTCCGACCGAGCGCCCCGCCGACGCCTCTGCACTCGCCGTCGAAGTCCCGGCCTCGGGCACGCCGTGGTCGCTCGACGTCATGCCGCCGCCATCGTTCCAGGCCTTCCACGAGCTGCGCGTCCCAGTTGACCTCGCCGGTGACCGCCCGGCCATGCGTTGCTCACGATGCGAAGGCAGCGGCTCGGTGCCATGCGGATGGTGCGATGGAGAGGGTATCGACTACGAGCACCACAACGCCTGCCAACAGTGCGGCCAGCACGGCGCCGTTGTCTGCACCCAGTGTGAGGGCACGGGGCGAACTAAGCAGGCCGCCGACTTGCTCGCTATGTGGCAGACACCGCGCTTTGAGCGTGCTTTTGTGCCAGGCACAGACTCCAATCTCGCTCGCAAGTTGCCCATCGACCAGCTGGTCGTTCTTTCCTCATTCTCGCCGGCGCTGTACGAACTGCGCCAGCCGCACAAGCTGACCATGGACGACGTCGCCACTTCGCTCCCCGAGGCCATGCGCAACGTCATAGAAGAGGTCCTTGGCGCCACTCCGCTCATTGTGCCGGACAACGCCCGGCTCGTGGCCCAGCGGATTACCGTCCGCTCCATGCCCATCTATCGTGTCCACTACCACCCCGACTCTGAGTTTTATGTCTTTGGCGGCGGTCGCGGCTCGTCGTCGCTCTCGGCGACCAAGGGCCAGACCGGCAGTGCCGTCTCGGCGCCGGGTGTCGCTGCTGACCCACGCCTCCGCCGCACCACTCGCGGCCGCGAGTGGTATGGTGTGGTGGCCACAGGTATTCCTATCGACAGCGCTCGCGCCATCATGTCGTTTATCTGTATCGGCCTCTTGTTGGCGCTCATCGCCTTCTCGTTCCTTCTCAGCTAGCTAGCTGGCTGGCTGCACCTGCGCCGACACCCAGTGGCTTCTCTCGTTGCAGCCGTACTGCTCTACGGCTTGGGGCGCAGGTTGGCGAGCCGCACACCGCGCCGAAACGGCGCTCCGCTCATCGGCTCAACCACGTGTGTTGACTCGACCGCTGGCGCTCGCGACGGCGCGATCGGCGCGCGAACCGGCTGGCTCGCCGCCTCGCGGAGTACCTGCTTGATTGGCGCGAGCTGTGCAGACATCATCGCCTCGATCTCTTCCTCGTCCGTTCGCGCCACCTCGGCTGCAGCCGTGCCGCTTGTGCCTCCGTTGCGCCGCGCCGCACGCTGCTGGCGCAGCAGCGCGAGCATGTCATCACCACGATCCATAAAGTCGTCCGTATCATCGTCGCCACCATCATCGGTGTCGTTGCCCTCGGCCTTACTCTCGCTGCGTCGAGCAGTTGACAGCTGCGCTGCCGGCATTACCGCCCGCCTTGGCGCAAAGAACATCTTAGCATCGACATCGTCATCGTCGTCGTCAGCAGACTCCCACCCGTGTCCGTCGTCGCCCGAGTGCGAGTCCGGCCGGTCAAAGCCTGCCCAGTCAAGGGAGCCGAGTCGAGACGGCTCGATGCCCGCAAGCGTTAGCGCCTCGGAAGCTGCATAGTCCCTGGACGCGTGCTTGAAGACCGGGGCCGTGGCCGCCACGGGCGCGGCTGCTGCGAGCTCCTTGGCAATGCCGAGAACACGCAACGAGAGAGCGTTCAGCTGCTGCTGCGCATCGGTTTGCTTGGCAAGCTCTGGCTTTGGCTCCGGCGCTTGCTTGGGCTTGGCGCCTGTGCCCTTCTTCTGCTGCTGTCCGCCCTTGGTCTTCTTGCGGCGCTTGCCCTTCTTGCCCTTCTTGCCCTTCTTTCCCCCTTGCCGCTCTTGCCACTCTTGCCACTCTTGCTACTCTTGCTACTTGTGGCCTTGCCCGGCACCTGCATCAGCGGTGGCGGCGGTGCAAGCGATAGGTCAGCCATGCACGCCTCGAGCTCGCGCGAGACCGCCGCCGAAGTAGTCGTCGTGAGCAGCGGCGAGTCGGCAGCAAAGAGGCCGCCGGCACCAAAGTAGTCCGGCAGGAGCGAGAGCTCCTCTCCAGGACCACTGCCGCGGTCGCTGGCATCGGCATCGGCGTCGGCATCCGCAGCTGGACAGTCGCCCGCTCTGTCGCCGGCCTCGAGCTCGAGCTCGGGGCTAGCTTCCCGCTCTGGCGCCAGGATCTTGGCCAAGATGTCTTCGATGAGAACAAGGCGCTCACTGGCGGTGTTGACACTGTGTGTGAGTGCGATCTGGTCGGCGAGGAGCCGCTTCTTGTCGCGCTCAAGCTCGGTGATCCTGACCATGTGGCCGTGCGCCAGCTCTTCCGACTCGTTGTGCGCCTTTTGCGCATTGACCGACGGTGCGGCTTCGGCAACTTGCCGTGCGAGCATCTCCTTGTTGAGGCTGGCCTCGAGGTCTGTGGCGCGGGCGGTGGCCGATGCAGCGGCGGCGCGAGCGGCAGCAGCCGAGGCCTCAGCGGCCTCGGCCCGTTCGCGCCAGCGCTCCAGCTCGGCCATCACGTCGGCCTCGGTGTTGGTCGCCTTGGTGTTGGCCTGTGCCGCGGCTAGCGCGCTAGCGCGGGCACCAAACTCGGAAAGGAGCGTTGCCTCCAGGACTTGCAAAACAGGCAGGCCATCCGATGGATCGACATGGCCGCAGCCGTTGCACGAGACAAAGCCATCAAGGCTTAGCGTGTGACACGGCGCAAGCGAGAGCTCAAGCCGGCCCAGCAGCGTGGCTGGCAGCTTGCGGATGAGATCGGCCGCAGCGTCGGCCCGGAACCAGGTGTTCGGCCCAAGGAAGAGTGTCAGCGGGCGCGAGGCAATTAGTCCCACCACAGCGGGAACGCCGCCAGGAAGAACCTTGCATGACTCGAGTGACAGAACAAGCCGCGGCAGCACAGAGGCGTCGGCGCCGGCTTGCGCTGGTGGCGACGACTGCAATGTCACTGTGCATTCGGAGAGTGCGATCGCAGTGAGGTGAGGCGAGCGACCAAAAGGGCCAGCAATGTCACCGGCGGAGACCACCACGCGCGCAAGATGAAGTGCACACAGCCGCGGTGCAGCCGCGGCAAGGCCTCTCACCAGCGGTACCCCGATCTCGGCCTCCCACGCACCAGCCGGCGGCGCTGCTGCTGCAAAGCGCACCAAAGCCGGGAGCGGCGGCAGGTTGTTGGCAACCGCAGCGGCTTTCGCTGGCGCCAGATTGAAGAGCTCGAGTGACGCGAGGCTCGCCAGCGGCGCAGCCGGCAGCAGCTGCCGCAGTGGCAGCGAGCCGACAGCCCGCAGATGCGCGATGGCCGACGACAGCACGAGCTCACCCGAGCACTCGACAAGTGCCAGCGTGAGCGGAACCGATCGCGGCACAAGCTCGCTCACAGAGTCTGGCGGTGTAGCGCTATTGTTGGGTGCCGCAAAGCCGCAGCGGACAAGCTCGAGATGTCCAACATTGGGCGCGGTGAGCAGCGCGTTCACAAGCCCGTGCTCCAAATCACTCCATCCACAGAGTGTGATGGAGACGAGCGACAGCGGGAGCACAAGGCTCGCCAGGTCGGCATGTGGCGGGAGCGGTGTGGATGTTGTGGGTGAGCCGAGCACTAGCCGAGTGAGTCGAGTACACGCGCCGAGCGACTTGAGAATGTCAGGCGCAAGGCCAGCACACGGTGCAGAGAAGACCACAAGCGACGGAGCAAGGGCGTCAAGCAGGCCAAAACCATTGGCACCTGTACCATCGGAGCCAAGCACCAGGGGCGGGAGATACAGCTCGCGCAGGCCCACACTCGCCGAGAGCAGGGCGAGGGCATCGGGAGAGAAGGCCGATCCGGTAGCAGAGAGATCCAACAAGCGCAACGATGATGAGAGCCGACCAACCAACAGCGCAAGACCAAGCTCCGTCAGCTGCGCCTCTGGAGCGAGGCGCAGTCGTGCCAGACCGAGCGGAAGTCGCGGGATGTGGGCGTTGGTGAACGACTGCAAGGACGGGGAGGACGGGGAGGGGGGGTGGGGGAGGGGGGTGAGTGAGAAGGAGACGGGGTATGGGGGTGTAGGGAGGGAGTGTTGGTGGCGTGGCGTACGGCAGAGAGGGTGACCAGGGGATGAGCCCATGCCTGGGGGGAGGATGCGGCCGTGCGCCATGCCCGGGAGACGGAAGCAGCAGCCACCAAGGACGGCGCATCCAGGAAGGAGACCAGGTGGAGAAGGAGGGACGGCTGGCTTCCACCCACCACAGCCTGCACAGGGTCACGGCTCGGACTTGGTCTTGTAGCAACCACTGGCTTGGCTTGTGCCGCTGCCTTCTTCCGCCCGCCTTGGCTGGGCCGCTTCCGGCGTCGTCCCATGCCCTTTGGGGAGGGGAAGGGGGAGAGTGAGGAGTGATGGCAGCCGGCGACGAGGGAAGGATTTGTGGCCCGGTCGGGCTCAACTCAGCTGGGCACCCATCTGCGGGACACGTTGGGGAGGCATCGAATGACGGATGTTGCTCTTACTTATGCCATGCCAAGGGCGGTATACAGGTGATCGACGGAGACCGACGTCGTGTTGAGGTCCTCGCGCAGCGCTGTCATTGCTGCGGTTCGGACGGCGTCGAGGACCGAGGCTGGCGTGCCGAGGTTGGCGATGGCGGCAAAGACGGCTGTGTTGTCATCGAGGATCGATGGATCAAAGTCGACCACAATGCGTGAGAGCGCGAGGCAGAAGACGGCCCAGAGTTGCGCCGGTGTTCGCGGGCCGACCGGGATGTGGACGTCAAGCCTGCCTGGTCGGAGAACAGCGGTGTCGAGGGCGTCGGTCGAGTGCGCGGTTGCCACAACGACGACCCGCTCGCCGGATGATCGGCGCGCCACGGCGCCATCCATCTCGATGAGGAGCGCTGCAAGCATGCGGTCGATATGAACCGGGGTGTCGCCTGGTGCACCGCCGTGGAGCGCGGCGCGGCGTGGTGCCACATTCTCCAGATTGTCAAAGAAGAGCACGCACGGCGCAGCAGCGGCGGCGGTCTCAAACACGGCCGCAATGCGCGCCACTGTCTCGCCCACAACCTTGGACACCACGTCTGACGCGGTGACCACCACCAGGTTGACGCGCGCGGCAGCGGCAGCAGCGCGGACAAGCGCCGACTTGCCGCCGCCGGACGGGCCCACGAGCAGAATGCCCGACGGCGGCTTGATGCCGGCGGCTGCAAAAGCATCTGGCTGAGCAAACGGGAGCACAAGTGAGGCCCGCAGCTGTGCCTCCTCCTCGTCGACTCCTGCAAGCGAGTCAAAGCCTGGCAGCGCCGAGGCCTCGACCAGCTGGCCCACTCCCGAGACCAGAAGCGATGGCCGGACGTTGGCAGCCGCCAGCGCAAGTGCGACGGCACTTGCTGCATCAGCAGCCTCGCCGGCGGCATCAGCGGCTGCCAGAGCCCGGACCGCTGCTGCGAGATCGGCCGGAACGTAGCCGTGTGATGCGCTGAGAAGTGCGGCACTGACGTGCTCCAGGCCGTGGGCGACGACCAGCTGCGGCAGCGGCTCGAGCTCGCCAAGGAGTGTGTCGATGATGGCACCACGCTCGGCGCGGGTCGGCGGCGCTACGTGAATGACGGTGTCAAGGCGACCAAGCGTCCGCAGCCGTGGCTCAAGGGCGGTCAGTGGCGCCGAGGTGATGCCCACCACCAGTACCATGCGGCCGGCTGGGCTAGCGGTGAGACGGTCGAGCTCGAGCAGGAGCTGAGCTAGGACCCTGGCCTCAATGGTGTCTGCTCCGCTGGAAAGCGGTGCGCCTAGCTCCTGCAGCTCGTCGATGATGAGAAGCGAGGGCGCGGTAGCGACGGCGGTGGCAAAGAGCGATGAGACCAAGCGCTCGGTCGCGCCTTGCATCGTCTGAAAGAGTGCCGGAGCAGAGACCTTGAACCACGGTCGGCTCTGGCCCCACACCCGCCGCGCAAACGACTCGAGGAGGAACGACTTGCCGACACCGGGCAGGCCGTGGACGAGCGCCCCGAGCGGCGCAGGCAAGCCGGACGAGGCGAGCGCGTCAGGCGCAGCCATGGCCCGCGCCACAAAGGCCATGAGCTCGCGGCGTGGGCGATCGAGGGCAGAGACTGCGACAGCAAGCTCGTCAGCAAGCACAGCCGAGGGGCGCAGGCCCAATAGCTGTGGATCGGGCCAGGCCGACGTGTGCGCCGTAGCCACATTGAGCGACCGGAGCCGGGCAATCGGCGCCGAAATCCCATCGCCAGTCTCAATAGCAGCTACAACGACAAACCAGCCACGGAACCTGCCTGATGGGAGCGGGAGGAGCGAGCCCGGGGCGAGAGCGGCCGACATGGCCGACGCCGCCAGAACTATGCGGAGCGGCGGCGGCGGCGGGCTGACATTGGCCCACGCTACGAGCGGCTTGCTGTTTGGGCGGACAAGGAGCGGATGAAAGATGATCCGCGTGGCCGACGGCAAACTCTCCAGCGTATGGCCTGTATCATCAAGCTGTGGCAACGGGCTTGGCAGCGGAACCGGTAGCGGGCAGCGACGGGCGGCGGCGGACGCGGCCGGCTCGGCGACGACGAGCTCGGTGAGAGCGAGTTGCGGTGCGTGTGAGAGGGCAAGGGGGAGAGTGTAGACATGGTGGTCGGTTAGGGATGAAGAGGACGGGAGTACCGTGCATGGCAGCATTGCTGGTGTGCGTGTGTGTATGTGGAGGGGGGGGGGGGGGGGGGGGGCGTGAGGTGGTGGGCTCTCGATGTTCGACTCGGCTTGGGCTGGCTCAGCCGGATGGGAACCCCTGTGGTTGCGGCATCTGGCTCATCGTCTTCATTGCGGGAGCCAGCGGTGTGCGGCGTGGGACATAAGGAGGGTGCATGCGAGTCACAGATCCGAGTGAACGGCGCCGGTCGAGGAGGTGCCTGAATGAGAGGCGGCGGCGGCGGCGCGGACGGCGGTTCCAAGTGCGGTCAGTGTTGTGAGGCCGGCGTGCTCGAGTGCGATGACGGCAACAAGCGCCAGAAGGAGGGCGAGGAGGAGGAGGGTGAGGCCGGAGAAAGAAGATGGCGCAGTTGGGAGATCGAGGGTCGATGGGCCGCCTGCCATGTACTCGGGCGCAGTGGGTGAGGAGGCAGGGTCGGGCCCTGGCGAGGACGACGGCAACGTCGGCCGGGTGGCGTGTCCGTTCGTGGCCGGGCTCTGGGCAACAGCGCCGAGAAGCTCCGGATGAAGGACTTGGGTAAACTGCGAGTCAAAGCCGTAAGCCCGCAGAGTGGTCCACAGTGACGATGGCTGGCGAGCCATCATCTTGGACTGGAGGAGGATAAAGCCAGTGAGGTCAAAGCCGATGTCTGACGACTCAACGATGGTCTCGTCGGGAATGGCGGCAAGGTCGTCTTCGACCGAGGTCTCTCCGTGAGCCTCGGCAGAGAGGTCAGTCGACGAATTGGACAGCGAAGCAACAACCATGGGCGATGCGGCTCCGACCGAGCCGTCGGACGTGGCCATGAGCATGAGCTCGCGGAAGACGTCGACCTCGAGCGGCTGGGCAAAGACGGCGCGCGAAAAGGCATCGAGCTCGCGGAAGCAGAGCGTCTCGTTCTCGTCTTCGTCGAGGAGGACAAAGATTTGTGTGAGCGCCGCCATGACCTTTGGCCGAAATCCGGTCCGCGAGTTGTCACGCCAGAGCGGGAAGACCGGATAGTGGAGGGCGAGATGGATGCATGTGGCAACACGTGTGACGGCTTCGTCGACAGCCTCTGCAGTGAGGTCCGACGGGTCTGGCAGGAACTCGACAAATGCTGCTTCCTCCACCCACGGCGAGAGCATGTCGGTTGTGTTGCGCAGGACTTCCAGGATGGCATCGTCGTCGAGCCGCGGCCGCATGCGGTGCGGCGAGTGCCCGAGGACCACACACGGCACAAACTGTCGTCCCATGCCTGCAAGCGTGGCGTGGACGAGCGGCCCATAGTGCTCCAGCAGCGCTGTCGTCGACGCCACCGAGCCGACGCGAAAGACAAAAACGACACAATGTGCCCGGGCCAGAATCGACTTGAGCGCCTTGGCCCGAGCCGATGACAGGACATGCGGGTCGGCAAAGTTGAGCGCAGCCGTGTCGACCAACCGGACTCGAGCCGTCTCGTCCACCGTGTCTCCCGGCAGATCGATCTTGACCGGCGCCACTACCGCCGAGGAGCCAAAGGTGCCAACACGCGGCGCGTGCTTGTCAGCAAATGCATTGTACAGTAGACGGACGAGGGTGGACTTGCCCACTCCAACTGCACGCCATCATGTACAGTACAGTGTGTGTGTATGCGTGTGCGTGTGTGTGGCGGGGCGTGTGTGGGGTGGGGGGTGGGAGGTGTCCCATCAGTGCGGTGCATGAGGCAAGCGAACAACACGAGTGACCAGTGACCAGCGCGCGGGACGGGAGGGGGGGGGAGGAGGGGGGGACAGCGATGACGGAGAGGGTAGTGGATCCATACCACAGGGAATATGTGATGTAGTGCATGGTACACATAGCGTGTGTGTTTGGGGGTAGTGAGTGTAGGGACGGAGGACAGGAGGGGGGGTATAAGGGGAGGAGGGAGGGGGAGGGGGCGTCCATGGGGTGACAACCGCAAACGGCGGGACGAGGACAACAACAGAGGGGACGGGGGACGGAAAGGAGGGGGATGAGGGACGGGGGGAGGGGGGGAGGGAAGGGACAACGGAAGCGAGGTTCCACTGCACGCGTACCATCCCCTACAAACACCACGGAAGGTAGAGCCATTTCCTCCGTGAGTGGGTGAGGTGCAGCTCAGTCCGTCACCTTCTGCGTACCCCTTGACCGTCCCGCCTCTCCGCCTCCCTCCCTCCCTCCCGCCAAAGGGGAGGATGGCGGCTGGCTCGCCACCGGCCACCCGCCCGCCACACGTTGGCTCACTCCGCAATTTTGTTGCCTGCCAATGGAGACAGACGCCCATAGCCACAGCAGCCATTAGATGGCCATCATGGTTAGTTGTAGCCCGTAGTGCGCACCGACATCGTGGATGACTTCGATCGATGACAGTGCCAGTGGAGGTGGGCCACATGAGGATAGAGTTGGGGCTTCAGAGCCCGTTTTGGTGTGGTGGGGTTGGGCAATGGATCTGGCGAGCGCGATGGTGGCGATGGCTGATGACAGCTTCATACGGTACTGGCTATAGCAAAGGCACGTGGCTGTAGGTGATGTTGGTGATGTAGTCTCTCAGCTCTCGGCCTGTGTACCGTAGGGGGTTGGAGTGAGCCCGGCAGATGGTGGTCCAGCCAATCGGCGCCAATCGGTTCGCTGTCTGGTTGGCGCCAATTGAGGCGGCGGGAGGAGGGAGAGCGAGACTACTGACAACTGCTGCTCGGCCTGGTCTGCTTGGCGGGCAGACACACTTGGCGCGGCCATAGACCAGCGTCGGCTATGTCGCAGCAGCTTACACTTCCCCGACGGCGGCTGTCGCAGTCGGCGGCAGGCAAGGTGGCCCAGGCGCGGGCAGCGGCGGCGCGCGGCGAGCGGTTCACAGGGCGGGTTGCTGCGTGGCGGGAGCGCGGGGCCGAGAGGCGTCCGAGACGAGCGGCGCAAGCGCGGGTGGCGCGGGATGGGGGCGGACTGGAAGGCATGCGGTCGACTAGGCGCGGGTTTGAGCCTATGCGCGAGTCGTCGACCGCCCTGGATGCCGAGGACGGCCTGCGTCGACTCAACGCCGCCACCGTCATCCGCCACATGCCCTCGCCGCTGCCGGCCCGTGTCGTTGCCCCAGACTCGGCCAATCAAGCCATCGTGTCCGCCCCGACGAGCAGGCTCCGCCCGCATCACGCGACTGCCCCTCGCCGCGGTCCGCTGCGACCACATCCTCCGAATCTTGTCCATCCCAAGCGCGAGTATCCCAAGCCGTGGCTGACCGCGGCGCCGCAGACGAGCGAGCTCACGCCTGCAGTCGTCGACGACGGCGTTTATGTTCCTGCTGATGCCGGCAATTCTCCACCGCCGACAACACCTACGCGCGAAGCGCCTGTCAGGCCCACACCACGATCGGCCCGCCGGCGAGTCGAGTTCATCCCGCCGTCTGAGATGGACGGCGGGGGTGGCGCTGCTGCTGTCGCCCTCATCCCGCCGTCGCCAGTCCCAGCCCGCCAACCCGGACTCACCACTCGCGGCGCAGACTTGTTTGTGTATGATCCATGCGAGTATGCCGACGACACCGTCGAGGTTCCGCAGCGGGTTGTTGCGGTCGAGGTCGCCGACGATGACGGCGGTTGGCCTCGCTACAGCGACGAGGCTGATGACGTGGAGGAAGCGGTCAATGGCGATGAGGCCACGGAAGAGGTGACAGACGAAGCGGAGGAAAGCCGAGCACCGACCGAGCCGACGCTCAAGATGCTCATTCGGCGGTTCCGCAACGACTCGCCCAAGACGCCGGGAGCCCGGCGCGCTGCGCCACCGCTGTGGTGGCGCGACGACGATGCCGCCGCCCAGCGCGAGCGCGACGACACGGGTTCTGACGGGTGTGTCGCCAGAGATGACCATGATGGCGGGAATGAGCTAGATTTGAGCTGGGTGTCTGAGGATCCAGTGCCGTCACCGGCTAGGTTGTCGGCACGGGAGTGGGACGCATCGCTTGAGGCTTTGCTCCGCAACGAGGACGACGAGGAGGTCATCCTTCAGTCGCTGCGGGAGAGGCTGCTTGGCGCCAGCGATGAGCCCACCAGCATCGGTGGAGCTGGTGGCGATAGCAACGGCGGAGCTGGAGAGACCAGCGACGGCGACGACGAGGACTGCGGCGACGATGCCCAATTTCGGGCAAAGATTGCTGCGCTGATGGCCGAGGTCGATACAGCGGTACAGTCTGGACATGAAGCACTGATACCGGCGCCCGTACCGACGCTGGCAAGTCAGGGTATGCCAGAGGCACAGCCTGGGCATGCTCAGCGCTGGCCGTGGCCGTGCTACCCGCCAGTGCCTGTCCTGCCAGCGGCTTACGTGATGGACCCTCGGGTCGCGGGCGGCATGCAGGCGCCACCTGGTCTGTATGCACCGCCGTATGCAGCTTCGTTTGCGGCTCCGTATCCAGGCCGCCACCACAAGCGCAGGCGCAAGCGCAAGCGCAGGCAAAAAAGCGCCCGACGATCGCAATCGTCGAGTTGCTCGTCGAGCCGGTCCAGCTCGGGTGGCGATCCTGTGGCGCCGTGGATTCCTCCCTCGCCGTCGCAGCTGCCACTACCGCCGCCGTGTCTGCGACCGACACGGCGCAGCCGGGATAGCAGCGGTGACGCCGGTGACGCCGAAAGCAGTGCAGAAAGCAGTAACGGTGGCGACGATGACGACGACGATGACGACATGATCCGGCTTCTGGAGGCCAAGGTCGCAGCGTACGAGGCCCAGATTTCTCAGCTGTTGCGTGGCAAACAGAGCGCAGGCGCTTCTCCTCCGACTGGTACCACAACAAGTACCCCCTGGGCCAGTAAACGGACGTTAGAGCCCCTCTTCTCGCTGCACTCAGTACCAGGTGCATGCGCCGAAAAGGGAGATTCGGGAGCCATTGGGCAATTGGCCAAGACCAGCACGGCGCCACAGCAGCCGATTCTTGCTGGCGGTCCCGGACGGCACCGCCGACGCCCACGTCCACGCCCACGCCAACACTTCTCCCCTCACCACCAGATTGTGTCAGTCATGGGTGCAGGAAGGCTGCAAACGGCGGGCGTGAGTATGGTGGGGCTGGTGGTGGTCCTGGCGGCGGTGGCGGTGGGTGCGGCCGGTGGCGAGTGGGTGGCCACTGTGCGACATCGCGGCTCTGCCCGATGTGTGGCCGGCGATACCAAGACAGCCGCGGTCGATGGGCTAGACGAGTGGCATGTCACGGGCACATGCTGGCTTCATGAGGGTACTCGGCGGTACTGGCGGTACGAGTGCATGGCGGGTCCCCCGCTGGATGAATCCAGATCCGACAGCGTCACCATCGGGTACGGCGTCCGCATCTACCGCGGCTGCCCCGAGCGGACTTGCAGGACCCTGTGCTCGACGTTTGAGTGGTGGGATGCCGATGCTGCTGGGCGAGTGCTTGATGAAGCACACTTGCGCGCGACTGGTGCGCGTCGTGCGCTGCAGGTCCCGCCGCGTGGCGCCGACGTCGGCCGCGTTGGCGACTGCGTCTCGGATCGCGAGCTCTTTGGCCTCGAGGGCGATCGGTACGAGTCGTGGCGAGTCGGCGGATGCGTCAACAGCATGGGCAGTCTCCTCGCCAACTCGCCTGTCCCGCTACAGGTCACTTACCCGTCGGCTGACTGCGGCGGCGCGCCGATCGCCCTGCGCAACATCTCGTGCTTTGCAGCCGGCTCGGACATGGTTCGGGCTAGCTGCTCGGCGCAGGCATCCGGCGAGCTTGGTCTCGACTTCCTTGCCCCATGCGATGCTCGCTGTGGGAGCTGCGGCACGCAATGGATCCAGCACCCACAGCGATCGACGCCATTGTGCAAAGACACCACGCCAGCGGTGACCGGCATCGACGACCGCACATTCCTGCGCTCCAGCATCAACCAGTGTGATGTCCGGCTGCTCTCCGGCGCACTCACTCTTCGCCACCCGTCGATCACGGCCTTCGCCGCCCTTATCGTTATCAGCTGCGTTGCCGCGCTCTTCATGTAGCCCTCGTCACGCCGTTGTGCCAAAAATGAAGGGGGAAAAAACGGTCACGACGAGAGTACGACTCGTCGCGGCTCGTGACACGCGTGTCACCACCCCGCACACGGCCTGGTACACGCACGCTTCCCGCTGCCCCTCGTCTCCAGTCGATGCGTACGACGACCTTACTTACTCTGCACTCCGCAAGGACAACATGCTCGGCGAGGCTGGGGCATGGCTGGCGGGTGCTGGAGCGGCGCAATGGGGCGGGGTGTGCGCGGCGACGGACAGGCTCGGCCTCTATGTCGGAGTGACACAGGCGGTGATCTGTGGGATCTACTATGGGCTCGGGGCCATGTTTCTGGTGCTGGACCTGTGGCAGCGTCCTCAAGTGCTGTACGCCTGCAAGCTGCAGGGCGAGCGGCCGTTTGTGGCTGGCGGAAGCAAGTGGAACCCGGCGCTGGCCAAGTTGGCGAAGAGCCTGATCATCGGCTATCTGACCGTCATCCTTCCTGCCAATATGGTGCTGTACGCACTTGCCGAGTACCGCAAGTGGGGCGTTGTTGCGCCTTGTGGCCGGCTACCAACCCTTGGCGAATTTGTGGGCCACCTGGCGTTCTGTGTGGCTCTCGAGGAGATCTTGTTCTACTACGGCCATCGGGCGCTGCACAAGCCTGGCTTGTACAAAGCCATCCACAAGCAGCACCACGAGTTTATTGCGCCGATTGCACTTGCGGCCAACTACGCCCACCCGATCGAGGTCCTCCTGTCTAACGTTCTCCCGCTCATGGCCGGGCCGGTCCTCATCGGCGCGCACATCGTCACCATGTGGACCTGGTTTGCCATCGCCATCGTCGGCACCCTCACCCATCACTGTGGCTATCGCTTCCCGTGGCATCCGCTCTTTGACCATCAGCCCAACTTCCACGATACTCACCACGAGCGATTCCTCTGCAACTACGGCCTACTCGGCATCCTCGACTGGCTCCACGGCACCTACCGCGAGTCGCGCGGTTCGTCGGCCCAAGTCAAGGCCGCGTAGGCTACATAGGCACGGGCGAACACCTGCATAAACCATTTGATCCTCGACGGATGAGCCCCGTCCCGAACTGATGGCCCGGGCTGCCGTATGTCGCCACCACCATTGCCGGCCACTTGACTTCCGCCCGACCATGTCCAGGGACCCCAACTCGGGCTCGGCGGAGATCACGTTCTCAGTCGAGTATGCCGCAACGTCTCGGTCCGGGGTACGTACAGCGAGAGTCATGTGTGTAGCAGTACAGTGGTGGTCGTGTGTGTGTGGGTGGGGGGGGGGGGGGAGGGGGGGGGATGGGGGGGGGGGGGGGGGGGAGGCCTTCCATTGGTGGGCGACATGACCGGTCGAAGAGAAACACGACCTTTTCGGCAACCACACACCCTTCCGAGTCCACTAACGCCACCACTCGCGGCGCCGCTTGCGCCTGCTCACTCGCCGGGTCGTGTATGAACTGAATGTAGTGCAAAGGATGTAAGGCCAAGATCGAGGAGGAGACGCTGCGGTTTGGGATCTGGCGGCCGTCGCGGCAGTTTGATGGCAAGGAGGTGGCATGGTACCACCAGGAGTGCTTCCGTAAGGTGACGGCGCCCGGCTCTAAGAGTCCTTGCTATGGAACAGCTGACCTGGCGGGCGTCGCCACGCTGCGATGGGACGACACAGTGGCTTTGTATGTGGCGTACAACGAGATCGTGCCGCCAGGGGCAAGCGCCGACTCGCCGCTGCCCACTCGCGAGCGGTTCGACATCCATCACTTTAAGCTCCACGAGCAGAGCCGCATGTACTGGGCTCTGGCAGACACCATGGACGAGGCATGCACCAAGGCCGAGCTCAAGGCACTTGCCCGCGCCAACGACATCGACGAGAGCCGCAGCCACGCACTCGCCAAGTGCGTGCTCTACGGTGTCCCGCCGCTCTGCCCCGACTGCGGCTCCAAGGCGCTGCGGTTCTCGCGGACGCGCCGTGTCTTTGTGTGCGGCGCGCCGACCCAGGGCGGCAAGTGCGGGTACACCGGGTTGCCCATCGGCGTTCGCGAGTGGCTCTGGCCTGACGACGCGCCCGCCGCCCTCCAGACTCGCAGGTTCCAGGCGAGCCTAGCTGACGGCACCATCGGAGCGCTGTTCAACGAGTTCGAGGCTGCGACGCGTGTCATTCGTGAGGAGCGGATCGCCACAAAGGCTGCTGCCGCTGCCGCTGCTGCTGCTGCCACCGCTGCTGCCAAGGCCGAGCGCGCCGCCTACTACGGTGGCATCCTCCCGCTCACCGGCCTCGCGTTTGTCATTGCTGGCAAGCCACCGTCCGGCATCAAGACACTCACCGATGTCATCGTCGACCACGGTGGGCGTGTGACCAAGAGCGTGTCGTCCAAGACTCAAGCGGTCATCGCTGGTCATGCCGAGCTGCTCAAGCCGTCCAAAGATCTAGCTCGGGCGTCTGAGCTGGGCACCCCGGTTGTCGACGAGTCGTACATTGACGCCTGCATCTTCGTAGAGGGTCCGATGGATCCAGAGCCGTACCTGCTCAAGCCCCCGTGCTCATCCGCCGCCGCCACTGCGCCCGCTGGAGATGCCACTCCCGCTGCCCGCGCCCGGGTCCACGCCAAGCTCAGCGCCCGCGAACGGGCCGGCCTCTATGTTGTCCGTGACGCTTCGCTGCCTGGCGCGCCGTGGTGCGATGTCGTCCTGCAGAAGACCGAGGTTGGGAGCGGAACGAACGCGTACTACCACCTGCAGCTCTTGTGTGGCGAGTCTGGCGTTCATGCCGGCGTCCACATGCTGTTCATGGCCTGGGGCCGAGTCGGGACCAACGTCGGCTCGCAGTCACTTCTCCCCTGTGACAGTGCGCGGCCCGAGGCCATTGCCACCTTTGCCGAGCGGTTCGAGGCCCGGACTGGCAACGTCTGGGCCGACGGCCTCGACTCGTTTGCGCTCCAGCCCGGCAAGTATGCGCTCGTCCGCATGGCCGGACCGTCGACTGATGGGCCGCCGGCGCAGGACGTCTCCGTTGCCAGCGCTCCAAGGAGCTCGCTCTCCTCAAGCGCCGTCCTCGACCCGCGGGTAGCCGCCGCCGTGGCTGAGATCTTTGCGCCCGAGGCCGTGGCCAAAACCCTCGCCGAACTGCACATCGACACTCGCAAGATGCCAATCAAGTCGATGTCGTCGGCACAGGTGCTCAAGGCGTACAAGGTGCTCGACGAGCTGGCCCAAGCGCTTGACGGTAGCGAGCCTCGCGGACGCTCCTCGCTCAACGCGTTCTCGCTTGCGCCGCGGAAGACTGCAGTGCCGACCGCCAAGCTCGAGCGGCTCTCGTCGCTCTTCTACACCATCGTACCGCACGACTTTGGCATGGACATGCCGCCGGTCATCTCTTCGACCGTAGCGCTCAAGGCCAAACTTGCCGAGCTGCAGGCGCTGCAGGCGATTGTGACTCGCGCCGAGCTCGACGCCGCCCGTGAGCGTGCGGCTCGCGCCAGCGCACTCCCGCGCGCCGTCGCCCAGTACCTCTCGCTGCCGACCCGTCTTGTGCCGGTGCCCGAGAATTCGGTCGAGGCGCGAGTTCTCTCCAAGGCCATGTTTCCAGGCGGCGCCGTTGTGCCCGGCTGCGGCACCATCCGGATGAAGGGCGCATTCAAGATCCAAGGCGTGACCGAGCCGGCGCGCCCGGTCCGCTCGCGGCGGATGTTGCTCTGGCATGGAAGCCGCACCTCGAACGTGGTCGGCATTCTTGCCGACGGTCGCCTCCGCATCGCCCCGCCGCAGGCGCCGCACGCCGGTTACAACTTTGGCAAGGGTGTGTACGCGTCCGACGTCGCCGCCTATGCCGCATCTTACGCCAAGCTCGGTGCTGGCGAGCTCGGATTTGTCTTTGGTGTTGAGCTCGAGCTCGGGGGCGCGCCGCTCGAAGCCCGGTCCTTTAGCGCTCACACAGTCGATTCGCTTGCTGCTTCACGCCATACCAGTGTCATCGGCCGTGGAGGCCACGAGCCGACCACACGAGGCGATGTCGCCACTGACTCGGGTGTGACAATCCGCCTGGGCCCGGTTCGCCGTGTGGATGCCTCGCGCGAGCTCGCCTGCAACGAGTACGTCGTCTACGCCGAGGCCGCCGCCGTTCTTCGATACGTCATCATGGTCCGTGCCGATTCGTGACGAGTCGTGCTGTTCGTATGAATCGTGAACGACACGTGTTGCAGTTGGCCAAAAAAATGACACTTCAAGACACATCTCCCACCTCCCCCCCCCCTCCCCTCCCCCCCCCCCCACACACACGTTGCCATAATCATCTCTCGACATGAAAGCAGCCCTACACTTTTTGCTTCTCTGCCTCTCTGCTGCCGTGCTGGTGACACAACCGCACCTGGCGGTAGCCGCGTCGGCGTGCGTTGCCGACTTGCCCGCTCGGATCAATTTCCCAGCCTTTCCCAACCTTGGCGCAGCGGCCCTCGCCGTGGGCGACCTCGACGGCGACTCGCACGACGACGTCGTGGTCGTTACTGGGACCAAGCTAGCCTGGTCCCGGTACAACGCTACTGCGGGCTGGTTTGATCGCCAGCATATTGTGTGGCTTCCCGGCGACGATGGTTTGGGAGCCATTCGGAACGTTGTCCCCACAGACGTCGACCTCGACGGCGATCTGGACCTGGTGGTCCACGCCGATGTGGATGCTGCGGCGTGGTTCGAGAACCTGGATGGCAGCGGTAGTTTTGGCAACTTTGTTCCGCTCTTTGGCACGCTGAGTACGACCTCGACTGCCGTCCGAGTCGTTGATCTAGACAGCGAGGACGGCCCGGACGTCATCACCGTCTACGGCGACTCGGTTGGTTGGTTTGCCAACCGCGGCAACGGCAGATTTGCAGATCAGGAGCAGTTGATCTCTTCCAGTGATCAGCTCGATCACGTGGCCGCTGGCAACCTCGACAGCGATGAATTCGTCGATCTTGTCATCGTTGCAGAGACCGCCAACTACGTTGAGCTGTACACCAACTTGGGCTATGAGGAGTTTACTCTTCGCCAGTCGGTGAGTCTGGTCCGGCCGTACTTTGTCGAAGTGACTGATGTCGATAACGATGGTGACAACGATGTGCTGGTCGCCTCTCGCGAGCTTCTCGACTACCGCATCGGGCTGTACATCAACGATGGCACGTCTGCCCCGTTCACGTGGACGAGCAACATCTACTTTTCCGAGCAAGTCATGAGCTCCTTTACTCTCGCGGACGTTGACAGCGACGGCTTCATAGACATCTTGCTCACCGCTGAAGAGCGTCCCTTTGGAGTCGGCCTTCTTCTCAACCAAGGCAGCCGTACGTTTGCCCCGGTCCGTGGCATCAGCCCAAGTGTGGAGAGCGCAGGGCCAATCGCCACGGGCGACTTTGACAACGATGGCGCGCTCGACTTTGTCGCTTCTCTGAGCGTGAAGCTGCGAAGTACTGACGTTGTCGCCTTTCGCAGCGCTGACGGCGGAGCAGGCTACCAGTACGACAACGCCACGGTGGCAGCCTCCCAGGACGGCGCCGATGACATGGCTGTTGCAGACATCGACAACGATGGCCAATTCGACGCTATTGTCGCCTCTTTCAAACTCGGAACCATCTCCTGGCTTCCGTTTGTGCCTGGCACAGGCGACTTTGGCCAGCTGCAGCTTGTCGGAAACCTGGCCGATGTGGTCTCTGTGCTTGCACTTGACTTTACCGGTGATGGCGCTCCCGACATCGCCGCCATCTCGCCTTCAACGCTTGTGGTCTTCCCCAACGCCGTCGGTCTCGAGGCCTTTGGTCCAGCTTTGGTTGTCACCGTCGACGGTGGCGCAAGCCAGGATACACTTGCTGGTGGTGACATTGACGGCGATGGCGACAACGATATCGTCTTTTCGAATGCTACCGGCGTTGTCATCGCTCCGTCCGACACGCCCACTCCCCTCGCCTTTGGCCCGCTTGTCCTCTTGCCCATGCCGCACTCTCCTGTGAGCCTCGTCGTTGCTGACATCAATAGCGACGGCCACCTCGACATTATCTCGAGTAATGGCTTCGAGCCGCCGAGCTGGCTGGAGAACAGTGGATCGAGTCCCGACCCGAGTTGGGTTGAGCACACGCTCCCGGGCGTGAACTGGGCTGTCTCTCTTGTTGTTGCCATGGATGTGGATGGCGATAGCACGCCCGACCTTGTCGTTGCACGCAAGTCCCCCCAGAGCTTTTGTGGAGCAAGCAGGTGGCAGCAGGCTCATTCGCAACGCTGCACTCTGTTGCCGCCCTGGAGCGCTCTGTCACTGACATTGCCGGCATCGACTATGACGGCGACGGCGACGTTGATCTGGCGGTGGCATCCATGGCCACCGCGGTTATGCTTGTCGAAAACATGGATGGTCTCGGGACGTTCGGAGCTGTGCACACGCTTACCAACGTCGGCATGGACAGCCGTCGCGTCCGAGTTGCAGTCAATGACTGGAACGGCGACGGGCGAGCTGACATTGCACTTGCCAGACAAGACTCCATCAGCCTCGCGTGGCTGGCAAACACTGGCGCGCCTGTGGTCTTTGGTGTGCCGACCAACCCCAACCTGAAGTTTCTCGATTCGCGAAACGTAGAGGTTGTCGTTGCCGACTTTGATGGTGACATGGACCTCGATATCGCGGTCGGGCTCGAGAGCACGGTCACGACGTCGACCGTGATTTGGTTCGAAAACAGCGATGGTGCTGCCAGCTACGGCAACCAGCGGCACGTCTCGGACCTGGACCGTTCCGGGGCGCTTGTTGCGGCTGATTGGGACGGCGACGGCGATGTCGATATGGCGTCGTGGTCGTCGTTTCCCAGCTTTTCCATCATTGTCCATGAAAACATCGACGGCTCCGGCAACTTTGTCGATGTGACCGTGGCGAGCGGAGTCGAGAACGCTGATGCGATTCTTGTCGCTGATGTCGATGGCGATGGCGATTCTGACATGCTCATTTGCATGGCCAAACCTGCTGCTGCTGACATGGCTTATTCGTTCTCAGCAAGTGGAAGCGGCAGCGGAAGCGGTTCGGGCTCGAGCTCGAGCTCGGGTGGAGGAACGGCCTCTAGCGGCACGGCCTCGAGCGGCACAAGCGGCTCCGGGGGATCGAGCACCTCCGGGGGATCGAGCACCTCCGGGGGATCGAGCACTGGCGGATCAGCCTCAACTACTGGATCAACAACCGGAACGACAACTGGCTCGACTACAGGCCCACCTCCACCGTCCCCGCCGCCGCTCGACCGGGTGTGGGCCTGGCTTGAGAACCGGGATGCGCTCGACGGGTGGGCGCAGCCGGTGACCGTCTCGGGCTTGATCTACGAGGCAGCAGACATCGATGCATTAGCCATTGACATGACCGGTGATGGTGCTGCAGATCTTGTTTGGAAGGGACCCGGAGCCGACGCTGACCTTGTGTTTATGGTGCCGCGCCTCGGCGGAATGATGCCGCTCTATGGCGCGCGCCAGGTCCTCATCGATCCGTTCGACTTGATAGGTGCGGTTGGCGGCGGCGACGTTGACGGCGACAGCAATGCCGACATTGTGCTCGCTACGAGGCAGGGTATGGAGCTGTACCTCAATACCGACGGCACAGGGGCGATGGGGCCGAAGATCATGCTTGCGGGCGGCGCAGCGGCCAGCACAACAGCTGTTTTGGTTGTGGACATCGATGGTGACGGCGATGTCGACATCATCGCCTCGCAGAAAACGTTTACCAGCATTACCCACGGCGCGGTGTTTTGGTACCGAAATGCTGGCGGTGGTGACCTTGGTACACGCCTTCGGGTTGCACTCAACGCCGATGCGGAAGCCCTTGCGGTCGGCGACCTGGACTCTGACGGCGACCTGGACGTCGTCTGGATCTCTGCAGCTGTGGAGTCGCCGTCGCCGCTACCGCGCTTGTTCTTCTCCAGGCAGCTGTCGCGGACCGGATGGTATGACTACCAGCCCCGTGAGTACGGGCTTGACATGTCCGCGTCTGAGTGTACGTCGCCGACCTCGCTTGCATGCGTCAGCCGATCGCTGGCCCGCATGCCGTCGTGCGTCCGGAACGTGCTAGTCCTCCCACAGGGCAGGTACGGCTGCCGGGTCTCGGACCACCTTGTGGCGCGCCGGTCGATGGTGGTGTCGGGCGCCTCTAGCGGTGGACAAGCGTTTTTGACTGCGAGTCGACCGGTGGCGGCGTCCTGTTCCGTGTCGAACCGCCTGCGCATGTTGAACTGGAAGGTGTCGAGATCCGACACACCACAGCTGGCGTCCACTCTCAGACCGGTGTTCCTGGCCTGAGGGTCGCCGGGGCCGGAGCACAGCTCTCGATCATCAACGCCACGGTGGTGGGCGGGCAATCGTTGATGACATCGACGTCAAGCGCATCTAACACCGGGTATGGCGGCGCCATTCTCGCCCTCGAAAGTGCCGATCTGGAGCTGAGAGATACAAGCTTGGAGGGGTGCAAAGCCAACTACGGTGGCGCCATCTGTGCCATCGGGGCAAACGTGAGTATGGCTCAGGTGTCCATCAGTGGAAGCTCGGCAACAGAGCTCGGTGGCGCCGTGGCAGTGCTTGACGGGGGCTCTCTGGCTGCAAGTGCAAGCTCCATCAGTGGGTGTCGCGCTGACAGCAGCGGCGGTGGAGGCGTGGCGTTGGTGTCGGGCGCAAGCATGGAGGCCGAGTCACTGCTGGTGACCGGCAACACGGCTGTGCTTGGAATCGGTGGCGGCATGCTTGTCCGCGCCGATGCCGGCGTCGCCTCATGCTCTGCCTGTGCGTTTTCGGGAAACCGCGCCGTCGTCGGTGGCGGCATCGCCGCAGCCAGCGCAGCGTTTGGCACAGGCGCCAGCGCAGCCGCGGCCGTGACTAACGTGCCAACCGCAAGCGTCGCCGTTGCAGCTGCCCCGCACGTCCTCGATCTGAATGAGTGCGTGGTGAGTGCCAACACCGCGACGTTGTATGGCGGTGGCGTAGCAGTATGTGATGCAACTGTTGCGCTTTCCGGAGCAGGGACTCGTTGGAGCGACAACAAGGCACAACTCGGGATCGAGGGCACCAGCGGCGATGGTTTTGTGTGCGCGATGGCAGGAAACGATGCGGCGCAATCGAGCCGGGCAACTGCGCTGCCGTGGATTTCGAGTTCGCCGGACAGCTCCGCGGCGCTTGAAGCAGCGGCCATTCATGGGCCTATTGCTACCATTGCCTGGGCTTCAGCGCCACAATCCACTACTTTGCAGTCTGGTGAGAGCCTTCTGGGCACCATCACAACACTCGATTCGCTGGCGCAATCTGCCGCATACTACCAGGCGCGGATGGTGTACGCGTTTGGTGGTGGAGCCAACGGGGTGCTCGCGGCGCCACTCTCGCGCGAAATTGCGCCGCTCTCGCGCAACATCGAGCTCCCGGACCTGGCTGCAGTTGTGAGCGCAACCGAGACTGCCCCTGCCAGCATCGACTTTTCAATCGCCATGAGCGGGTCGGGGCTGGCAGTCGCGCCACTACGCGGGCAGGTGACCGTGACGGCGTGCGGTCCCGGATTCGGGGGCGTGACCGATGGAAGTGGTACGCTGTGTGTGGCGTGCTCGACGGGAACCTCGTCGGATGAGACTTCGTTCGGCGAGTGCACCAGCCTTCCGCCATGTCCTGCCAACACCATCCGCACGGCAGGAGGCGCAGGGAGCAACACGACTGAAGGCGCGTGCGTGTGTAAGCCGTCGTTCTGGATCGCAAGCGGAGCGAGCAATGTGGCGTGCGAGGCATGTCCTGTCGGCGCCGTATGCGACGGCGGGGCGGCGCAGCCGCGCGCGGCGCCGGGCTTCTTCCCAGACACTGCTGATACCACAACCTTCCATCCCTGCCCGAACGCGAAAGCATGTAGCGGCGATGGGCGGTGCAAGCCGGGCTACGGCTCGCGGCTGTGTGCCGAGTGCACATCGGGATACTACAAGTTGCGCGGGATGTGCTACAAGTGTGCGGATGGGCAGAACGCCGCTGTGGTGACCGTTGTGGTTCTTGTGGTAGTGGGCGTCCTCGCTGCCCTGCTCTGGTTCAACCTCTCGGAGAGCGTGCGGTACAAGTTTGCGGCGGCAATGATCGGGCTCAACGCACTTCAGATCAGCGCGATGTATGGGAAGCTCGAGCTCGACTGGGGCCCGGTGGCAGCGATGTACTTTGATCTTGCGTCTTTCCTCAACCTCAACTTTGAGCTGACCTCTCCCGAGTGCTCACTTGCGGCAGGTGTCGATGCGTGGGTGCTCAAGTGGGCGCTGGCGCTTGTGCTCCCGCTGCTCCTTGGCGGTGTTCTGCTCGGAGTGGCACTGGTCTACGGCGTCCTGATCCAAGTGCGGGCCGGATGGTTTGCGAGCAAGACACATAATCAGCTTGTGGGCGCGTATGGGCGGACGATGTTCCAGTGCCTGGTGTTGATGTACCTGCCGCTGACCGACGCGGCGCTCGCACCGTTTGGCTGCCGGCGTGACAGCTCGGGACGTTGGGTGCTCGACGCCGATCCTGCACGGAGCTGCTACACGCGAGAGTGGTGGATGGGGCTGTTTGGTCCTGGCATGGCTGCGGTGATGGTGTATGCGGTGACAGTGCCTGTGGCGGTGGTGGGTGTGCTCAACCGGGCGGCGCGGCAGCTCGATGAGCTAACCTTTGTGGTCCGGTTCAACTTTCTTGTGGGACGATTCGCGCGGTCTGCGTGGTGGTTCGAGGCCGCGATCATGGTGCGCAAGCTCATGGTAGCCATCTGCATGACATTTTTCTTTTCTGAAGAGAACAAGGCCAACGCGGCGGTCTTTGCGCTGGTGGCTTCGCTGGGCCAGCTTCTTCTCGCCCAGCCGTATGCGTCGGTGACCAACAACGTGATGGCGGTGGTGGTGCTTGCGTCGACAGCCACCGTCTTGTACGCCGGCACCTTTGACGACTACTTGATGCGGCGACTGCTTGTGAATGTCGGCATTGTTGTCAACCTCTTGGCCATTGTGGTGGGCAATGCGATCGACGCGTGGCTGATGACCCGCACCGAGAAGCGCACCGAGGCCGAGGAGTACTACGTGCCGGGCGTAGTCCAGATGGATTGTCTCGACACAGACGTCGATGCGGCCGATACCCGCACCATGACCACCACTGAGCTCGGCATCAACGGTGTTGATGAAGACGGCGACCTCCCGCGCCTCCATGTCGCCGAGCTCGGATCGTCTCGGTGGTCGGCGGCTTCCGGCGAATTAGCGACCGAGACCATGCTTCCCGGCTCGGGCTCAACCGCGTGCTCGACCGGCTCGCTCCCTCCGCCCGCGCCGCCAGCACACCCAAGTCTCGATTCGGGTGCGATGGCAGAGAGTCGACCCGCTTAGCCGCTTGCCGCGCAACAGCCACCCCCAGGCAAGAGCAAGAGCAATCTAAATGAGACCATGCCCCACCCAGCCCCAAACCCAGCCTCATCCACCTCATTCTCATAAGGAACTACGCCAATTCATATCCCCGATCCTCCTCAGCGAGACCACATCCCCAGCTGACGGGGCCAACCATCCCCAGCCGCCAACTTGACCAAAGCCCAAGCATCGCCACCCAACTCACAGCGCCACCAACAGACCATGGGCCGCCGCAGTCGCCGACGCGGTGCCTCTGAGGATGAGGGCAGCCAATACGTGAAGGAGGAAGTGGACAAGTGTACGCCCACACTACATGCCTATACACACCCACACACCCACACATACTCCCTGTCCCTTATTCCCTACCCCCCCTCCCTCACCATGCCCCCCCTCCCCCCACACACCCACTGCGGATGGATGGGCCCAGGATGGGAGATGACCCACACGCCTTCCACCCCCCCCCCCCCGTCCCCTCACCCATACTCACCCTCCCTCCCTCCCATCCCTCACACAGTTATGGATGAGCGGCACAAAGTGGCACTCGAGTCGGAAGATTCGTCGTCTGGGTCTGTTCAGGAGGAGGTCATGGCGCTGTCGGAGGCCTCGTCGGCTTCCAGCTCGTCGGTGGTGGAAAGCAGCAGCAGCAGCGGTGGGGCGAGCAGGGCGCGCAGGGGCAAGGGAGGAGCATCGTCGGGCTCGAGCTCGGACGAAGAGTCGGCAGAGTATGTGACGGCAGTGGAGCTGGAGGAGCGGCGGCTGAAGGAGATGCTGGCCAAGCATCGCAGGCGGATGGGCAAGCTGGCGCAGCCGCTGGACGACGACTCGGAGGAGGGCTCGGGCGACGCGGCCGAGGCCGAGGCGCTGACCAAGGCATGGGGCACCTCGCGCGAGGCATACTACGGTGCCGATGAGGACGAGAACTCGTACTCGGATGAGGCCGGCGAGCATGTGTCGGTCAAGGCCGATGAGGAGCGGGCGGCGCTGGCACAGCAGCGGGCCATCGCGGCCGGCCTCTCGGCCCGTGACTATGGGCTCGACTCGTCCGACTCTGACTCTGACGCGGGGGCCGAGTCTGGGTCAGATGACGGCGGCAAGAAGGGAGGCAAGGCCGGTTCGCTGCTCGACGCCAAGGTCATGCCTGCACTGGAGAAGGACATCGACTCGCTGAGCCTGGAGCAGCAGATCCAGCTGCTTGAGCGCGACTCGCCCGAGCTGCTGCAGCTCCTTGTCGAGTTCCGCGACAAGATCAGCGTGCTGCAGGACCAGCTGCTGCCGCTGCTCGAGTCAGTGGCTGCCGCCAAGCTACTGACCAAGGACGGAGTCTCGTACTTGCAGGTCAAGTTCCACCTGCTCCTCTCGTACTGCACAGACATTGTGTTCTACCTCCTGCTGAAGGCGTCGGGCAAGTCGGTCAAAGACCATCCGGTCATCGACGAGCTGCTGCGGCTGCGTGTGACGCTTACCAAGCTCGGCCCGCTCGACAAGAAGCTCGGGTACCAACTGTCCAAACTGCTGCGGATGGCCAACGCAGAGGCGTCTGGCGAGGAGCTGCAGGCTGCCGCGAGTGCTGAGGGCGTGGCCGGCCGGATGGCGGCCGATCCGCTGGCGTTCCGCTCGACGCTTGCGGCGCGGGCGCGGCCGGCGCGGAGCGGCCGCAAGCGCAAGTCGCGGCGCAAGGCTGAGGCGATGGACTCGTCGGACGACGATATTGTCCGGTCGGGCTCGGATGACGAGTCGGACGAGTCGGGCGTGGCGTCGCCGCCGACGGCGGCGGCCCCGTACCGGGCGCCGCGGGTCACCGCCGTCTCGCTCGACACCGGGTCCGAGGAGGCGCGGCTGGCCAAGAAGGAGCGGCGGGTCAAGGCCAAGCTTCGCAAGTCGTCGATGCTCCGTGCGCTCAAGGACGAGTTCTCGGAGAAGCCGCGCGAGATGCGGAACCCAGGCGTGACGGACCTCGAGTTCTTTGACGAGGAGGCAGCCGAGCGGACCAAGTATGAGGAGGAGAACTTTACGCGGCTCATTCTGAGCAAGAAGCAGCGGAGGGCCATGGAGCGCAAGCAGAAGCTCGCGTCGCTCAACCGGCTCGAGGACTTTGACGACTACCGCGACCTTGAGGCCATCACTTCGATCGCCAACGAGCGGTCGGACATGGTGGCGACCAAGGCAGCCAAGGCCCGGTCGCTCGAGCAGTACGTCCGCGACATGGAGGGTGGCTCCAAGGCCAAGCGCAAGTCCAAGGGCTCGGTCGACGTCGACCTGCCCATCCGCAAGTCGCACTCGCAGCGCGCGTCAGAGCTCGAGGCTGCACGCGCGCGGCGCAAGGCCAAGCGCGAGCGCAAGGCCAGTGGCGGCGAGTCGGACGATGACACCATCGCGCGCCCGACCAAGAAGCGCAAGGCGCTCGACCCCGAAGCCGCTGCTCTCTACGAACAGGCGCTCGAGGCGTCCAAGACCTCGTCGCGCTCCAAGCGCAAGAGCTCGCGCGGCATCCATGCCCGCAAGGCGCCCGAGGGCTACATGGACGACCGCGAGGCTGCCATGGACGGCGGCAAGCGCGCCGCCGGCTACCAGATCATGAACAACAGAGGTCTCCGCCCGCACCGCAACAAGGAGGTCTCCAACCCGCGCAAGAAGGGTCGCATCCGCTACGAGAAGGCCGTCAAGAAGCGCCGCAGCCAGGTTGCCGACCTCCGCGAGCGCGGCTTCTACGGCGGCGAGGAGCGCGGTATCAAGGACGACATCTCCAAGTCCATCAAGCTGTAGTCCTCCCCCCCCATCCCCCCGAGACTATCTGGCCACAGAGCTCAATGAAGATGACTCTTGCCACCCGTACCCATGTTCAGCCCTTGCCGAGACTGAGCCGATGGTCTGGTCGAAGCCCGTCGCCTCTCCGCCTCTCGCCTCACGGTCTCGCCTGCCATCACACTCGACGCCACCCGCCCCCCACCCCCACACACCCCCACACACCCCACACACGCCCCACACACCCCACACACACACCATGTCTGCCCAAGGTGCCATTCCCACTGCTCCGTACCGACAGGGCCGCACGCCGGGGCCTATCTTCCCGCCACTTGGCTCACGGGTGCCTCGGATGATGGCCCGGGCGGCCCAGTCGCCGTGGTACCCTCCGCTCGGCCACACCCTCCCGCCGTACACCATGGGCATGGGCAAGCTTGCTCTTCACCGCCCGTTCCGGAACAATGTTCTTCCGCCTCTTCTTCATCCGGATGCTCCGCATAATGCAGCTGCGGCTCAGAGCGGCCGCCAGGGTCTGCCCGGTGCCTGGCGGACGCCGCTGTCGGCCGCCATGGCTCTAGGCGACGACAACGAGACCAACGATGGCGCCACCGCAGCCGATGTGGTGGTCGACAACGAAGACGAGGACGGCAACGATGGCGGTGAGGCCGGGTCGTCCAAGAAGCTGTCTGGCGACGGTGCTGGTGACGATGACAACCAGCAGGGTGATGACGATGTGCTCGACGACGAGGACGACGACGATGCTGGTGGCGACGACTACATCACAAACTATGTCGACGACGACGAGGACAACCTCGAGCATGCGTTTGATGATGAAGGCGACGATGATGGTGATGACAACTATCTGTGAGCCGCACATGGCTCGCGACGCAAGGCTGCTGAAGCCCTGCCGCGCATGATAAATTGCAGTACCATTGCGTCGCCATCAGGACGCCGCGCTGCCGCGGTCGCGAAAGCTGCGCCAAAGCTGAAGCTCTTGTGCCGAGCCGGGTGCTGGCGGTGAAGATGGCGACGGTGCAGCCTGGTGCGATGGCGGCGATGCCGGGAGTGCCGCCAGCCGCGGCTGCTGCGCAAAGAACGACGCCTGCTGCGCCGACGCCCTCACCGATGCTGCAAGCTCTGGTGGCGCCACCGTCGGCGCAAACGTCGGCGTGTAGCCCGAGGTCGGCTGAGGGGTTGGCGGAGGCTGGCGGCGAGTGTGCGGGCCAGTCGATGCCGCCCGGCGAGCCGATGCCCGGTGATCAGCCGCGGGGCGTCGGGTCGAGGCAGACGGGCGGGCCGAGCCAGAGCGGGCGCGAGGGCGGGCCGAGCGGGAGCGAGATCGTGGACGGGCCAAGCCCGATCGCCCCCGCGAGCTTGGGCTCGGCCGTCGCCGCTGCCTCTGCTGCCGGACAGAGTTCGGCCCGTGGACCGCCAGCAGCTTGTCCAGCGACGCCCGGGCCTCGTCCTCATACATCTCCTGCGCATACGACAGCACCGGATGTCCGCGAGCTAGTGGCGAGTTGGGCCCGGGTAGATCAGGGCGACAGACGTCGGCCCGCGGCGGGCGGTATCGGCCGCGGAGCGGGCCGGCAGCTTTGGCCGCCTTGGCCGCCAGCTCTGCAGCGTCCGGCGAGTGTGATGCAGCGATCCACGGCTTGGGCGAAACAACCTTGGCCAACGCCGCCCGGGCCTCATCCTCGTACATGGCCTGCGCATACGACAGCACCGGATGCCCACGTGCCAGCGGCGAGTTGGGCCCCGGAAGCTCCGGCCGGCACACGTCGGCCCGCGGCGGCCGGTAGCGGCCGGTGCCCACCGTGGCCTTGGCGGCCTCTGCCCGTGCCTCGGACGGCGACGGGGTGTGGAAGGTTGTCCGGAAGGCTGGGTATGCCATGCCCGCCGTCCCGCGTCGGGAGAGGAGTGGCCGGGACGATGAGGATGGCAAGCGGACGGGCGGGCTGGCATGGCAGTCGGACGGGCGCGAGGGGCGGGCAGGCGCGCGCCATCGCAGTCGGGTGGCCCTCTGCAAGCTTTAGGACGCGGATGGAAGGGAGTTTACGGGTTACTGGATATGGTTTGCACCTGCGGTGGTCGTCATGCCTCCGTCCACATCAGCATCAGGCGGTCTCGGCGTTCAAGGCACAGCAGTCAGCCGCGGCTGCAGTCGATGGCTCGACAGGCGGATCGTCGTCGTCGTCGTCATCGGACCATGGCAAGAAACCGGTGAGCCGGAGCTGGAGCGAAGAGAGACTATAAGTAGTGCGGACGTGGTCGGCGATCTCGGGATACCGCTTCCAGATCTTAGGTGGCGAGTGGCGGTCCTTGGAGCGGGACATGGCCCGCTGCTCGGCGTCCCAGGCGGGCATCATGCGAATGAACTGGATAAGTCGCATGTTGCTGGAGGTGTTTGGCACGTTAGCATGCAGGAGCTCAAAGTGCCAGATGACCATCTGGCCCTTGCGCAGCGGGATCGGCTGCATGTATGCTGCCATCGGATCGCTTGCCTTGGGTCGAACCGATCGGTTGGCCAGCCCGGCCTTGCCGTCGCGAAAGTGCTCACTGACCCAGGTGTCGAGGTAGGCCGACGAACCTGGGACGCAGGCAAAGGTCCCTGTTGTGATCGGACAGTCGACCAGCGCTACCAGGCCCTGGTACCGCTGGGCGTGGCCCTCGGCCCGGTCGATCTCCACGATCCGATGCGGGTTGCAGTCCCAGTGCGGGCCGAGCGAGGTCCGCCATTGCGGCCGCTCGACGCCGTCCTCCACCTCGCCGGTCTCCTCATTCCTCATCCGCAAGTTCCGTGTCCCTCGCATCACGCCCCAGTTGTCAATGGAAGCCCAGAGCTTTTCCTCGCCGCCGTACAGGCCGCGGAAGACCTCGTAGATGGCGGGATGCGTTCGCATCGCAAAGGCAAGCTGCGTAAACGCCGGCGAGCCAAAGAGGAACTTGGACTTGGGTTTGGGCCAGTTGCGCGACTCCCATGTCGTCGGATCGTTGAAATCGAGCGCCGCCGTCGCCTTGGCTGGGTTCGCCTGCGCCGACGCATCCGCCAGCAGATCGGCAGCGGTGGCGTCGGCCTCGTCAGACGTGAGCACGTCGACCACCACCATGCCGTACACCTCCAGAGCCGCGGCAATGCCGGCTGTGTCGGACGGCGCGTACGAGATCCGCCACGCCGAGACGTCGTCGTCGTCACTGCCATCGGCTGCAGGATAGCGCGGAAAGAGCACCCGCATCTCGGCATCGCTTCGGCTCGTCTCCTCCCGCCACGTGCCCGCTGCCCGCATCGCCGCCTCCTTGCGCCTCGCCCGCTCTTCATCGGTCAGATTGGCTCGACTGGCCTTGCACAGTTGGCTACCTGGTAGCCCGTCGGGTGTACTGGTGTCGCTCATGACTGTGACTGACCAGCTCGAACCAAGCCGCGCAGGCGAAAAAGGGTGCGCGGTTTTGTCGCGCAAGCCGGAATGTTCGATTGGCGGTCGAGGCGAGAGAGGGAAGCACAGTCCCAGCCACGGTCTGTCCTCGGTTTAAACGCCGCGGAGGCGGAGAATGCCGTACGCGCCTAGGCGGGCAAGGATGGCAAAGCCAAGAAGAACCATGGCGTTGGCCCACGGCTCGACGTCAAAGTCGTAAAAGTTGCGGATGGCCGACTCGGTGACCGGGCAGACGGCAAAGTCGGCCGACGGGTTGGCGGCGTCGACGCAAGCAAAAGTCTGGCCGGCAATGGCGTTGACAACCTGTGCCTCCCAGTGATACTTGAGGATGGAGAGGTACTGGAGGCCACGGAGCCAATCCCACGGAAGGTTGTCGGTCTTGACGTAAAAGCCGGAGATGAGCATGAGAGTGAGGAGCGCAGTGCCGGCGACGGTCATGGCCTTGGTCACGTTGACAAAGATAGTGCCAACAATGAGGCCGACAGACTGCCCGGCGACGACGTGGAGAAGAAGAAGAAGGAGCGAGACAAGGTAGGCCGAGAACTCGGACGAGAGGCCAGCCGACGGGAAGACGACGGTGATCCACATGGCCGGCAGCAGGAGCTGGATCGGCGTCTCGGCGAGCGTCTTGCCCACAAAGTACGCCGAGCACGAGTACATGCCGGCGTCGCGCTCCTTCTTGACGATGCCGCGCTCGATGGTAAAGGTGGTCATCGAGTGAAAGAGCGGGAAGAAGCCCCAGAAGATGGTAGCAAAGAAGAGAAGGCCGACTCGGTCGTGAATGGTGGCATCGGTGTCGTCGATCTGCCACCAGATGACTGCCGAGACAACAGCGAGGGTCAGGATCTGGCCAAAGTTGACCGGCGAGAGCACGTCGCCGCGGTTCTGCTTGAACGCCCGCTTGGCGAGGAGCCACATCTGCCGCAGCCACGATGCCTCGTACTGGTCGCTGCTCGAGCGGTTGCGCGGCGACGACGAGCCCGACCTACCAGTGTCGATGGCAGCGAGCCGCATGTCAATGCTGGCGTGCGGAATGCACGACTGGCCGAGCGCACGAACCTTGGTCCTCGCCTCGTCGGTGGCGTGCGAGACAACCTCGAGCACAAAATCGGCCGGGTTATAGTGGTGCGGAAAGGTGATGCCGATGGTGGAAAAGGTGTCGATCATGTCGGCCGCCGGGCCAAAGTATGCCGTGTGCCCCTTGTCAAGCACAAGTACATAGTCGAAGAGCGCCCAGATCTGCGACGACGGCTGGTGGATGGTGGTGATGACGGCCTGCGAGCGCGAGACCGCCAGCCGCTGCAGCAGCTTGATGAGTAGAAGCGCTGTCGCCGCGTCGAGGCCCGACGTCGGCTCGTCGAGAAGAAGCACGGCCGGGTTGTTCAGCAGTTCGACCGCAATGTTGGTCCGCTTCTTCTCGCCGCCAGACACGCCCTTCTTGAACTGGGAGCCGATGCGGGTGTTGATGCAGGCCGAGAGCCGCAAGTCTGCCACCAGCGCCTCCACCCGCGCGCTCCGCTCCGCGTCGGTGAGGGAGCCCGGGAGCGAAAGCGCGGCCGCAAACTCGAGTGTCTCGCTCACGCTCAGCTCCGAGAACAGGTAGTCCTCCTGCAGGACGTACCCAACCTTGCGCCGGGAGACCTTGGTCACCGGTGTGCCCGAGAGCGCCACGTCTCCGATCACGTTCTCGGTCACGCGCCCGCCAAGGATGTTGAGCAGCGAGGTCTTGCCCGAGCCCGACGGGCCGAGGATGGCCAGCGTCTGTCCAGCCGCCACCGTCCCGGACAGCCCGTGCAAGATCGGCAGCTGCTCACCGTTCTCGTTGGAGACGACCGAGTATTGGACATTGCGCCATGTCAGGTTGTTCTCACCCGCACCGGCTCCGGCCTCGACCATCGGCAGCGACGGGATGTCCGGCTTGGCCGCAGGCTCAGGCACAAAGGCCCCGGTCGACTTGGCCCCGGCTCTCCGCCACCACGGCGACTCGGCTGGCGAGTCCAATGCCCGCTCGGGATGCGAGCCCTTGGTTCCAGCCACATCCACCTTGAGGCCATGTGAGACAGTGCTCTGCGAGCCGATGTGCGCGTGGGAGGCCTTCCGCCGATGCGGATGGCTGCCGTGACTGGCACCTCTGCCAGAAGCCGCGGTGCCACTGTTGACGGCATCAAGCGCGACCTCTGCCGAGTACTCTTCAAATGAATAGGTATACGAGTCGATGGTCGACTCAGACGACATATCCATGGCCATACAAAATCACTTCTACAAAGACGTTTCGCCTGATGTACGTGCCCTGGAGGGAGGTGGCTTGGTTGTCGTGCTGTCCACCAGTCATGGGATGGCAGGCAGCGGAAGACCCGATTCAATGGTGGTACGCAAAAAGAGGTCGCGGTTTTGACCTGCTGCGACTCGTCAGCCAATGTGGACGATGGCGCCACTGTTAGTGCGACTCTGACTTGCCGACGTGCAGCTGGCTGGCTGACCTCATGGCCGACGGGCACGACGAGCGACACACGCCGCTTGGTCAACTGGGCGGTCGAGATGGCGAGTGGAAACGAGACTGTGCCTGCCGTTACCTCTCCGCGCGAGGTCTACAACGCACTCAACAACGGAGCGCTAGTGGTCGACGCCCGGGTAGTGGACTCGTTCGAGGCGTGGATGCAGGAGCCCGAGAGGGTGGTCTTCACCGAGTGGCTCCCGCCGGCCAAGCTCCGGGCGAATGATCCCGAGTGGTATCCACCGTCGACGCCCGATCTGCCTGGCCTTGTTGTCGTCCTCTGCGGCGGGGATCGGACCGGGCTTGAGGCGCGGCTAGATGGGGTGGCGGCCGAGGCTCTGGCAGTGGCGGAAGCCCTGGCAGGAGCAGACGAGGACGACGAGGCGGTGCGATGGGCCGGCGCTGCTGCTGAGTACATCGGGCGCGAGTGGGCGCTGCGCGAGAGCGTGACCAAGTTAGTCGTCGCTGCTGCCGCTGAGCTGCTGGAGACGTATCCGTTTATGGCGGCGTTGTCGCCGGTGGCGGCCGTCATGCCGGCCTTCCCGTCACACGTTGCGCCTGGTCTCTTCCTCTCGTCGCAGTACGTCGCGTCGCGAGTGGAAATTCTCGAGGCGTGCGGAATCAAGTTTGTTCTGAACGTTGCGCGGGAGTGCAAGCCAGTAGCTGCGCTTGCGGCTGTGGGCATCACAGTCCTTCACCTCCCGCTGGATGACGAGGTTGGCCAGGATCTGGATGCCGGTGGTGCACTTGACGCCGCATGCGAGTTTCTGGCCCGAGCCTCGCCTGACCAGCCAGCACTCGTCCACTGCGCGCAGGGCATCTCGCGCTCGTCGTCGGTCCTCATTGCGTTTCTGGTTCGGTCCAAGATGGAGAGCGGATACGCGAAAGCGCTTGCGCGGGTGCGCGCAGCGCGTCCGATTGCGCGTCCGAATCCGGGCTTTGCGCGCCAGCTGGTGGAGCTGCTCGGTGAATGAGCGAAGTTCAGCGGCGGAGCATGATACCGCAGTTGCGGGCGCGGGTGCTCGGGTCGCGCCGGCCGGCGGCGATGAGCGCGTCGACGTGCGCGTCGTGGTACAGCCACTTGGCGAGCATGCCGGCGGCCGGCGGCGGTGACCGCGGCGCGACCGCGGCTCCGGCTCGGGTGCGGTAGACGTATTCGGCGTCGCGGGTGATGCCGTGGTCAGCCGCGAGGAGTGCGCGCCAGACTGGATGCGCCGATGAAATGTGGTACCATCGGCGGGAGACTCGGGCGGCGGCGCAGAGTGAGGCCGGGTCGAGAAAGCGCATGATGGCATCGATGAGCTCGGCCGGTAGCCAGTTGATGGCGTCGATGGCCGGGGCGAGTGTGCCCGGGTACCGGAGTTTGATAAGTCGGGCGAGCGTGGAGTTGGGCAGCATGTGGGTGTGCAGCAGCTCGTTTCCGGTGGCCGGCGACGTGGTATGGCTCTCGAGCCAGCGTCCGAGCGCGAGCCGGTCGTACGAGATGCCATCGGCGGCGACAACCGGATCGGTCATGACCTGGTTGGTGAGCGGGCAGAGAAAGGTAAAGAACTCCTGTCGCCGGCGCTGCTCTGGCGAAAAGTAGAGCTGCCGCGAGCCGGCGACGACTACCGCTACGTGATGACTGGGAACTGACGACGATGGGCTGGCGACTGGCGAGTTGACGGGCGGGCAGGCGTGGTGCCGGGCGGGCTCGATGGCTTCAGTGAGGGGTCGCGGGGCGAGCGAAGTGGAGGCGAGTGCATGGTGGAGGGCCGCGTTCTCGGCAGTGAGCGTTGCGATGAGTGTCTTGGCGGCCTTGAGCTGGGCAGACAACTCCTCGACGGTGTGATATCTGTTTGCGGTTGGCGCGTTGCTGATGAGCGACGACCGGGCACCAAACATGAGGGTGGAGAGTGACTCAACCGAGTTCCAATCCGACGGCGAGACGTTGACGATGAGGCTTGTTCGCGCGTTGCCGCCAAAGCAATTTGAGAGAAGCCGCGTGAGCTGCGAGTCGCGATACGGGATGTGGCGCGAGGATCGGGTGGATCGAGACGAGCGCTTGGAGCGGGCGTGGGTGGTGAGGGCATCGATGACGCGGCCCAGGGTGTGGAGTGAAAAGTTGATCCGCTTGGCCTCCTGCAGCCGCATGCCGTCGGTCTTGGCCTTGGAGACCTTTTCCGAGCCGGCCAGATCGACAAGATAAAGCTGAGCCATGGTGTGCTCGCCCGAGACAGCCTCAGATTTGTGGACGGTGAGAACAAAGACGGCGTGCGAGCGCGACGAAGTGCGATTCATCTTGGTTGCCGCAACATGCCGGTTCCGATTGCCGTCTCGGAGAAGGGCAAAGACATCGGCGGCAGAGCGAACCTCGACCTGGGTTACGCCCTTGATCCAGATCGCGTTCTCGGATGTCTGCCGGATCTCGAGCTTCGGCCGGCTCGCCGCGCCCTCCCACGGCTTGCCGTCGGTGTCCGGATGGAGGAGGTCGCAGAGCGCCTCCATGTAGATCTCGATGTATGATGCTGTGACGTCAAAGGAATAGCTGTCGCTGGCGAGGTCGACTCTGCGGAAGAGATCCGCCATCAACCGCGGCACAATGCCCTTGTGGTACTCATCAAGCGACTCGTAGGCCGCCCGCGGATCGTCGCCATCGGGCCCAAACATGGTGTGGGTCTTGCCTGAGCCGGTCTGTCCGTACGCGATGATGGCGCCATTGATGCCCTCCAGCACGTCGTCAATGAGCGGCTCGCCAGCAAGCGCATACACATCGTGCTGGGTGGCGGTCGGCCGGAAGACGTGGTGGAACTTGAACGGATACGTTCGCCCATCGCGCCGAAGATCCCTGCTTCGCCGCAGCGTCCCGGTCTCGTCGGCCGTGTACGATGTGACCGTCAGCGCCACGGTGTTCCCGCTCACCTCGATGGCCTCGTCTGCACCCATAGCCAGCTCGTCATCGTTCATCGGACGAATCCGGCACAGCACCCTGATTCCGTCCTGCGCATCGCCATTGGGCGAGATCGGCCTCGACGGCGGCGAGATCGGCCTCGACTGCGGCGTCATGGGCCTCGACGACGAGGGCGAAAGCACTGACGACGATGACGACGACGACGACGACGACGACGAGAGTGGGCGGTGTGTATCATCGGCCATGATCAGGTGGATGGGGAGGAGGAGGAGGGGGAGGGGAGGGGGGGGGGGGGGGAGGGGAGGAGTGGTGTGCTGGGGAGGTGGGAGGGAATGGGGAAGGGTGGTGAGAAGGAATGGAAGGAATGCTCTCCTTCCATCGTTCTTTGCCCTTTGGGGGGCTATCGCTGTCACGCGAGGCAGACATAGAGATGGCTGGCAGTGCGGACAGCGGGGAGAGTCCTCGCCCACACTTGGCTCACATACAGGTCGACGAGTGACTAGTGAGGGGGTATGGCACTGCTTGAGGCCATTCGGGCTAACGACGGCGAAGCTCTTGCGGCGATGGTGGCGGGTGGCGTCGAAGGGCTCAACGAGGCTGGGGACGGCGGCCTGACACCGCTGACCCTGGCAGTGGTCACGGGCAACGCCGGTGCTGTCGCCGCCTTGTTGGCGCTGGAAGAGCTCGATCCAAATGTGGTGACACCCAAGGGATTTACTGCGCTCATGCTGGCGGTGGATGTCGGCGATCCGGCGCTGTACGGGCCGCTGCTCGCCGACGCCCGCGTCGATCCCGCTGTCCGCGGTCGTGAGGGCATGACACCGCTGATGGCCGCGGCGGCACGCAACAGGGATGGTGCAGTAGTCGCCCTGCTAGCTACCGACCGCGCCGAGCCTGAGGCCGCTGATGACGCCGGGTGGACGGCGGTACATGCTGCCGCTGCCCAGGGCGCGGTCGAGGCCCTCGGCGTCCTCGCAAGCGAAGGCATCGTCGCCGCCACCGCCACCGTGTGTGACTCATCGGGCTGCACTCCGCTGATGTACGCATGCATCCGCGGCGAGCCCCGTACTGTATCAGTCCTGTTGGACGCAGCGGCCGAAGCAGTCAACTTGCCCGGGGCGAGCGGCAAGACGCCGCTCCTTGAGGCGGTCGAGCGCGGACATGTCGGGCTGGTGCCGGCGCTGTTGGCCGCCGGTGCCGATGCCGCAGCAAGCAATGCAAAAGGAATCACCGCTCTGCACCTTGCTGCCGCGAACAACCTCGTTGAGGTTGTGTCACTGCTCGCGACGCCGGCAACGATCAACGTCGTCGACAACAGCCAGCGGACAGCGATGTTTCTCGCGGCTGGCCTTGGGAACGCGGCCAGCGTCCGTGTCCTGGCTGAGGTGGACGGGGTCGATGTGCTCATTCCCGGCCCACGCGAGACCAACGCGGTGCACATGGCAGCCGAGGCCGGGGCAGCGATTGACGCGCTGATAGCGGTCACGCCTGGCGCGCTCCATATCGGCAACGAGGACGGCATGCTCCCGATCCACTTTGCGGTCCGCGGGACGCAGACAGCGACGCTGCGGTGGCTCCTCGAGCAGGAAGGGGCCGAGCCGGCGGCTACCGATGCCGAGGGCTGGACCATCCTGCACATGGCTGCGGCTTCGGGTGTCATGGATGTGCTCGAGATGTTGACCACTGGCGACCTTGCCGGCGTCGTCCCGCTCAATGCGGTCACCATCCACGGCGACACGCCATTGCACAAGGCAGCCCGGTACGGCCAGGCCGACGCGGCGCGGCTGCTGGCTGGGGTTCCGGGTGTTGACTTTGATGCGCTCGACTGTGATGGCCTCACTCCACGGCAAGCTGCGGCTGCGGCTGGCCACGAAGAAGTGGCCGCGCTTTGCGTTCCGTGCCAGGTGCCAGAGTGCGCTCCGCCTACGCCGGTGATGGAGGCGGCGTTTGAGGAGCGGACGGTTGCCCACATTGCTGCTGTGGCTCGCAACCTCGATCTCATCTCCCAAACTCTCCCAGATCTGGCGGAAGACCTCAGACTCCGCGCTGATGTGCACGATGCCTCCAAGTGGGACGAGCCGGAGCGGACTCCGTACGTCTGGCTCACGGCGTGGTACGCAGCAGCGGCACGCGATGAGCCGCTCGAGTATCCTGCTGGTGTTGCCGCTGCTGTTGCCGCCGCCATCACCCATCACAAGGCCTGCAACCGCCACCATGTCGAGTTCCACGGCGCGGCAGGTTTCGCAGGCATGAGCGACCTTGATCTCGCCGAGATGGTTGCTGACTGGGCGGCCATTGCCCAAGAGCAAAGTGGCGAGACCACAACCAGTCCTCGCGAGTGGTTTGAGGCGAGCGGACGGGACAAGTGGGATGTCTCCGACGCCGACGCCGCCCGCATCCTGTCATTCATCGACGCACTCGAGGTAGCCATCTCTTCCAGCCTCTCATCGTAGTAACCGCAGTGCAACCCCGTCATCGTAGTGCCGCCATCGTAGAGCAGCGATAACCGTAGTAGCCTCCCATCATCTATCATACACATCTTCTCGGTCGTATCGTCTCGGCATCAGAGCCGTGGTTTGGGCGCCGGCCTTCGCGCCATTTCTACCGATTCGGCGGACAGACGGAGACTCGACACTCGACGCGACGACAAAGCCACCGACGGGACAGGCGAGGGTCTCTCGCTGCCAGCACAGCCATACAGGAGTCAGCAGGAGAGAGTGGTGGTAGGGGGCGTGGAGAGGTAGAGCTGCCTGGAGGTCGTGACTCCCCTCTTCTGGCCCACCTGCACCACCAGCAAGCCCAGCTGCAGTCGCGCATTGCCGCTCGCCTGCGGAGTCGCAACGCCGACAGGCTGCGCAAGCCGGTGACAGAGGCCATGCCAGGCGACACGACACGCATGCCAGGCGGGCGACGGAAGAAGAGAAAGACAAGGAAAGACCATGCCCGCCAATCTGACCATGATCGCTCCATCAGCCGCCGCGCGCCGCGACAGTTCCGTCCCTCGCCTCCGCCCCACAGCGGCGTGAGCGCTTGGCTCTACGACACCAGCTCTGACTCGCTCGCATCGCCAGACGTGTTCTCCATCTCGAGTGATGGCTCCAGCTCGATGGGCGAAGTCGACCGCGAGAACGATCTGAGACCGTCGCCGCCGCCACCGGAGCCCGAGCCGGAACCGACGCATCCAGTTGTGGCGGCGGTGCTCGAGCGCGCTGCCCAACGACCAGAGCTTGGCTCGGCTGATCCCGCGACGGAGACCGCAGATGAGCAGGAGGTCAGCCCGCGATTGCCGTCGGCCGAGATTGCACGTCTGCGAGTGGCGCTTGCGGCGCGTGACCGCAAGATCGCAACTCTCACAGCAGCAGCGGATACCGCCCGAGCAGACGCTGCAGCGGTCCGCGCCAAGCTGGCCGCCGGACACAAGCGCGATCTGGCTCTTGCCGAAGCACGCAACGCGCTGGCCGAGCGTGATGCCCGCATCGCCGATCTCGAGGGTGCGCTGGAGGATGCCGTTCAGGCGTCGCTGGCGCCGCGACCAGACGCTGCTGAGCTCGCCGCAGCCGTCGGAGATGCCGTACAGGCGTCGGTGGAGAGTGCACCACCTGCAGCCGACGAGGCGCTGCTAGCCAACCGAGTCGTGGTCCTGCGCCGCCAGCTGGAGGTGGCACACGCCGCGCTGCGGCTGGAGCGGCAAGCGCGGGCGCGCGGGCATGCTGTGCTGTCCCAGGCGCTGCGCGAGGCCGTTGATGCCTCGCGCCGGGAGCAGCGGACCAAGACCCACTCTGCACTGCAGTGGGACGCGTGGATCGAATTGTACGACGAGACTGGCAGCGGCCGCGCACTCTCGGCGCCTCCGCAGCCTCCGCCGCCCAAGTCGCAGCTCGCCGAGCTGGAGCACCGCACTGAGCGGCTCCAGAAGCTGGTGGCCAAGCGCGACAAGACCATTCAGCGGCTACGTGCCCGCCTCGACGCTGATGCTCCGACCGTGCTCCGCAAGCGGGTTGCTGCGCTTGAGCGCCAGCTCCGCGCTGCTGCCGCGCGCTTCCAGGCCCACGATGCTGCTGCCGATAAGGCCCGCGCCGCCGCCGCGCGCAAGGACGCCTACATCGCCACCCTCGAGCGCAAGCTCATGGCACTGTACTCTGCCACAAAACGAGCAATGTCAGGCTCAGCCGAGGCCGACCTCCCTTCGCCGCCATCGGCCGCAGACATCACCTCGGACTCGCTCTATGTCTCGATGGACACACCCCGGCATGTCTCCAGCCCGGAGCCTCTGACTGATTCTGGCCTCCCCGACCACCCCGCGCCGCGCGCCCTCTGGAAACTGTAGCCTCCTGTTTTCCCCTCCCAAGTGAAATACAACCACCTTGCGCAGCACGCGCCTCCGTATCAGCGCACCTCTGCATCAGCGCACCTCTGCACCTCCGCACCTCTGCATCAGCGCACCTCTGCATCAGCGCACCTCTGCACCTCCGCACCTCTGCACCTCCGCACCTCTGCACCTCCGCACCTCTGCACCTCCGCACCTCTGCATCAGCGCACCTCTGCACCTCCGCACCTCTGCATCAGCGCACCTCCGCATCAGCGCACCTCTGCATCAGCGCACCTCTAGCGCACCTCCGCATCGCATCAGCGCACCTCTGCAGTGCACGCACGCCAACGCCATTTTTTTGAACCGTCAACACCAACACGGTGACCTCCCTCGGCACCACCGCCATCCCCTCCCTACCCACCCTACCCGCCCTACCCACTCACCCAACACACTCGACTCTTTCCATCCATGACGCCCATGTCCACCACTGGACTTGTTGTTGTCGTGCTAGCAGCTACTGTAGCCCTCCTTGCGCCACCGTCCATGGCCTCGGTGACCACCCTCTGGCCACAGGTGCGTGACCTGTCCCTCTTCCCCCACACCCACACCCATACCCATACCCATACCCGTACTCACTCACTCACACTCACTCACAATCTCACGCACACACACATGCACAGCCGCAAAACGTGAGGTCAGGGACGGATTCTGGAGTGACGCTGGCCAAGGAGTCGTTCAAGATGGTGGCGGCGCCCGGGTGCGTGTCGTCGGCTCTGCTGTCGGGAGCCATGGAGCGATACATGGACATTGTGTTCGACTTTGGTGCTGGTGGTGCTGCTGCTGTTGGCGCTGAGGCGCCGGGTTCTGACTTTAGTACCCTCAGCGTGCTGGAGGTGTGCGTGGCGTCGTCGGATGAGAGCCTCGGGCTGGAGACAGACGAGACGTACAAGCTCGAGATCGATGGGTCGGCCACGGCGAGTCTGCAAGCTGAGAGCGTGTACGGAGCCATGCGTGGGCTGGAAACCTTTGCGCAGCTGGTGGAGTACGGATACACCAACGATAGCTATGCCATCGCGGCGACGCCGATTACCATCGGCGACTCGCCGGCTTACCCTTGGCGCGGCCTGCTGGTGGACACGGCGCGGCACTACATGCCTGCCGACTTTCTGCTCCACGTTCTCGACGCGATGGCAGCCAACAAGCTCAACGTCCTGCACTGGCACATTGTGGACGCGCAGTCGTTTGGCTTTGTTGTCGCCGAGTACCCGGAGCTCTCCAAGTACGGCGCATGGCACCCGACGGCCATCTTTACCCAGGCCGAGATCGCGGCTGTGGTGGCGCACGGCAAGAGTCTCGGCATTCGTGTGGTGCCCGAGTTTGACGGGCCCGGCCACGCGGCGGCATGGGGAGCGGCGCCGGACCTGTTCGACGTTGTGGCGCATTGCCCGGCGTACGAACACAACATCAACAACATTCCGCTCAACCCGGCGTCGAACGTGACGTTTGACGTCCTCGCGGCCGTGTACCAGGCGGCAGCCAAGGTCTTCACCGACGACTTTCTGCACATCGGCGGCGACGAAGTGGTGCAGGGCTGCTGGACCGACGACCCGACGATTGCAGCGTGGATGCGGGAGCATAACCTCAACACCATCCAAGTCTACCAGCTGTTTGAGAACGCGATGCACGCCATCGCGCGCACGCCGGCAGTCAACAAGTCTGTGGTTGTGTGGGAGGAGGTGTTTGACAACGCTCTGCACATTCCGATGAACACCATCGTCGAGGTGTGGAAGTCGGCGTCGGTGCTCAAAGACGTGCTCGGCGCTGGCTACCGCGGCCTCCTCGCTGCGCCATTCTATCTCGACAAGCAGATTCCGGGACTCGGACAGGGCGAGAACGTGCCGACGACGTCGTATGAGTGGGTCGATACGTGGAAGTCGTTCTACGGTGTCGATATGACCGCCAACCTCACGTCGGCCGAGGCCAAGCTGCTGCTTGGCGGCGAGGGCGCGATGTGGGCCGAGCAGGTCATGGACACCAACTTTGACTCGCGGGTCTGGCCGCGCAACTCGGCTGTGGCCGAGCGGCTCTGGTCGTCGCCGCTGGTCAACGACCCGGTCGCTGCCACCCCGCGGCTTAATGCCCAGTCGTGCCGCATGCAGCGCCGCGGCATCATGTGCGGCCCCGTTGCACCGTCGTTCTGCCTTCTGCCCTCGGACGTCAACCGCCACCCCCTTTCGGCGTAAACCCGCACCCGATGTTCACTTGCTTGTGCCGCGGCACGCCGCCACCTTGGCCGGCCGTGCAACGAGCGAATAAACGCCTCGTGTTCTGTGATGCAGCCATCACTCCACCTGTCGGCGTTCGAGCCGCGCCGCCACCCGAGCTGGCGACGAGTTGTCGTTGCTGCTTAGCGCGACCTGTTGCCAAAGAGACCACTCCCCGAGCTGGTGTTGCCCGCAGGCGACGAGTTGTTGCCGCCGCCAAACGAGAATCCGCCGCCCGAGCTGGTGTTGCCCGCAGGCGCGGCCGACGAGTTGTTGCCGCCGCCAAACGAGAATCCGCCGCCCGAGCTGGTGTTGCCCGCAGGCGACGAGTTGCTGCCGCCGCCAAACGAGAATCCGCCGCCTGAGCTGTTGTTGCCCGCAGGCGTGGGCGACGAGTTGTTGCCGCCGCCAAACGAGAATCCGCCGCCTGAGCTGTTGTTGCCCGCAGGCGCGGCCGACGAGTTGTTGCCGCCGCCAAACGAGAATCCGCCGCCTGAGCTGTTGTTGCCCGCAGGCGCGGCCGACGAGTTGTTGCCGCCGCCAAACGAGAATCCGCCGCCTGAGCTGTTGTTGCCCGCAGGCGCGGCCGACGAGTTGTTGCCGCCACCAAACGAGAATCCGCCGCCTGAACTGTTGTTGCCCGCAGGCGCAGGCGACGAGTTGTTGCCGCCGCCCAACGAGAGTCCACTCCCCGAGCTGTTGTTGCCCGCAGCCGACGAGGTGACGGAACGAGCAAAGTCGGGAGGAAGCGGGGGCGCAGGGATGCTGTTGAAGAGGCTCCCGCCGCCCGAGGCCGGAGGCGATGTCGAGCTTGGTGTGGAGAAGACTTGCTTTGCCGACGGCTTGGGCGTAGAGAAGACAGACGCCGGGGCATCAGACGACGATGCAGCGTTGTCCTTTGCTTCTGCGGTGCCCTCAACATTTGTGGAGCTGTTAGAGAGTCGCGAGTCGATCTCCTTGGTTAGGTCCAGCTGCGCCGACGACTCCATAACCTCTGCAATACGGCGAAGGGTGTCGAGAAAGTCGCTCTTGTCGCGCGTGACGGCGTAGCACTCGTACGCGCCGATGATGACCTCATCCTTGACCAGAATGAGGTTCTTGAGCACTGACTTTTCCTTCGGCGTCAGTTGCTTGGCCTTTTGGGCCGACGCCACCAAGCTCAGCAGATTGCCGAGGATGTTGACGAGGCGATCGTTTGAGACCGGGAGAGAGCTGCCGCCTTCCGAGAAGGGTTCATCGGAAGGTCTTGCATCAGACTTGCCCTTGCCTCTATCCTTGTCAGCGGTACTGCCAAGCCTGCCACCGTTTCCGCTGTCAGTAGCTGATCCAAACCCGCCGCCAGCAGATGATCCAAACCCGCCGCCAGCAGATGACCCAAATCCACCACCACCTCCTCCTCCCGAACCAAACCCGCCGCTGGCAGACGATCCAAAGCCTCCACCTCCACCGCCACCTCCACCCCCGCCACCCGAGCCAAACCCACCGCCGGCAGCCGATCCAAAGCCGCCACTACCTCCTCCTCCTCCTCCTCCAGCATTCGAGCCAGTTCCGCCGCCGGCAGCTGATCCAAACCCGCTGCCAGCAGATGACCCAAACCCGCCACTACCTCCTCCTCCACTACCGCCACCCGAGCCAAACCCGCCACCGGCAGTCGATCCAAAGCCTCCTCCTCCAGAACCAAACACGCCGCCTGAACTGCCGCCAGCAGCCGATCCAAACCCACCACGGCCTCCCCTGTTTCCAAAGCCTCCTCGAGCCGCGCGCCTACCACGACCTCCGCCACGGCTAAAATTGAAGGCCATGATCAACTGCAGCACCCATCATGTCCACTGTGAGTATGATGTTGGTGATATGCATGTGTGTGTGCATGCGAAGGGGAGGAGAGAGAGCGAGAGGCGAGGCCAAGGCGGGGCGAAGAAAAAGGTCGCGAACAGAAGCACAAGACCCGCGTGCGGGGGAGGGGGGGATGGACAACAAGGAATGGGGAAGATGCTGGGGGGTGGAAGGGGGGAGGGGAGAGAGAGAGAGAAAGAGATAGATGGGGGAGGGGGGGGGGGGGGGGGCAACTCGTACCGTTTCTGGGGTGGAGTGTGACAACCTGCACCGCTAGCAGGCAAGCTGCCGACCGACGGGCAGCCGGGGGTGGCTGGTGGCTGGCTGGCTGGCCGGGCCGGGGGGGGGGCGGCTCGACCGGCAGGTTTCTTCGGTCAAATAATCATTGGCCGGCCACACTCGTCGACGAACAAAACCAATGGTACGTGAAATTTAATTGATTTGGCCGACATTGGCCAAAAGGCACAGCGGGTGATTCGGTGGATGGGAGATGGCGGGCCAGGACGGGGGAGGGGGGGGAGCCGGGCTATGGTGCAGAGCGTAGAGGGGATGTCGAGGCAAGCATGGTGGTGGGGTGGGGTGCGTACTGTGGGCATGGTTTCTGTAGAGTTGGGGACAGTTTGGAGCAGCAGTTCGTGGCTGTGAGTGTCTTGTCGGGGTGCGGGTGGGCGGGTGGTGTGGGAGATTTGCGCGAAGAGTGTGTATGACAGGAAGCGCCCGCTCAGGGTAGGCAAGCACAACTCACAGGAGACGGGGCACGTGGTCAGCTTGTTCTGTTCGAGACTGCTGCAGGCTTTGCGCTGTTCAAGGTGCTGGATGAGGGCAAGCTGTCCAAGGTGGACGACCTGTACAAGTCGTTCAAGGACGTGGACACTGCCAAGTCGGTCGTCTCGCTCCATGCCTTCCAGCCGTTCCAGGACATTGCGCTCGCGCTGTCGGCGGCCACCGGTATTGTCGACGGCGAGCTGTCCAAGCCGCTGAAGAAGTTCCTCAAGAAGAACGTGGTCAAGGCCGGGCTCGACGACACGCTTGCGGTGGTCGATGCCAAGCTCGGCGGAATCATCAAGGAGTCGCTCTCCATTCCGTGCGTTGCCGACTCGTCGATCTTTGAGCTCTCGCGCTGCATCCGCTCGCAGCTCGATGGCCTCCTCGAGGACGTGTCTGCCAAGGATGTGCGGAGCATGCGCCTGGGTGTTGCCCATTCGCTCGGCCGCTACAAGCTCAAGTTCTCGCCCGACAAGGTCGATACCATGATCATCCAGGCCATTGCCCTGCTCGACGAGCTCGACAAGGAGCTCAACACGTACGCGATGCGTGCGCGCGAGTGGTACGGCTGGCACTTCCCGGAGATGTCCAAGCTCATTGCCGAGCACATGGAGTACTGCTCGGTCGTCCTCACCATGGGCAACCGCGCCAACGCCAAGGACACCGACCTCACCTCGGTCCTCGACGAGTCGCTCATCGAGCCGCTCCGCAACGCGGCCCAGGTCTCGATGGGTACTGAGATTTCGGACCACGATCTGGCCAACATCAAGTTCCTCTGCGAGCAGGTCGTCTCGATCACCCAGTACCGCTCCGAGCTCTTTGAGTACCTCAAGAACCGCATGAACGCCATCGCGCCCAACCTCACCGCCCTCGTCGGCGAGCTTGTCGGCGCCCGCCTCATCGCGCACACCGGCTCGCTCATCAACCTCTCCAAGCAGCCGGCGTCGACCATCCAGATCCTCGGCGCCGAGAAGGCCCTCTTCCGTGCTCTCAAGACCAAGCACGCCACGCCCAAGTACGGCCTCATCTACCACGCCTCGCTCGTCGGACAGGCCTCGTCCAAGAACAAGGGTAAGATCTCCCGTATGTTGGCCGCCAAGTCGGCCCTCGCCATCCGCTGCGACGCCCTCGGCGACGAGGACACCCCGTCTGTCGGCCCCGACTATCGCGTCACCCTCGAGGCTCGCCTCATGCAGATGGAGGGCCGCTCCATGGCCGAGATCGCCGCCGCCACCGGCGTCTCCCGCTCCAACAACGCCGCCGTCTCCCGCTCGAACAACACTGTCTCGTACAACGCCGCCACCGACTCGACCCTCGCCGACATGGACGTCGAGTCCGGCAAGGACAAGTCCAAGAAGAAGCGCAAGCTCGAGGACTCGGACGACGACGACGACGAGCCGCCGCGCAAGAAGAAGGACAAGGGCAAGGACAAGGACAAGTCCAAGTCCAAGGACAAGTCGAAGGACAAGTCGAAGGACAAGTCGAAGGACAAGGGCAAGGACAAGGACAAGAAGAAGTCCAAGTCCAAGGACAAGAAGAAGTCCAAGAAGTAAATGGCTCGTTTCTCTTGACAACTCGTTGCTCAACAGCTCTTGCCCGCGCCTCCTTGGCCGCCCGCCACTTGTCCACACCCCTCGCCCTCCCTCCCATGGCCAACGCAAGCGCATCCGCAGGCGAGTCCATCATTCTTGAGGAAGAGTATGACGAGAACTACCAGCCTACCAAAGAGGGTACGCACGCATGCCCAGGCCCTTACCCCCCCTTTCCCCCCCCCCCCCCCGCCCCAGGCTTCTACATTGAGCTTGTTCTACGACCGGGAGGTACGGAAGCCCACAACATACTGGTGGGAGCAAGAAGAAGGATAGGGAAAAACACCACCTCAGGAGGCTGCGGGCAGGCGGTTGGGAACCCAGCGTAGTTGCCACGGGAGGCGCAAACTGGATGTGCAATACCAGCTCACTGGCCGCCTCCTGCCCTGGACCCGATCAGAATGCAGAACCA